GGATCCAGTAAAGACATGCGTACTGGACTTCAGGAGGAAGACTTTGTTCAACTCGGCTTCTCTCGACATTGGCTACAAGCATGCCGGGGGCATCTACACAACAGATATCTTGCTTAAGTGATGTTGACATAAGCCGTATACAGCTGTCGGTTAATACTTGATAGGCTTGCTTCTCGTCTACCCAGAACTCTGGGTCTTTGCACCTGGCCTTGTTGAGGAGATAGTCCCGAAACGAAGGGTGATGTAGACGGAGTGGGTAGATGTCACCCTTCGGGATGTCTAGAATCGCATGAAGATCCTTCAGGATCCGATCAATCTTTTGCTTCGTGACATTGAGCAGCTTGCCAAGCGAGCTGGCAGAGAGTGGAGAGAAAAGAAGCGCAATACTTCCAAGAATCTGTCGTAGAGTGCCATACAACTCTTCCTTCTCTTTTGCTGAGTAACCTAGACGAATAGTCTTCTTTAGGACAGTAGTGTAGAGCTCATTGAGGTGCTCTTCTGGTGCGGTAGTAGACGTGCTACCTTCTAGCAGAGTTTGTACTCTTTCTTCTGCGAATAGGCCTTCTTGAATGAATCGACAAGCAGTTGCGGCCCATATGAATAATCCACCTGCAATCTGGATCAGGAGTTTGATAGTCTCTTCGCCTGGCCAGCAGGAACCTAGAGAGTGTTCCTGTCCAATGAGATTAAGATTGTGCTTAAAGTAAACAGAGATATCGTGATCTACGATCGATGGAGATATATTGTGGAGTACAAAGTCCTGGTGTTTACCATCTGGTATTTGAACGAAGCCGTTTCGGATCGGAACTTCAGGCCGGCTCGTCAGGAAGACTCGTAATCGAACCGTCTCTAACGATCGAGCTTCGGCCAAGAGATGTAGGATGATCCGGATGTCATTATCATTGTCGCACTCATCGAGTGCATCGACGACAAGGACGTACGCGGATTGGTTACCATTTTCGTTCAGCTTCGACAGCGGGCGTAGGACGAGTTGCTGCCACTGATCACGAAGAGACTGGCTCGCAATGTCGCGACGCTCTTTGAGAGCGTCGCATATATGTTGGCCAAGAGACGGTATGCTGATCGCTAGCTGCCACGCAATGCTCGTGACGAACTTGCCTGCATGACCGACGTCTCTACCGCCGCGCTCGAAGAAGAAGCTGGCTCCAAGGCGCTTCTGCTTAAAATATATCCGAGCGACAGTGCGCGTAATCGTCGACTTCCCTGTGCCGGCCAAGCCATTCAGCCAGAAGATGCAGCGCTCGTCTCGGCTACCAGCCCAGCTGTAGATCTCTTGAAGGAGGTCAACGCGGGTATCGGGAAGGCAGGTCACGTCATGTTGTCGCTGGTATGCGTTGAACGGCGCGTCCTCTGCGGTAGGGAGGGATTTAAGCACATCGTTCAAGTCTAGATTTCCAGTCAGCTTCTTGCTGCTTCGAGGCCATAGCCAGCTAAGCACACTCACTTTCGCTGCTCCCAAAGTTCACAGATCCATGGACAGTGCCAGCAACAACCTGCGAATTCTGGTTGGCGGACAAACCGCTAATAATGCGTTGAGTACTGCCTGACATGAGCTGGAGTAGCGACGCTAAGTTTTGCTAGCTGCCGGCTGTTGCTCTCTTCTGGAGTGTATTGCCGTGTATGTGAACATGTGCATGCGAACACCTGGGAGTGAGTTTATATCTGTACCCAGATGAGGTTCATCCTCAACTAACGAATGCATTCGCAAGGCTCGCCAATCAATACTCCTGCCTTGCCGCTACTGCTGGGGAGCAGCTGTCGGCTACAAAGTAGGGCGGACCTAATAACGCCAAGACCATTCGTCGACGTTTCGTCGACGTTTGAAGGTTTGAAAACGGAAAATAGCGCTATACCTGATAGGGTAGCGCTAAACTATAAACAGAATTTCGGTAGCACACAGATTACGGAGTAGGCATGTGTCGGCGCCCAGCGGAGGACAAAAATAGCGGGACTCACATTGGGCTTGGCGCCACCACCCGTACAGATTTCTATATAAAAACAGATATATTCACAATAACGCAGTCAATCCACGTCAAAGTGGAAGGTGACGTTATTAAGTCTTATACAAACAGTCTATATGTAAAAAAAGCGGCGGTTAGCCCCCCATTCCGCCCCCATAACCAATCAGTTGACCACCAGCCTCGATCACCTTTCGAAGTCGATCAGGCATAGAAAGTACCCGTTTATTAATCCATTCCTGTTTAAGCTCTCCCCAGGCCTCGATCGCTAATTCACGAGTCTCTTCGGGATTGAAATGGCGATATTTCCGTACGTATTGCTTCGTCGGTTGCCAACAGTCCTCGATGATCGCAAGATCCGGCGATCCTGCGCAATTAAAGTACGAATGTACGCCATTTTGCTCTTTCCATTGTTGTACGGCATTGCCTTTTTTCCGTGACCGCGGCGGTGCATGGCCTGAGTCTTGATCCTCCTCTAAAACGAAGAAATCTCCACGGTCGACCCATTCCTGAACTTCCATCTGGAGTATCTCCTTGGGATAAACGTCCTGGGTCATCTTCCCGTTTTTATTCGTCGGTATCTCGTAAAAGGTAAGGGGGGACTTGAAGTCGTAGCCCACCGCGGCCCATGCGTAGACTTTGAGCTTCTCTGCGTCGTCCCGTTCCTCCGCGCGTTGGATACACTTGGGACAGTACCGTTCGCCGCGTTTCCGGATAATAACGAGCTTCCCTTGAGGCCCCATCCCGAAATGGACTTCGTCGCTAAATCTGATATATTTCCAGTGATCCGGAGTCGGATACTTATCGAGCCAAAGCTTCGCGCGGTTCAATCGCATCTCGGCCAGCTGTTTGTTGCAGTACGGCTTCCGACACGCGACGCATTTGAAGTATCCATGCTTTTCCATAGCCCGACGAATTGTTCGGCTAGAAACATCGAGTCCGGCCTCAAGCGCAAGTGTATCCCAATCAATAGCTCGTTCTTCGGCGCAGTCAGCGCTCTCGAGGATATCGGTCATCCGTTGGATATCTTCGTCGGTGATTTTAGGCGGTCGACCTCTTGTTTCGAGTCGATTAGGGATATTCCGTTCCCTCCGCTCAGTTTCCGCTTTGGCGTACTCATATCCTCTGGTTTTGGATACGCCATAACGGCGGAAGATATCGGCGTGAGTGTAAGTCCGATTAAAACCATCGATACGTCTTATACCGTTAATATACTCAATAGCATCCTTAATTTTCGCTTTTGTAGGTGTTGTAATATGTTCTCGAGGCCTTTTTCTACGATCTTCAGCTAATAGAGCTGCTGCACGGGTTTGGGGAGCCATATTAATTGATTATCTAAATGGAAGATGAATAGAGATTTTGGTGGTGGTCTGCCAAGGCCTGAAATGAGTCCCGCTATTTTTGTCCTCCGCTGGGCGGCGGTGGGCCACCCTTGCATCGCAACTTTTCCCAGTTCGTCCCATCTAGCGCCGGCCTCGGCATGATTCAACATCGCATGATTGGATTCCTCGCTCCAACGCAGCATCACCGTCTGCAGCTCACCACACGTGTCCCAAAACCGCGATAACCTAACGTCGCCTACATGGCCAGCGTGGCTAGATGGTCCGGAAACGCGCCGTCCCTTGCCGCGACTGCGAAAAGCGGCAGCAGGCTGGAGGTAGGATGTGGTAAGCTATGAGCTATGAGCTATGAGCATGGAGCTGACGAGATGTCCTCCGAGCCCTCGGGGCAGTTGGTTGCGTTTCTTTGTTGTGCGGCATTGGCGATTCACAGTCGAATTGAGGCGTTCACATATTCTGGACCGGTTCCTACTATAGTGAGCCTGAAGCCGTCTCGTGGTTGTCGTTGAAACATTGTCCTTCGTCAGGTCTCTTTATTTTTCCAGTCGTCATAGTCAATTTCCAGACGTCCCAGTGACCTCGAGGAGCTCTATCGTCCAAAATCCCCAGCGACGATACGGACTCAATCGTCAAAATGGCACCCAACATCATGATCAGCAATAACATGCCCCTCGGCGTGGACACTAACACCTCCATCCCCCAGTGCATGCTCCGCTACAACCCCGACGACGTCGCCTCCGACAAGCTCGTCCACCTCGACACCATCTCCGGCAAGTCCCTCACCTACGGCGGCCTCCGCAAGCGCGCTGCCCACTGCGCCTGGGGCCTGCGCAACAAGCTCGGCCTGCAGGTCCAGCAGATCATGCTCGTCTTTGCGCCCAATTGCACGGATTTCGTGCTCCTCGCGCACGCCATCTGGTGGAGCGGCGCGGTTCTGTCGCCGTTGAACACCGCGTCGACGGTGAAGGATATCGAGCATGTTTTGAACCTGGTAGGGCCAACGCATATTGCGGTGGCGCCGCCGTTTGTAGAGAAGGTGATAGAGGCGATTCGGGGATCGAAGCTAGCGGGGTCGAGGGCGCCGACGCTGTGCACCTTATTGGAACGACATGGAGATCTGCCTCTGTTTCCAGAAGATGTCGAAGGCACTTCGAGTGCGGAGAGTCTACCGCCGTGGGATCTGGACGGCATGTCCTCCAAGGAGGCGGTCAGCAGTGTGTGTTTTTCTTCCGGTACGACCGGACTGATCAAAGGAGTGAAATTATCACACTACAGCCAGATCATGAACATGATCCAACTGCGCGTCTCCATGCCCACGCGAATCCACTCCGGCATGCGCGAAGTCTTCTTCCCTCCTTGTAAGTTCCCTCATCTCCCATCCTTCCACGAGCTCCACCAACGTCTCCGCAGTCGGCCACATCTACGGCGTCGCCATCATCATGCTCACCGGCATGTGGGTCGGTGCGTTCTTCTGCACCATGCCATCCTTCGACCTCCCCACCTACTGCGCCCTCATGCAACGCCACCGCGCCACCGACATGCACATCGTCCCACCCGTCGCCCTCCTCCTCACCACCTCCCCGATCGCACAGTCCCACGACCTCTCCTCCGTCCGCAACATCATGGTCACCGCCGCCCCGCTCAAACCGGCCCTGCAGACGAAACTCCTCACCCGCTTCCCTGACGCCGATATCTACCAGGGCTACGGCATGACGGAGACCTGCCCGGCGCTGACCTCGCAGCATCATCTCACGGCGACGAATATCGGCAGCGTGGGGAAGCTGGTCACAATGACGGAGGCACGGCTGGTGGATCCGAGCACGGGAGTGGACGTGCGGGATGGCGAGGAGGGGGAGATGTGGGTGAAAGGTCCGCAGGTGATGATGGGGTACATCAACGACGCGGCAGCGACGCGGGCGGCATTCTCAGACGACGGGTGGCTGCGCACGGGAGATATCCTGCGGCGGGACGGGAACGGGGATTACTGGGTGACGGACCGGTTGAAGGAGATGGTGAAGTACAAGGGGTTTCAGGTGGCACCGTCGGAGTTGGAGGATCTGCTGCTGGGGCATCCGGACGTAGTGGACGCGGCGGTGTGCGGGGTGTATGTGGAGGCGGAGGCGACGGAGGTTCCGGTGGCATATGTGAGTTTGGTGGAGGGAAAGGCGGGGGTGGTGGGAGAGGAGAGGAGGAGGGTGTTGGAGGGGATACGGGGGTGGTTGGATGGGAGGGTAGGGGGATATAAGAGGTTGAGAGGGGGGGTGCATCATTTGCAGGAGTTGCCAAAGACGCCGAGTGGGAAGATCTTGAGGAGGGAGTTGCCGGCGAAGGTGAAGGCGGCGAGGATGGCGAAGCTGTAGGGGTGGGATGAGATACGAACTTATGGATGGATGAGCCGTTATGAGTATGCTGCTCTCGTAGTCGGAGTGGGATCAGGGTTTCCACTTTATTCCGACAATAACGATAGACCAATGATAGATCAATGAACATTATGAGTTACAATAGGGGTAGTGTACCCTTCACCTCCGCTGTATCATCAAGGGCATGAAGACACATGCATGAATTAAATCCTCTACCTAACTAGCAACTAGACTAGGAACCGCCTTTTGCCCCGTTCCAGACCTCGTGAATTCGTGTCAATAGCTTTCCATTCACCCTCGGACCACAGACACGGTGATCCTCTAAATCAAGAACCAGCCACCTCACATTGCTACCCACACGATTTCTTAGCAGGCATGTAAGATATGTAAATGTAGCAACTCTTGATTCATTCGCACCACACTCTTCCCCAGGGATATGGAAGGGATATGGAAGGAATAACTACACGAACTGGTATAAAAGATCGATAAAGAACATTATGGTAAGGGTCGGCCCATGGTGCGGTATATGGTAGGTAAAGGTAAGGTCAGGGACCGTGTAGATGTCTCCGTATCCAGTCCGTGATATCGTCCCCAGAGTCTCAGATATCGGCTCCCCTTCCATAAAAGCATGGCATGACGACGCCTAGGTGGGGTGATGCGATGCATACATGCATGCGTGTGCGATCACCATTGAGTTTCCCGCCTTCTGCACGCCACATCGATATCGACAGAAATGTCAACAGCGAATCGGCGACACCTTCCTCTTTTCAGCACGCGTTGCAAACGAGCCGAAATCAACCCCTGGGGATCAACCACCCCCATCCCATCCATTCCATTCAACTCCCTTCCCACCGTTTCCCCTTTTTCTCCCTCTCCCTTCCACTTTCCATCACAACATCCCCCCTTTTCTCCCAAGCACACTTAAACCACCTCCTTCGCAACTCTCTTCGCCTGGATCTTCCGGTAGGCGAACAGGCTGATCAGGAAGATGGCGACGGTGCCGACGATGGCGAACACGACGATGACGCCGGGCTCCTTGGCGGCCCAGTTCTTGCGCTTCGTGAGCGTCGAGAAGGCGAGTTCGGGAGCGCTTTGTAGGGATGAGATGGCGGCCATGGCGATTGTGGGTAATGTTTTGTTCGGCGTGGGTTGAGGAGCTGCAGGCGCGGGGATGTTAGTTGGTGGTGGTGGAGGGGGGTTGGGCGTGGTGGGACGGGTTTGCAATTAATATTAGGGGACTGGATGAGAAGACGGAAAACAGAGAGATTGAGAAGGTAAACAGTCTCGATCTGTGCAGAAGAAAAACTTGAGAGGTGGAAATGATATCGGCAAGGTGCGGGAACTAGGAAGCGGTGATTAAGCAGGATCAACGTGCCGGTTGAATATGTTCTGCCAATTGCCTCCAATTGGGGTTCAGTGACGGAGACGAGTTCGACGTGCAATTCAACAATTGATCGCAAGTATTGCAATACAGTCTTCTCGTCGCGTGGAGTGGAAAGACGAAGCAGCAGCACGTTGGAGCGGTTTTGGTGGAGGGACAATTGCGGCTTAAGGTGAACAGAAACCCAGCAGCAGCAGAGCTCAAATCCAGGACAGCTCCCAAAACAATAAAAAGCTCAATTGCCCGATCAACGCAACGCCCAAAAAGTCCTTTTTTGTTTCTCCTCGGATTGGCATTCAAGGATCACTCGGCTTTTTAAGACGAATTCCTGGCAATTGGCAATGCGGTCTTCGCTCGGATAGCTCGGGAGCAGGCAAACTTTTTTTCGTCGAGGATTTTGGAGACTGCCCCGGAAAATCGCGCAAAATGCTGCTGCTGGGATTTGGTGCACCAAAAGTCCATAAACGACACTCGTCACTCACTCCAACGTTTCTGGTCTGCTTCGTTTCGCCTCACGTCATGCACGCATTGATTGCAGAAGCCAACGGCGGTGCAATGGGGGTGGTGGCGGGCAAAAGGAACGGAACTGAACGACGTGCATGCACATGGAGGGACCACCAACGCTCTCACTCACTCACCTGTTGCTAAGCTTCGGTAGCTGAATCGATCAATTCTCGCAGCTGCGCAGGGTGTCGGATGACCTTGGATCGCGGCGCGCAACGTAGGCGAATCGGGCGAGGGGTACGGGGCTCGAAAGCGTTCGAATTGATAGAAGATTTGGGAATTGATGAAGCAGAGAGATCAGAGAAGGAGAAGGTTCGAAATGGAAGTAGAAAAGAGGCTGGTGTTGGCGTCGAGGAGTGACGGAATCGGGTGGGAGCCGCGAGGGCGCTGAGGCGCTGATGGAGTGGGACAGCTGATTGGTTGGTGGAGGGGCAACGAAGGGGAACAGGTAAGGAGCTGGTGGTCGTTGGTGGGCACTGAAGGGTGGTGGGTGGGGGGAGAAAGAAGAAATTGCTGTCTGAAGGTCTGATTGCGCTGATCAACGGCCTGGGCGTTAAGAGTTGAGAAATGGGAGCTTGGTCGGAATTACATACTTGATGATAAATGGTGATTGTTCTTGGTCTTGCTTGGCTTCTCCGCTCCCAGGACAGAGAGGTGATGGAGTGCTAATCTATCTATCCGATTGACTCTACGTAGGATTCTATCAAAGAACAATCCCTCTACAACCTACACTCTAGAAAAACTATGTCAAAGGGGTCGAAGGGACTCTCATCTCAAGCGGAAACCGGCACTGAATTGCCTGTGGAAACTCGGGAGCTCCAGCGTAGCAGTGTCATTTTGGCACCCAGTATTCCTAGCGCCGGTTGTAACCCGGGCTCGTCGATGACTTAGCGTACCATCGCAATCCGCAATCCAAGATTTCAGCTGGGCATCGCTCGGCGAACGAAGCTTATCACGGCGATGTGACAGGGGCTTCGTTGTCATGCTCCAGTTTTCTTCGACCCTTCATTAAACCGACGATGATAATGTGCAGAAACAGGAACAGAAACTGATCATCTAACAATTCCACATACGTAGTACACGAGAACGGGGAGCTTTTGAGTGGATTGATTTTACCTGGACACACATGTACTATGTACGATAGATGACGCTCCTCTCAGAAGTATCTCGTTCCTGCTGATTTTATTTCAAAACATGTATCTACAATTTCGACGGCACCCACTTCGGCTGCTTCTTCTGCGCAAACGCCGCCAACCCAATCCGAATATTATCCCCCTTCATCAACTTCGCTCCATACTGCTCCGACGTCACCCGCGCCGCCCCCTCCACGCTCGCCGTCTCCCACGCCTCCCGCAACCCCGCCCGCGTTACGATCACCGCATCCGGACTCAGCGCTGCGATCTTCTGCGCCAGCTCCACCGCCTCGGAAACGACTGTCGCCTGCGACTGCGCGATCCGATTAATCAGATTGAACCGCAGCGCTTCCTCGGCTGTCAGTTGGCGTCCGGTCATCGCGATCTCCGACGCGAGCGGGATCCCGACGTTGCGCACGATGCGTGGGAGGCCGCCGGCGGCGGCATAGAGGCCGCGTAGGGCTTCGGGGAGGCCGAATTTGGCGGTGGGCGCGGCGACGACCATGTCGCTGTGACGCAGATAGGTCAGTAATGCAAGGAATATGATATAATATGATTACAGGACACATGTGGGAAGGAGAAGGCTCCTTACCAATTCAACACGATCTCAAACCCGCCGCCCAACGCCCACCCATTCACCGCCGCCAACACCGGCTTCTTTCCCACCCGCCGACTCACGCCCGCGAACCCGCTCGCGGGATGCGTGGCGAGCGCCCGGTCCGACGAGGACGCCTTCCCGCCCTTGATGTGGCCCTGCTCGATGAGGTCCTGGCCGGCACAGAAGGAGCGGGTGCCGGCGCCGGTGATGATGGCGACGCGGAGGTCGGGCTCGTCGTCGAACCAGCGGAACACGTCGTCGGCTTCCCAGTGGGCGAAGGAGGGGATGGAGTTCATGGCTTTTTCGCGGGTGATGGTGACGAGGAGGATGTGGGGAGCGGGGTAGGAGAGGGCGAAGGAGGAGGAGGGGATGGCGGGTGGGGGGGTGGAGGGTGTCCAGGTCATTTTGGCGGTAGTGGTGGTTGGATGCTGGTGTCGTTTCGTGCTGGATTCGCAATTCTTTTGATATTGAGATGCCGTATCGACCGTGGAGGTAAGTATCGGTAGGTCTTGTAGTTGGTAGTATCGCTCTGTTTCGTCCGATGTTATGAAGTATTCAATCCCAACGAGTAGATCAGTTAGGCACGCTCTGAAGACACCAAACCGAAGACAAGAAAGAAACAGAGGCTGAAAGACAACCCGTCATCAATATGAAGTCGTTCCCCCAGGTGAGATGGAGTTCTCTCCGCATTACACTACTTGAATGGGGGACCTCGGCTTCAAGCGACCATTGCCCTACCGAAGTCAGGGGTCGGCGGGATGTTTTGGTCATGATCGCCGTCGATTATGGGTAAACATTACCCACGTTTGTTGAAATATCTTCATGTTTACTGGTGCAGTCAACATTCTGTATTCTGAAACTATGTTACGGGCAACCGCAATAGGAGGGAGTACAGCATGGTGGTACCATTGTCTCAATGTTTGTCAATAACAAGACTAGACTAAGTCTGACTTGTGAGCTAGAGATATATCAAGGCATTAACTATTCATGCCTTGTTGCCTTATATTGGAGGCCAACATGAAGGGTGGGGCGCTTAGTCATGGCGCAGAGTCCCAGACTCCCAGTCAATATCACTTCAGCCTCACTTATGTCTTTCTATCACGAATTATACAACAATGCCTACCTCAGAGAAGCCCAAACGATTTGAATACGATACTATACGTAAAACGCGATTCTTTGATGCCTATGACACGCTTCCGAAAAGCTCTTCTTTTAACAGTCTTTGTAAAAGAGAGGGAATAGAGATTCATCCATCAACAGGTCGAAATTGGCTTAAACAGCGCGAACAGTATGGTCGAGCCGCATATCGAAAGACTCGTAAGCTTAGTACACATCTCGGACAGCCCTCTCGAATAAGCGATTCAGATATCCATCGCTTATTAGACCCTTCCAGTCCTCTCCATTACCAACCGTACGATGAACAAGGCCTCGAATTCAATGTTAAAGGGAAAACAGTACAACGAAACGTAAAGAAACGGTCAGGAGCCCAACAATTTCAAAAGCCCTATATCAAAGCTATCTCCCCGGCAAATAAAAGAAGACGGGTCTCGTTTGGTCAACAAAATGAGGGCAAAACATTGACAAGATTTTGGCGATACGTCTACTTCACGGACGAAGCCCATTTCAATCCTCGAGATTTCTCAGATCGACCTGAATATGAGCTTCGAGTCCCTAATGCGAGTCAACGTCTTCAAAGTCTTCAGGAAACCAGATCACTCCCACTCAATGTTACCGTTCACGTCGCGAGCGGAGTTTCATACGACCACAAAGGTCCACTTGTTTTCTACAACGATCCAGCTTGTCCGACTGTCCCGAAAGCCTACAGGCCGCGCGCCCCTCGCCGATCTGGCATTGAATCAGAAGAGCAATATGCTGAGAACGTCCGAATCTTTCGAGAAACAGCTGATCGACCCGAGGTCGAATTAAAGCCCAAAGGAAACTCTATGAGCCAGAGATTCTATCTAAAAGAAGTTCTTCCGCATCATATTAAACACATTAAATGGCTCGAGGCTAAATATAATCGGAAATTCCTCTTTATTGAGGATAACGACCCATCTCATGGAACTCACTCTAAGAACAATCCTGTTATACAACGAAAGAGAGATGAAGATCTCCTCTTACTTGATTACCCCGCTCAATCATCTGATCTTAGTCCGCAAGAGCCAGTTTGGAGAGCGATGAAACAGGTGCTTCGAGGTGGATCGTGGCATTCGGTGGAGGAATTTAAGCAAGCTATTCGGGCAGCCCATCGCTCGGTATCACAGCGATCAATTAGTGGATATATTAGTGAGATGCCTCAGCGTTGTAAAAAGCTCATCGAGCTAAAAGGAGGCCGAATTCGCTCCGATAAGTGGTAGAAAATGAATAAATTTGATGAATCTGAGCCTTTGCCAAGCCCTTGCACCATGAGTAAGCGCCCCCCCTTTGGGCCGCTCCAGCAAAGTATGTTCGACAGCGATCTAGACTGGATTAGATCTGGATCTGGATACCGCCGCCTGGATAACTTCATCCACCTTGGATCATTTGTAAACTGTACTCACCAAGAAATTATACCTTGCAACAGATGATTTCTATATAGGTACTAAGCCATACCAGGATACTAACGCTGCAATCCATTCTGTCACACGACTCCAGCGTTCCTCCAGTCAATTCAAGGTGTCGAATATGCGCCTCCAGGCAAGTCCGGTGAGGTCCAGCACAGCCCTTCCATGATGCAGGGCACTGCAGCATCACAAGCCTCATGGAGTCATGGCTGCTAACTTCAAAAGCCAGCAGCTGAGTCTAGATTTCGAGAGGGTTTTAAAGTCTTGCAGATATCCTTTCCTGTCCATGTAGCTTTTGTTTCGAGTTCTCGGCTTTTTTCTTCGTCTCTTTCAAGTCCAGCGCTTTGTTTCACCTGCTATTATTCATAGATGGCATCCAGAGAAGAAAAGCTCGCCACCTTTGCAGACCCGTCCATCGTCTCATCTCATTCGTTAAACATCATCGAGGGCTGGATCGACTCGCAACAACGTCTACAAGCACAACGAGGCAAAATCTCCTTCCATAACCTTCCCCGCTTCCTAGACGGTACCTCCAGCCCGATCGTCCCCCAAACCCATTCTTCCCGTCGACGTTTCCGCATCATCTCCTTCCCCCGCCTCGAAAATGGCCGTCTCAAACTGGGCTTCCCCCAACCCACCTATCACCAAATCCGACAATCCTGGTGTCTCCACGACCTCACCCTAGAAGCCTTCCTAAACAACAACGGCATCCTCTCCAGCCTCGAGACGCAGGACACCACCTGTATCCTCATGAAAGTCGCCGCATCCCGCTCCACCGGCTTCGATACCGTCTCCATCTCGCACCACCGCGCCGCGAACCTCACCAATGTGCTCTACTACAGCCTCGAAAACGAAGACGGGGTGTTTGACGCCCTCCTACAACACCCAGAGCGCTGCCTGCAGCCGTCGTTCTTCGCCGCGGTGCTCTACCGCTGCCACCAGCAGCGCATCGAGCGCTTTCGGGTAATTCTCGACGATGAGATCGTGGGGGTGGAGCGGGGCTCGAAGTTCGGGGGGCCGGGGCGGTTGTTTGGGCATCGGTATCGGCATGAAGAACCGGTCGTGGAGATGCAGGGGGATAGCATGACGAAGAAGTTGAGTTATGTGCAGACGGAGTTGGCGGTGTTGGGGCATTTGGCGCGGTCGAGTTTGGAGATGGGGGGGTGGTTGGTGGAGATGGCTAGGCAGGAGCGGGAAGGGGGGCTGGATACGGACGCGAGTGCCGTGACGGAAGAAAAGGGAGAGAAGGAATTGGGGATGCGGATGTCGGAGAATGTGAGGAAGACCCTCGATGAGGCGGAATACGTGCGCCGGCGTGCAGCGACTGTCGTGTCGCAGATCCAAGCTGTCAACGATCGAGTGCAGAGTCAGACGACCTTCGTAAGTCCGAGCCGCCACTGAAGTCTACCGATGAAGCCGTCCCTAATCCTCCCACCAGCTCCTCAACAGCTCCCTCCACAACCAAACTGACTACACCGCCGCCATTGCCCTCGAGACGAAAAAAGACAGCTCCGCCATGAAAGCCATCGCGGCGCTGACCATCGTCTTCCTCCCCGGCACCTTCGTGGCGACGGTGTTCAGCATGAATATATTCGACTGGAGCGGCGGTGAGGGTGCCGAGCCGCGCATGTCGAAGTATATCTACGTGTATTGGATCGTCACGATTCCCTTGACGCTATTAGTGATGTTCGCCTGGTGGGTTTGGCTTAGGAGGGATCTGGGGAGGTTTCGGAATGTGAGGAGCTTGAGTGACTTGCGGACGATGGAGAAGAATGTGTAGGGCTACGACTCTTATGATCTATAGATGGATGGACTAGGGAGGCATTATACAAACGAAGATAAGGTAAGGTATGATAATATTGTCTTCGGGATGCAGTCCTCTCCGATGCTGACGTCCGCAGAATAGGTAATCGCTGGTTGATATTAACTTTTCAGAAATATTATGCGGGAATCATCATTAGTATCATCAATATGAGCATGTGTTTCTTCCATTTACAAATCATTTTCCCTTGGTCCTTCAGAACTTTCCAGTCCCATCACAACATCGATCTCATGAAAACAGCATCCTCTCTTTTGGGATCCGACGGCATTAGCAACTTTGGAGCCATTATGCAAGAGTCATAGCGTTGCTCGCGGTAGATGTCCACCAGGCAGCAGTCAAACACAACGTCAACAATCCCAACTATTGCATACACCCTTCGCATCTGTCCGCCATACTGAAAGCGCAGAGATTTTGGGTGTCGAACAAGGCGGATGGCAGCAAATATATTCGTTCAATTTAGTATTTCCGAAGTATAGCTGTAGTCCGGTGTTCAGAAACCTAGGATCTTTCTTGCCGCGATCCTCTGCGGAAAGCCTGGAAAATGATCAGGCCAGGGGGATTGTTTATACAAAACGATCGACCCTAGTTTTGTCCTCATTGACTCGTATCATTTCTGACTCTTGCCTGTTATTTTCTTCAGTAATCATGCTGAATGGCATCGGGGCTACGTGTTTTCGTATATCGCTATCGCTCGCCGGGCTATCGGTGATATGAGCAAACTAGTTCACCCAGTACATGAGCAAAAGAAGTTGTTAGTTCAATCCGTGCGGGTTATTATTAACAGGCTTTTTTCTATTCACTAGATTTTCCCAGAGTTTTTTTTTTCTCCTTTGTCGCACATCAGCAATAGTGAACCTCATGCTCGATCAATGCTCCCTTGCATGCACCCGGCATTTGAGAGGACAGGAGTTTATATATTGTTTCCCCTTTATTCCCTCTTCTTTGCCGCGCATCAACAAGAATGACCTTCATGCCCGATCCGTCCGACTCTCGGAATTTGAGATGACACAAGTATCCATAAATTGCTCTCTCATTACGAAGACGTCTTCAATCTAGAATTAACACTAACCTTGAGTCCGGAGCTTCCAGGGCTCTCTAGTGGGGTATATGCTTCTTGAAGCTATTCGACGGACTAGATAACCTCTCCCTTATTCTCTGGGCCAACGACCTTCCCAGCAAGATCAGGATCCTAGAAGTCGTTGCTCACTATCGGATCACTCTCCGAGAATTCCGCTTCAACGACCAACAAAATATGGACCATTGGTCTACTTGGTTGGTTACTAACTTATGTGACACGGATAAGAGCCATCGTGGCCTCGTGGAGAGACACCATGCCTGAAGTGATGTAGGATCAAGCATTGAGCTCAATGATCCGTAGATGGAGGGAGTGAGAGGCTGGGCGGGTCCTTGAGCGAAGCCCTAGAGAAGGAAAGGATACAAATGGAAATAGAAGTTGATATTACACATAATTAATGTTTTTTGGCCTGACTTGAACTGACATAAAAATCTATCGTTTTATTTTAAAATAAAAAAATAAATGTCCGCCGAACCAGGATCGAACTGGTGACCTTTGGATGCCATGCACGATCATTGAAGATCCGATATTACAGTCCACTGCGCTACCAACTGCGCCACCAGCGGCAGTTCAATTAATTTTTCTACCTCTGCAAAGCCGTTCCCATGCATTCTCATCTGGCTCTTCAGTCCTTAGCCAAGGGTGCAACAGCCAGCCTGATCGTGTTTCTTACAGTGCTTGAATATTAGAATATCGCTCAAAATATGTCTTGAAGGCTGGCGAACATGCTCGTCGACCGTTGTGGAAATGAATCCAAGAATCTAATTAACTAATGATTTTGCTTCTAAGTTAGTCTCCAAGCTCCCTAAGAACCCCTCCTCGATCCATCATTAGCAATTCGCCCAGAACACCAAGAATTCATCGGAAAATAGCTAAAACAAAGGAAAAGCAAGGAGACAATAAGATAGCAGGTTGACAAGGACGAACTCAGCCAAAGCGCGGCAGATGAGCAGAGCCGCTGAAGATTGGCACACCAGTGACCAGTCACCAGACAGATCGAAACCGAATTAGGGTCACCATGGCAGCACAACCCTGTCAACAACGGGTTTTCATGCCCGCTAACTCAACAATGCTCCCATCCAATCTGGGGCGATAGCTTTGTCGGTACGCTCTGTCAATTGAATCTTTACGAAGCGTTCATAGATGCCCAGTGCTAATTCGGCTTCCAGCCTGATAGGAAGCACTATGCCCCTGTCACGAAAATCGTTTTCGATCTAGCTGGTCTTTCACAAAACACCACTTAGCTAATTTTGGTATGCATGAGGGTGATGTCGGATTTTGACATTCTTGGACGAAATTCGCCTTTTCGTCCTTTGAGAATGAATTTATCGATGTTTCTCCTGACTTATTAAATTTATTACTGCATCCTTTCTATGGAGCCGGAGGGACATTCGTTCATACTAAGACATACCTTTTTGACGTGAATAGCGGCATTTATCAGCGGGCTCCCAGGGTGAATGACTGTCCACTATTCACACTCGTGGCGGCATGTATGAGCCTTGAATAGATTTATTAAAATGTAAATCGACCACCTTTGACAATGCAACTGTATCCCTTGTTGTTATAGGCTTTTCTCTTTTAGTCAGGAGAATGAATTCCTCTTGTACTCATTATGGGCACTACTCAAAAGACACCCCTTATTTTCACTCAAAGTGCAGCCCCAGCACTAGTGGCCTATTTAAGAATATTGACAATAAAATCAAGGTATTCGTCGCGGTCTGGCGCGAATAAACTAGGGGCCGCAGAGCAAGCACGGGACGGACAGTCAGGAACCCGGAGTGGGCCGTAAGGAGTCGGCAAAATGGGTGGTAGCAGGGCGGCCTCAAAACAAGTGGAGGAGCCAAATCGGGTAGCAGGGGGGTACCCGAAGCAGGTGGCTGGAGGTGCCTATAGTGGGCGGTATTTTGGGCATTTGTTTTGGACCGTTCGATAGACAGCACCGCGTTAGATTCCAAGGTCACGCGATAGTGTGACATCGATAGAGCATTTCAGAACGCATGTTTTAACTTCTCTTTCGAGGCTTAAGAGTTAAGCACCCTGAATTCACTACTCGTGCCAGGCTTCCCCCCCCTCCAGGGTGGGTGCGCTACAGATCAACGCAAACCACACAACAACGCAAAGTCTGTACTCAACTCAAATAGTTAATTATCTCAACACCAACATGCCTCCTGATTTTCAATGGCAGTTTACTGCAAGCGGAGCTCGGCACGCAACAAGGCAGTGACTTGGATCGCTATTTAGATGCCAGCCACAACCGCAAACGAAAAACAACTCGTCGACGTGTTAATGCAGGAGGTCCTCTTTATGTTAAGGATGCAAATGGCCGGATTGAAGAGCGGAAGGCTACGGAAATGAGGGAGGAGTGGGAGAAGCGTGAGCGACGCCGGGCGCGCGATAAGAAGAAAAGGCAACGTGAGCTCACAGAGGAGGCTCGCAGGGGAGAAATAAATGGTGAAACAGCTGCTACAGCTACTGGAGATCAAGAAAATCTCCCTTATTTTATAGATACTCAACCGTGGTAGAAGAAATCGATTGTTTTGTTGCTTGATGTACTCGATTTTGCGTTGATTTGTGGCGCACCCACCCTGGAGGGGGGGAAGCCTGGCACGAGTATTCACTATTCACATGGTATTTCCAGGGTCTTTACTCCTTTACGGGCCCTGGTCTGTTGCGTGTTTGCCCTTTTATTAGCCAAATCATAAGGTCAAAGATGAAAGATCTGTGCGCCGAATTTGCTAGTAAGAAGGCACAGACACGGCAGACTAGGGCTGGTGAAGGAATGAATAATGCAAATGAAAAGTACATGACAGGATTCTTGAAAAGATTGATTAATATTCAACGGCTCAATGTATTATTCCGATCCCGTACCAACAATGGCTCAGAACATAAGAAACAGTTGGCTGCCTGCAGGGTTTGATGTTACATCTAAATATGGTAAGCAAAACTTGGGGATCACGATGGAGAGCAGCCGGACAACGGGAGAACGATACTCTGGGGCTATCCGTTGCAACTTCAATGGCTTACCAATTGCTTCGTCTGTAATAATGGATTGCCACTTTGGTAGAGACGCTGTCCTTCCCCGCTGGTCGGTTGCACAGATCGACGCTCAAAGCTCTGCTTATTATCAGCCCAATCGCACTTGTGTTTCTGGACGGAGATATCAGACTACCGCTTCAGGGTTAGGGTCTTCAAATCAGGGTTTCAATTGGTCGATGGCATCGTTAAATCCCTAAATGGTATATATGGCGCCACATCCTAAAAACCTAACCCCGACGCTAGCTACTACATACGTACGTATCAGTTCGTCAAGTATTTTAGTTGCTAACAACTCCTTATGACGACGCTTCCTGTTGACATGTCCTAGGAGGCTTGGTCGGACCAGCACGGAATGGACAACTCCCTTTAAAAAGGGGCATAGAATATTATTAAAGAGCATGGATTCTAACGCTGTTGAGGGGAGGAAGCAGACCGATCTTGGTCTGACACCACAACCGAACATGACCGGCATCGCTGATTTCACAAACATATTTCGGGCTTATCCCAACCCAAACACAGCACGCAAAGTCATTAAACGGCCGCGCCAGGCGTTTTCCTGCACAGCATGCCGAACCCGCAAGCTCAAGTGTGACCGAGAACGCCCATGTGGGATCTGCATCGCAAGAGGAGATGACGAAAAGTGTAGATATGCGTCGACGCCGAAGCAGCAGAAGGAGTCGAGGCTGGGCGTCCAGGGGCAGTTGCAGAGATTGGAAGAAATGGTGTCAAAACTGGTCCAAGATGGTAGTGCTGTTGCGAACTCGAATACAGCAATTACTCCGGATGATTCCACTTCCAGTTCCAATATGTCTACCAACGGCACGCAGCTGACGCTGGACTCTGAAGGGAGAGGCAGTGCGGAACCCGGCCCTAGATCAGTGTATACGGGGGCGACACATTGGACCACAGTCCTCGACGGTATCCGCGATATCCAAGACTGGCTTGACTTCGAACCCGAACCCATCCCATCGGCCCCGAACCCCCCGTCTAGTGGCGGGTTGTATGGCTTCATCTTCGGCGATCTGGAGCCGCTGAAGGTTGAAGAAGCCATCGAAGCGATACCTCCTCGTTCAGTCACCGATCCACTTCTGCAATTGTACTTCAGTTCGAAGTTCGCTTCGCCTACGTTTCTCCATGAGGGGAAGTTTCATCGTGACTACGAGCGCTTTCGAACTGACCCGGCTAGAACAAGCCTCTTCTGGATCAGTCTGCTCTATTCCGCACTCAGCATCGCGGCGCTTGCGGCTCACGGCAGCAGACATTATCTAACCAAGCAATCCTACAATATTGACCCTGCGGCCCTCCGGAAGAAAGCCGGCCAGTGTCTGGTGACTGCCGAATATCACGAAGCGCAGCAGTATACTATCGAGTCGTTGGTACTATATTGTTTGGCGGGATTTTACGCCACCAGCGAGGCTGATTCGTCGCTTTGGTCGTTGTTCGGATTGGTGACCAGACAAGCCCAGAGGATGGGCTATCATCGTGACCCAAGTCACCTAAAGAGCAATGATATCACACCTTTCGAAGCCGAGATGCGGCGACGCGTATGGTTCTATCTTGAGACGTTCGACGTCCTATTCTCTTTTCACCTCGGGTTGCCTCCAATCATCCACGAAGGTGTCTGTGACACTACACCACCGAGCCACCTCCTGGACGAAGATTTTGATGAACACAGTGAAGTACTCCCAGAGCCTCGATCGGACGTAGAACCGACGCACATGCTCTACCAGTACTATAAGTCGGCGTATATGCGAGCCTTCCGCAAAGTTGTCCGACACGCCCTCGCCGCCGGCAAACCGTCCTTCGAAGAGACCATCCTGCTCACGAACGAAATGGAGGACTTTCATAACGGGCTCGCTGAAAGCTTGAAGATCCGGCCCCTTCAAGTCACACACTTCACCGACCCACCCTCTACGATCATGCATCGACTGATGCTCGAAATGTGCTACCTGAAGAGCATGTGCGTGCTGCACCGTACCTACCTTAATTTCGAAAAACGCAATCCCAAATATGACCGATCCCGGGAAATCTGCCGTGCGGCTGCCATTCGGATCCTCGAGCTACAGTCCGAGTACCACCGCGAGAGCCAACCGGGGGGTCGACTGCACGAATCCAGCTGGATGATGTCGAGCCTGAACCATGACGACTTCCTGCTTGGCGCCATGATCGTCTGCCTGGATCTGCGAGAGAACGAGTCGATGAGCGTAACGGACCGAGCTCGGAAGATTGAGGCGCTGGAGATTTCGCACGATATCTGGTCGGAGCGGAAGGATCGCTCGATGGATGTGCAGCACGCGCTGAAGGTCCTGGGATTGATTTTGAAAAGTGTGAAGGGGCACGAGAATTGGCATCTGGGGATGCAAGACTCAGAGGTCGCAGTGATGGCATCCAGTGCTTTACTGGCTGGGAGTAGCATGCAATTTGAATCGCTGCTTATGCCGGGGACGGTGCAATGTGATATGGAGGACCTGTCCCTGGCCTTGATAGATTCTGAGGGATTCGATGAATTGTTGAATGACTCGGCGAACATTGATTGGGTGAGTTGACGTACTGAATAGCTTTGATTGCTACGGTAGACACTGACTTGCGTAGAATGCTATCGACGGATTCATTTTCGATCGTAATGGCAACCTTGATCACTCCGTGTACTCCTAGCTTCCAGTGCCAACCCGCCATTCCCCTGAGGCAGCTATAGATGGATACGTACGCCTCAACTTTTAAATAACCAGTCTGTAACATAAAGCACATATAGGGAAGTCCAAATATCCCAAGCAAAATTGAGGCGTAACGACAAACCACGCCACAAGGATTGGTGCTCAAAAGCAACCTGAGCTCAGAGGAACGCCAGGTCAGAATCATCCCCGATCGTCCCGTCAGCATCCAACTTCAGTATCTCACAAACCTGCTGCAACATCTTCCGCATCTTCTCCAGTATTTTTCTCTTGTTCCCCCCTTCATTCCGGCAGCGCAGGGTGATGACCTGTAGATTGAGATTTAGGCTTCGGTATGCCTTCACTAGGACTTTGATCTTGCGATAGTCCAGCTGTTGGAAATCGGCCCAACTCAGCGACCTTCCTTTCCCCCTAGTGGTGATCCCATTTAACCAGTCGGACGGGTGGTTGGTGAGGATCTCGGTTAGCGAGTCGAAGACCCGCATCTGCGTCTCACGGATGGACTTGGCCGTGGCGGCTAGGCTCTCGGCGCTGTCGACGAGGTAGAAATCGTCAGGGTCAGAGGAATCACGCGTAAATGAGATGGTGGAGGAGGCGTCCGATACGCGGCTGGTTGTTGAGGCGGTAGATATCGAACTGCGGTGGTGTGGTGGAGCACTGGCCCTCCCTGAGTCGCTGGTTTCGACGATCATCGGCTCCTCACATTCCAATTCTTCGAGGAGCGGAACCGAGGCACGCATTTCGTCTTTCAAGTCATATAGAGCGGATCGTATGGTGGTTATATTCCCATTGCGGTTGGGCTGGGCGATATTTTTGGCCAGATACTCGTCCAAATCACTGATGAAGCGCGGTTAAGACACTGATAGCCCCATCATGACGCGGAGTTGCTCACTTACCACTTGAAGATCGGTAAGAATTCCTTCAAAAATGTGGTCCTCTTCATCAACGTATTCGAAAGAGGCACCAGCTTTTTTACCACCTGCTCCGCGCTCCGAATCTCGACAAACCCTTCCTCATGCCCACTCCCCTCTGCCTCCTCTCCTTTCTCCTCCATGACGCCTTCCAGCAGTTGCGCCGCCTGGTCTCCCAACTCATTCACCGCCGCCAACGTATCTTGCACCCAATCCCCAATGCTCGGGTCCACCGGCGGTGGAGACCCATCATATCCACTACTCTCCACCTGCAGCGAGTAGCTGCCGAGGATAGTCTTCAGCTCCGTCGACAGCTTGGAGAGCTGGCGACATTGCTGCTCGAGCGTTGATGCAGCGGAGGGGGAGGCGCGGTCCTGAAGTTCGGTGACGAGGGGCAGGGCGGACTCGGTGCAGTCGATGAGCGCGGAGATGCAGCTGGTCAGGCATGGGATGTCGACCGCGACTTGCTCAAGGAAGGAGGCGACCATTGGGCTAGTTTCGAATTCAGTGTCGGTCATGCTGTTCACGTTGGCCTCAGTGAGGATACGACAAAAGGTGATGTGAATTCTGAGAGGAAGATTGCGGCCTTGCGATCGATTCGACACTTCAGCTGTTGCCTAATAATAGCTGCGATCGATTCCGGCTGTGATGCGGTATCTTGATACTACCACTTGGGTTGGCGCCCGCCAATTGACCCGGGTGTGGATTCTCTTTTATATATGTATATTTATATAAACATCTGGAAAACGAACCTGCTGAGGCGTTTCTTCAGTTACTCTAATCCATATACTATTCTCACCTACAGATCCCTCGATCTCTTAGAATCACACCAGAACAACGCCACTTGCTGATTCGAGGTTAGAGTAGATGCGGGGAAGGGAGCTGAGTTGACCCCTGAAACCAGCCAATGACCGGAAAGAGTTTCCGTAGCCCTACCCAGCTTCCGAGCATCCGGAGCTATGATCGGGTCGGAAACTACTACTTCAGTCACTGGAAGAGGACCATATTGAGGCATGTAAACGCTAATATTACTGTTCGCTATAGTACAGTCGCGCCGGATCGAGAATATAGTCCTATTACCCGGCAACACCTAAGACCCAGCAACCCCTGAAAACACAAGCCGATTGCGTTCCGCATACTCCTCGAACGCTTTAGCGTCTCCCACTAGGTCAGCAACGGCAATATATGTATCAGGACGTATCAAGTATGCTGCGTCGCGAACCAACCCCGTTCGTTGGTATTGATCCTGGTGCCATTCATACTCGTGCAACTGGACATTCGTGCTGCCGCACCATTCTCTGAGTATCCCCTTCGCCAGCCCATATACATGGACCTGCCACCCGATTCGATCATCAAAGCTTGCGAAATTGTCAGATCCATTTGCATCTGCAACCCACGGCAAACGGTCTCCTCCATGGACATCGCCCGTTGCGCCTTCCGACAGCAGAGTGCTCCGGTAATTGATCCCGATCTGCGAGACGGCGCGGAAGAAGAATTCACGGGCCCGTCCGATCGATAACACGAGCGGGACTATCAATGGCGCGACCCGCCTCCTGACAATCCCCGCCACGACGCTCTCCGCCGTCAGTGTGGTGAAGACGCGATCGGTCGTTTGCACGAGCTTGAGCGCAAATGCACGTCGCTCCGTCTCGTACGATGGAAGTAGGTCTGCCGTCGCTTTGCCGTGGATCACGCTCGCTAGTTTCCACGAAAGGTTGATGGCGTCCCCGATGCCGGTGTTCATGCCTTGGCCGCCCGCAGGGCTATGGATATGAGCGGCGTCTCCAACCAGGAATGCGCGGCCCTGGGCGAAATGCTCCGCAACGCGGTGATGTACGCGATATGTCGAGAACCAGTTGACCTTGTCGATATGCATGTTTAGCTGGTCGATGGCACGGCTCCCGACGGAGTCGAGAGTGAGAGCCTCCGGGCGGTCAACTCGCTCATCATGCACCATGCCGATAAGGCGGCAGTGGCCAGGTTTGTCGTAGGGGAATACGCCAATGATGTCGGCCTCGTCTAGATTCATGTGTGTTTCGTTGTTCATGCAAGGACCGCTGCCTTCAATGTCTGCGACGTAGAAGAGATGGTGGTAGGCGTCGCCGACGAACTCCATATTTAAGGCATTGCGGACGGCGGAACGAGCACCGTCGCATCCCGCGATATAGGAGGTGGTACATGTCTCTTTTCCACCGTCGGGCATGCGGAGCTCCGCAGTAACATGAGTGCCATGATCGGTCAAGTTCAGTAGCTCGGTGTTGCGCTCGACATTGATACCACACCGCTCAGCTTCTTCATTGAGTATACGCTCGTGGATGTCCTGTGGCAGAACGAATAGGAATGGATAAGGAGTGAGACCCTTTCCAACTTCAGCCAGAGGGACTCGCCCCTTGATTGCTCCTGCGACCCAGATGTTCGATGCTTTAGCCGGTTGTCCTTGGGCAAGACACTTTTCCGTCAACCCCGCGAGGCGGTAGAGCTCGAGAGTTCGTGCATGTACAACTGTGGCTCGTGAGGTCTCGGCTGACATGGACATCTTGTCGATTATACGAACTCTGACGCCTTGTTTGACGAGAAACAAGGCGAGGATAAGGCCAGTCGGCCCGGCGCCTACGATGAGGACATCCATGGGATTTGCAACCATAGTAATTCAGAATCCAGAATCTTCAATATATAAATATGTTAAAACTAAGAAAAAAAGGGTGCTCTCTCGTGAAAAGGAAAGCTGCGGATCATAGCATAGGACTTGGTTGTGCTGAACAACACAAAAAAAAGAAGACCAATCTACAAGACATATACCTCCTAGTCACTCTTTATCATAAGCCTCACCTTACTATAAGCGTGTCTCGAGAATGTCACTCACTAACATCACGGCAAATGCGATTCCTGTCGGCCATTAGGATGAGTGATGACTGATCAGACCGATCTCCTCAACACGCAAGGCTGCTGCCTTCCGGCACAAGGAGATCGCAAAAGTTGACCGAGAGCCGTGTAGTGTATATGAGAGCGGAATAGAGTTCCATGATCGCCCGAGCAATACCTTAAAATATGTCTAAAATGATATCTCGAGCAAAGTGCAAGATGACGCGTCCCGCCCATCGCTCGGATTTATGTGCCCGGCCGCAGGGAGCGGCGGAATAGTCTTCCCCCGTAGGGAGTAGAATTCGACGGTTGCCGAAAAGACCCTGCGCCTTGGCAAGCGGCAGGGGTTGCCGTGTGGTGGTTGATTCAGGAATGACAGGCCTCAAATCAGGCATCGAACTTCACATCAATTCTAAAGATGACGATGACTGGAAAAAAAATAGCGATGCAGAAGGAGAAGAGCGCGGAAATAGAAAACGAAAGGTCAAGGACGCAGTGTGCATGTGCCAGCACCGGGTGAATCTTGTTCCCTGCCACCATTTTTGCCTCCTGTTGCCGCTCGTTCACCAAGATGGCATGACAGTATCCTCGAATCTCCGGTGCCTGTCCACTCAGGAAGTCGGGATGACTCCTCGCCGCCTATACGAGGATGCAGCCTACCCCTGTGAACAAAACCTGATATCAGAGGATAAATCAAGACAGCGCTCCAGGCATGCACTCGAAACGCAAGTAACCCTTATGTCGTCGAGGGCCGCCGGTGAGGAACCGAGGAAGGCAACGGTTGCCGAGACATGTGTCAGGAATAACTGGCCAGCAACAGGATATCCTGTTGTTCAAGAAGGCCCTTGGGAATAGAGTTGCTGCCTGCGGCGTTAACAGGACGATTTGATAAGAGTGTCCACGTGGACAGGGCGATGTTCTGGACTATCACTGATCGCCTCAATCAACGTCTTCACACAGGTCGCCCTGTTCCCCACCATCATGCGAAGCGATGAGCTAACATCTCTTATGGTTTGAAATCGCCATTGCGTACAGCCGCAAACGGATAAATGGAAGCCTGTCATTGCGGTGTATCCGATGAAACCATCGTGCGAAAGAAATGGAAATGGAACACCTTGTCAATTGTTGGAGATAGTGACATCGCCCATTGGTTAGCTGTCGTGTCGATGACTCGAAAGTCGACGTTGACGCGCCCAAGCGGCCCCTAGCTGGCGCGAAATTGACGCGATATCACATGAGGCGGGGTCGCCTCCACTGAGGCGTGCAAGAGCCGGTTTGGGGCTCGGATGGATGAGGCTGTGCGGGTCGAATGAGTAACTTTGAGTGAGTCATTGGTATGGGAGGAAGGAGGGCATCGAGATGGGATTGGAAGTTGGAAGAGGGAGAAATGGTATTGATACCTAGGAGAAGGATTTCGTGGAAGGAGTCGGGCAGTCAGGGGCTTTTGGAATCAGGCAGCAATATTTCCAAAAATAGTTAAGGACTAGATTTTTATGGCGGAGTAGTATGGATGACTGCTACAGGTGGAATTACGCACACCTGATACAGAATGTCAAATCATGCCCGTTTTGGGAGTCGAGTTGAGCCCGTTGAAGAGTCCTCGAAGCCAGTCGCTTTGGAGAGAAGTCCAGAGAACTTTTAGCAACCGTTTCGAATTCTATGATACGTACACTTCTACGTTGAGTCGGATGATGGAATACAGTTCAGTATTGAGTAAAGTGTGCGAGAAAACAATTTGAAACCTCGTTGATGAGCGTAAAAGTTCCCGTTCGAAAGCACCCGTGTCCGCCGTGAAAGAAGAAATCGCACCGTAATAGAGACCCCCTCGTCTCAGTTCCATTCGACTCCAGTCCATGCCATGATACACCGGTATCAAAGGAAACCCACCCCGCGGGCGTGTTGAGTCCCGCAATGAATGAAAGAAAGCCAGTCCCGTAATGAAATAATCCCACCGCTGACGCGAAAACTTTCATCATACCCATTCTTCCCATTATGCGTGCAGCCCCGTCCTCGTCCCCAACTGGGCCACCAGCTCCTCCAGCCGGTGCAGCCGATGATCCTTCTCCGAGTTCTCCAGCTCCAGCTTCCGCAGCCGCGAGTCCTTCTCGGCGTTGTCGACCATGAGCCGCTCGATCTCGCTCTGCTGATCCGACTGCACGGCGTGGTAGCCGTTCATCTTGCCGTCGTCGGTCCGGCGGCGCTTGCCGAGGTTCGGCTCGATATTCGGGTCGGTGGCCGCGGCGCTTGCTTGGAGTTCGTCGACCATGTGCGAGGTGTCGGGGTTGCCGTCCTCGTCGATGAGGCCGGGGGAGCCGCCCATGGAGCCGGATTCGCGGCGATGGACGCGGCGGAGATGCTCCTGGAGGTTCTCCTTGCGGGTGAACGGAGGGCCGTGATGACGCTTGCACGCCGGTTCGGGGCAGTAGATAGTGATCTTGGTGCCGCCGTGGAGCTTGTGCACTTCTCTTTGGTGGCGAAGCAGCCCGCCGGAGTAGGTGAAGCCCTGGAGCTTCTCGCAGCCGGTCTCACGACACTTGTAGGGCCTCTCATGCTTGTCCATGTGTTTTCTGTGGTTCTTTGTTAGCTTGTGTTGCGGTCAATAAGGGGTGTTGTAGGGGGGTGAAAACGAACTCAATCGAGCAAAGAAGTGATGTTTACTTACCCCCATTCACATTTGCGATCGAACATCAGGTGCGCGCACTGAGGATGAGCACAGATGAACTTGTTCTGCTCGTTCTTCGGAGGTTCTCCTTCTCTTTTGTACGTCCAACCTCGACGGTTGCTGAACGGTTCGTTCTGACCAGGTGACATGGCCGAGTCGTCCATGTGCTCGATCTCTTCCTCAGCATCAACTTGACCAGTTCGGCTCAGTAACTTCTCGTCAATGGGAATCTGTGCGGCGTTTGCGTGATCCAGAGCCGGGTCGGTCATTTGCTGCAGCTCGGGCGCGATGTTGTGTTGAAGACCCATGGTCGCAGTTGCGACGGCTGTTTCAGGCATCCTTCTTGAATTTATAGAACGTGAATTCACAGGGGATCGGCTCAGGTTTTGACTGTTCACTGGAATTGATGCCTCCGGAGTCGATGCGTCATACAAATTGGAACAAATGTAGGAATGTTGCTGCGCCTCTCGAGGTGACCGAGAACTCAAATACGGTGCGTAATTTGGCTGTGGGAAGTACGCGGTTATATGAGTACGACGAGTAGCAATGCTGTTTCGTTCCTCTTGATGCCACCGGGGATCGTTGAATGATATAGCGGGCGCCTCAGGCAGATTTCCAGCTGTCGTGAAGTGGTCCTGCAGCAGACCTTGACTAAATACCTCTCAATGCTGTAGGCAGCCTGGGTGAGACGTGCCACTTAGATCGTGGATGGCGGGATGGGAGCCTGAAGTCCAGTCAGAGGCTTGCGAAGTGATTAATTTGCCTCGGATGGTGGAGGTAGACGTTATGCCGCGTCTGAGTCAAAGCCTCCCTCGAATGCGTACTCGATATGAGAGCGCGTCGTCAGGTATCAACTGAAGAAGACTGTGGCCTGGCAAGGAAACAAGGAGATAAGGAGACAAGGTGTCGAAAGATGATGGGAAGGCAGGAAAAGTTGAGAAAGTGGAAAAGAGCGGGAGGAAAAACGAACCTCGGGCAGCAAGGCAGAAGTCGGCGTGGATTGGTGGGAAGGGAATGACGGCCTGAGCGGTTGCCACTGTCAGCCCCACTTCGGTGTCACGTGTGGTCCGTGCAGAATTGATTACACCCTCAATTCCGGTGGTTGGATTGGGTTCTTCAACAACTTGATGATGATGAAACTGTTGGTCACCGAAAAAACTTGGCTCCCACGGGAAAGTCACCGAGTTTGCCTCAGGCCGTATTGGTTGTGGAGTGGTGTTCGAATAATTCGATGCGAAAACACTGCCATTATGTTCTGTTTTTCCGTTAGCCGCCCGGGTCACTCCGAGTGTTATGCACATTTCCTAAAATCGCCTAGTGTGAGTGATGGACATATCAGGTCACGTGGGCATGAAGGATCTCCGAAGTTTAACCAGAATTGATGCCCCAGTCATCAACATTTCTGTCGTGCCGACTATGGTTCATCACTCTCGCAGGTCTCACTGCCTGTCGTCGCTGAAGCCCAAGTCCGTTATGCATGGCCTAGCTTTCTTGCAAAGTATGCGCCTCAAATGTTTTTATTTCCTCTTTTGTCATCATCCGCGAGGTGGAATGTCATAGCACCATTTGAGAGAACGCCGATCCATGGCGGAGCCTGAAACATAACGAGAACGGGAGACTTACGTTGCGTTGTGCGTACGTGGCCACCACCCCATGGGCCCTCCGTCCGCAACTGGCCGATTGCGCCGCCCGGTGGGCAGTAGTACTGCCAGCATACTCCCCTTCACGTTAGGCGGTTAGCAAAACTCGGTCATATTAGGGTGGAAACTTCCTTACCAAAGTACGGCCAACGCGGGTTTGATACTCCACGGCCACGTCGTGCTGATCGGTCGTTCATTGTTGCGGTACTCCGAACACCACAGGTCGCCGCCGAGCTTGCCCACCGCCTTGAGTCTTGCCATCCAGGAGCTGCATCGGCCTTTGAACTCCTCGACAATTGTCTTTTCAATCCAGCTGATGAACCAGTCGCTTAGGATCCGTAGCAAGTGCTCCAGGTTGGCGAGCGCCGAGTCGCTTAGCTTGTCTCCCACGGCCTGCTGGTATACGAACAGCAGGGCTGTCTCGACGTGGCCGAGTTTGTCGGCGACGTTGAACAGGCTCAAGTTCTCGAACAATTGGCCCCCGCTTCCGTTAGCGAGGACATCGAGGAAGCGCTTGTCATCGGACGCGATGTCGCGTAGCGCTTCGGGGGCGAAGCCATTTCCCTTGTCATCGATCTCTTTCAAAAAGCCACCGCGAGGGTTAGTTAGGAACTTATAGGTGGGATATAAAGTGATGTTACGGACTCCCCTATGTCATGGTTGGTTGTCATGTCCTTGAGTTGGAACGCTTTCTCCCCCCATCGTTTCTCGGGGTGCCAGTTTCGAGACTTGGTCACTCGGTGAGCTGGTTCCAGAGTAATACTTCGTGATTTCTTGGTTCCTCCTGGGACCTTGCTTGGCGGGGTTGCTTCGGTGCTGGAAGCGGCATCCTTTGCGAGGTCTTGGAAACTAACGCCTTCGATACGGCTGATGGATCCCCGTACGCGCGGTTTGAGCCGATTACGGAGCTGGTTGATTAGTTGGTAGACTCGGATCGCTCGATAGATGTCTGGATGCTGTTTTGATCCTGACTTCAACCCCAACTCGCTGGGGGATGGCATGGTGAACGCGCTCCCTGGAAGCAATACTCATCCGCACAATGAACAAAAGATTGTTCTGACTTGTCGCAGCGAGATCGCTCCATCTTAACTTCGCCCACGAAAGGTGGCTATGTTTCTACTGTCCTCAGGACGGTCATCGTGATAAGCGATGGAGGTGGTTGAAGGCGAGATACCCAAGAAAAGGCAACTTCTGACATCCAGCGAAAATGAGCACTACTATTCATGAGAATATCGTCTGCCGCTTTAGGTAATCAACGGCCTCATGTTTGGGGCTGTGAAATTTCTGATGAGGCTGCATTCGGTGAACCAGGTTCTAGATATATTTCCGGTGAAGGTGGGAGGCATCAAGGCGGCGATGGAATTGAGGCATCATTTTTGGATAAGGCGCCATATTCAGCTACTTCATGCATTTAACCATTTTTCTTCTCACTACTCCATCAGACCACTTACCGATGCTGCCATATAGCACAGGAACATGGAGAACAAAACCCGGAGGTGTACGAACTACACCACGAACCACCTAGTTGTGGTGCATCAAACAGGTTGTTTCCATGCTACGGTATCGTTGAAGCATCTCCCAAAGTCGCACGGTCGACCCGTTCTGGTTGCTGTCATTGTATACCGTACATACACTGTGCCTCATCTGCCTGATACGGGTACGTACTGTATAGTATCGCCTCTTTTGCCTAATATCGCCTCACGAAAGTTTTCCTGCTCCCGTGGTTCGTTCCTCCATCCATCACCATAAGACAATGGAAGATTTGCCGGCTATGGATGCTCCGTTGCTCTAAACATTGTTTAAACAAATCCAGCTCGGACAGGCTTTTTCTCAGGAGACCCTTTCCATAACCTACACTATCTTGTTATCAGTTGATATTCTCTCGGTCTGGAATCCTGTCACAATGGCTCCATCGGTAGCTCTCTACAACCAAATCAATACACGCCCTTTCGCAACCAGACTTCTGGAAGTCCTACCATCAAACGACGAAAATGAAAAAGCCGCTTGTCGTTTCATAACTGCATCACTGGATGCGAATCCTGCTTATATCGCGATTTCATACACCTAATATTTGCCCTTGGACACGACCGAGATAGTCGCAAGTGGCCTCACTACTATTGTGAGGATGAACCTAAGTTCAGCACTTCAACATATCCGCAATCGTCGTTCGTGAGGTGTTACATTTCTCACGATTCCTTGATGGGCCAACTGACTATTGGCTTTTCTCCAAATGCGTCTGCTGTAAGCGTCGCACCCATACGTAGTAGCATTATGGGAGTGTACTTTGTTAGAGAAACAATGGACGGTGCTGCTCATTACATGCGACAAGCAATGTGCTGGGAGCTCCAAATGGGTCTGATGCCGATCTCCAAGGGACGAATACTAGGACATCACGATTAGCTCCAAGTATCGAAATGGGTCCATCAATAACGTCTGCATGACCGCAGCCAGCGCGCCAGGTGTTATAAGTCTCACGTCTTCTGGTCTCACTGCAGAGAGGCAAGTTTTCAGAAAACCCTCCTCACCAGACGAACTCCGCGGTCACAAATCTCATAATACAATCGGTCCGCTAGATTACATCACTAGCTTCTTTGCCAACCAATCTATCTCTATCGATACTGGCACAACCTTAGCAAGACCCGGATCTTTGACTTCTCGGCAGTCTGTCAGCAGTGCGTACATTCCCGGAGACACACCTGTAACGCTTCCAAGTGCGACGAATACCCTCCTACGGCCAGTCCGTCCCACACCCACTGTAACCGAATCATTGTCGATCATCCTTCGTGGAGCTGACTCATCTTGCAATCTTTACTCGTTTTCGGGCGACCTCCCCTCGGATGATGAAGTTAGAAAGCTCTTCAGGGGGGTTTCTCGGATTGATTTCTTACTATACACGTATAATTTCGAGTGCACGTTGAGAAGCTAGCAGCTGCTCGACCACCATTTCGTGATTATGAGCTGCAACTGCCTGGATCGCCGTGCCGTAGAGGCCTCCCTGCGCCGTAACGTCGGCTCCCGCCTTGAGGAGCTGCGTCACGACCTCTCGGTGTCCTCTATATGCAGCCGTCTGGAGCGTTGTGCCGAAGTGGCCTCCCTGCACCGTGACGTCGGTTTCCGCCTTGCACAAGAGAACCTTTGATCAAATGCTGACAGCCACGAAAGGACAAGATATAAAGAAGTCCCGCATCTATGCTATTTACTAGCCATCGATGCTCCGCATCACCGCTAGGGTTATGAAGAAATATTATCCACCACTTAAATCAATCGCTTTGCATTCGAAGCCACTGTATAATAGCCACTCGCGTGACTCCTTCAGATAGTGCCTTCTCTGCGTGGTTGAGCATATGACTCACCGCATACCCCAGAAAAGGATATTTGCCGCCCAACTCCTTCATTTTCTCCTCGCTCGTCAGTGCCCAAGTCATCCAGATCAAACTTACTGAGGTTCCCATGCTCATATTTCAAGTTTGAAGCCGGGAGAACCAGCACGATGCCCATGAGACAGTATCCATGAGATGGAAGGGAGAGGGAGCTGAGATACTACTCAGTTCTGCTCGAAGAAGTCAAGAGAACTGCATGACTGGTATAAAATCAGAGATGCGGAGGTCAGGGAACTGTTCTGGTAAAGAGCACCATCGTTGTTGCATCTCAGCCTTTCTGCGCTGCAGCCAGGCCGTGGATATGCAGATGTCTGCTCGCTCATCAGGCGCCTGGGAATGGAAAGAAGCCGTGAGTGTCACTAGAATTTCGGGGGAGGGGGTGGGCCAAGGATCCGCCATTAGCTCGACCTAGGAAACTCGCTCGAGTCTCCTGCAGTGGATCGGTTAAGTGTTTATCAACCAAGACGATTCGGATGAGAAAAACGAACAGGTGCAACTAATGGGCATGGTCTATTCAAACGCATCGCTGGTCATCTCGTGGCTGGGCTGCGACCAGGAGAGAGAACTGAGCTTCCATCCAACTGATCCGAACTGTGGCGCTTGAGGCCGATTCATCAGGAAGCTGGCTAGACGGTCTTTCGTGGATCCAGAAATAACCGTGGCTTCAAGTCTTGAACGTCGTCGACGAGCGAAGTAACATATTCCTAACAAAGCATGGAGATCCCTCTAGGCTTTTATTTTCGATCCGCTCTGGACTCTCGTGTGGATTGTCTAGGAAATGGCACTCGCCAAGGATCTCAAAGTCATGGTTGGAAGTCATTTGATTTCCTTTAGTGGGATTGAATCTTCCGTCAAGCTATTGCATGAATATTGCGATTATCAAGAATCCCGTGTCCACAAGTTCGACAAGACATATAAGAAGGGCATATATTGTATACAGGAGATTACTGGGATCGGCAGAGACTTGTCGACCGGCTGGAAATAATCGAACGTCAGTTGGGAGAGGTCAAAGAACAGAACAACTCACCGGGTCCAGTGTCTCGAGACACAGATTGAAAATTTGAAGGGGTGAAACTCGCGGAACTAAACGACGGACTGAAGAACAGTCGCAACTCATGGCTCCACAGCGAAGGGGATCAACCGCGACAGGGACGATCGGAAGAGCTAGAAGCACCCGAATATCATCTGCAATCCGTGCGGATCATCCCCTCAAATCAGTCCGAACAGTAGACATGGGCGCTACCCGTCAACAGAGTGCGTCGAGAGCAGAACAGCGCAAAACCGCGAAAGGAGCGAAGAACCACCAGGTTTCGAGACCGAAAGAGAGAGATTCGACTGGACTCCGGCATAGCGAGCGCATTGTCAAAATTCGAGAAAATCGGAAGCCCTGAGAAGAAGTAACGATTTATTTCCATATAAGCTGTAGCAAGACCAGCTCCGCAGAAGAATGTCTACGAAGGCCCTGCTTCTTGCAGGACTCTGACTTCTCTCCGTGAGACTTCCCCCCGCCTAGGCATATGCATGCCTCGCTGATTGTCTTAAGCCGCATTCATTTTGTGGTACTCGTCTGAATCGATCGTGTCTAGGTTGATAGAGGTCGGAAGGAGTGGGGCTGAGTGGTAAGATATCGCAAGACTGCGATTGCAAACATGACATGCATAGTCCGTCGTTGTGGGCGCGTTATTATGAGATCCGAGAGTGCCGAGATATGGATCGAATGGCAATCCATATTTGCAGTGATATTGGTTGGTTTAACATTAATTCACCGTTCTAGATATTCAGGCATTTATGGTGGGAATGGCAGCCATGACCGTTTCGTCAACATTTGGGAGCAATCGCTTGGGGCATTGAGATCATCACGAGCGTCGAGGACGAGAGTCGGAGTATAGGTTCTGATCGCCGAGAGAGCTACGAGACGCAGTTGACACATAATTAGGAGATTGGGTAGACCGGATCATGGCTTTGCTTCTTATTCTGCTGCAATATGCAAGCATTTTGCCAAATTCGATCAGGTGAGGTTTGCTGGAATCACTGGAAGTATGAGGTTATGTCTGGTAGACTATTGAGAGAACCCCTAACAAAGCTGACGATATTATTATCCCCACCGTGGATAGCATCACGAAGATTGAACGATAGATCCAATGAAAGCACTGGATTCAGTTCTATATTTGCTTGCGTCGTGCAGCTTCTTAGTGATTCGTCCCTATTGACATTGATCCTCGGATGTTCTCATTGCACGCGTGTCCTGTCATCCGGCCATACCCCCATGAACCCGAATGTAGTCTCCCAAACCCCAACGCTATGCATTTCCCATCCCAGACATGAACCTAAGGAAATACGTCTCGTACGATGTTCTGTCCGTCGTCGGGCCCTTGCCGTCGGCATGCGTCTGCTCTAGCATTCCCCGACATAGTTCCTTGATCAGCTCCGTGACGGTCGCCTCCGAGACCTGCATGGCCGTCAACTCGCCCTCCAGCTGCCGGACGTACAGCAGCCCCGTCTTCCGCAGCAGCTTGATCTGCATCTTCGAGATCTCGATCGCCATGCCGCGGCCAAGAGGATACTTGATCGTGAACCCGTTGGACGTGGGGACCGCCCACGCGAGCGGCGCGAACCGCTGTAGGGCGAACGTGTCGAAGCCGGGGAAGATCGGGCTGGGCTCGGACGTCTGTCCGTTGATTTGAGGCTGGTTGGGCTTGTGCAGGCCGAGATTTTGGAGGAAGCTTTCGGGGAGCGCGACATCGGGGCCGCCCCAGACAGAAATGAAGCGACTGAGCACACCGAGCGACATTCGGGCGCTCTGCATGTCGCTAGCGTCCCCTGCGTACGTGCAAATAGCGGTGATGAGGGTGTCGAAAATGGGTTGGTTGGCTACATTGAGTTAGGCATGGACGTCAAATAGCCTTACCAGGGCATGGGTGGGGAAAACTTACTTTGACTCACAAAGACCGACGCAAGATCGTTGTTGAGGATGCACGAGATGAAGTCCAAGAACTCCCGACGCAATTCCGCAAGCTGGATCTCCTCGTCGGTCCCGGTTGCCGGCTCCCCTAGGCCGGAAAAGATGCGTTGAAGCAGCGGCGTCACAATCGTGTCCAGAATGCCGTAGATCTCGGTTTTGAAGGCAAACACGATCTGTTTCAACGATCGTAGGATCGGGGTCATCTCGTCGTTCGTCGAACTCTGAGATAGCAAGCCTTGGATCCATCGGGGCAGCTGCTGGAGGATGTTGGAGCCCAGCACGCCGATGAGGCGCGAGAAGGTAAAACGCCCTGCCGTTCGGATGGCCATTTTCGGGGCGAGGGCCTCTAGGGCAACGAGGGTAACCTCTGCCGCGGGAACAAATGCTTCTGAAATGATCGAAGGCGGTGCGTTGCCTACCGATGAACCCGGTTGCCAATCAGAGAAGCCACGGGCTAGCGTGCCCAAAGCCATGATATCGTGGTGTAACTGTAGTACGGCCGTCTCATCGCCCCCTTTCGCAGCAGGCAGATTCTTCTCCATATCCCCGAAGATCGGGTTCATGACCGATTGAGCATACAAGATCTTCTTGTCAACCTCCACGGTCGTGGCCGACAGCATGCAGCCAACGGCCTCGAAGAGGTTCAGCTGCGCCTCGAACTTGGCGTCCGAAGATTGATCCTCTTCGGATGACGACATCTCCTCATCGGCGGACGCTTCTGGCAGCTCGGCTTTGATGACAAGCAGGTCGGCGATCGCTTCGATCACGTTGGAGACAATGCTGCCAATGTGCGTCTTGAGCGGCTTCACGAGCTTCAAGAACAGGTACCAGGACCGGGTTCGCACCTTCAGGTGACTGCTATGAAGGAATCGGATGAAGTTCTCCAAAATCGGTGGGATAAGGCCGGGATTGATCTCCAAGGCCTGGCTGTATCGGTTGCAGATTTCCATATACTGCAACTGCACAGCAGGATGCCCATGCGTTCCGATGCCTATGATAATATTAGCATGACTGCAGAACAGCCTCCATTAGCTACTCACCTAGCTCGATCATCTTCGACAGCAACCCAATTGCTTGAGTCTCCGATTGTGTAGGCGCCCCGCCTGGTTTGTGTTTTGAGAACATCCCGCTTCCTTTTGATGGCACAACCTCCAATACGAGGAACAGCTCCTGCAAGGCTAGATCCAACTCTCTCCAATCGATACCCGATTGGTGGACCTGGAATTTCTGAAAGCTCTCGGTCACGATCCGAGCAATCGTCTCCATAACCAAGGGTTCGTTGATCGCAGCCACGGTCTGCTGCAAAACAAAGAGTCTTCTTCTGAGGTCTTGGAATTCGGCTTCGTCCGTCTCCTCCCCTTCCTCGCCCCAAGAAGCCGTTTCGTCGTACTTCATCTTTGCGATGATGGCGTCCAGAATCGATGGCAGCATCCGCTGATACTGATCGGGTAAGGTATCCTTTCGTTTGCGGAAGAAGGTCAGGAGGTCGGTAAGGGAGGGGATGACGGTCGAGCACACTTCGTCGAACTCGTCCGAGAAGAACCGGAGCAGGAAAGGGACGAAGGTCGAGAGGAGGAGGTCGGCTTGTTGATGGACTTCGGGGGGGCATTGGGTGTCGAGAACCTTGACGATGTCGAAAACGACATTGTTGACGAGGCGAGCGACCATCTCAGCCAGATCCGTATCGTACTGCGAGGTGAAGCGGAGCTGCGATAATGGTTGGCTGGCAATGAGCTGGTCCACGACATTGCTGAGGTTGAGGTAGACCATCAACTGGATTTTCTCGGCGGGTTTCATTTTCTTCGCAACCGTCTCGCTGAACGCTTCGATGGCAACGTCTCGTAATTTCGCCCTCCCCTCGTCCGATTCTCGTGATATGACCTGCTGACCCGCGATGTCGAAGAGCGCCGAAATCAAGGTCTGGTTGACGATGAGGGATATATCCATCCAGCTCACCCATCGGCTGATGGTCCGAATGCACATCTCGACGATAGTTTGGTCTATCCGGCTCCATTTCGAGAGAATATCTTGCCATGACGTCGCGATCGCCTGAGCATCCCGTTCCCTGATTAAATCCTTCAAGTCATTGTTCCGCCTTTGCTCCTCCCCACTCCGCGGCGCCAGCACATCAGCAATCTCGTCATGTATCGATCCCAGTAGCCTCAAATACATGATCGTGCCAATCGGGTTGCTTTCCGCGATGTTGGGAGGCTCTCCCTCTGCGAGGCTGCGGAAGTCTGCCAGACATGACGTCCAAGATGTCGGATATAATGAAGCAAACAACGCCGTCAGAGCCTGCGTGAGTTTGTTCTGGATATGCGGTGTCTCGACCTTGTCTGCCGTCGGAGGACCGCCATATGTCCGTTTCGTATATTGCATCAACTCGGAGCGGATGTACTCGAGGGTCTGCTTATCGACCTGGGGCGATTGGATGGCATTGTTGATGACTTCCAAGCAGAAGTGCCGCACAATCTCCTCCGCCTTAGGCGATCGAACAAAGAGAGTGAGGCAGTACTGTCCTGCCGAAGGGTCGGAGCGGATTTGGTTGAGGAAGTTAATGGCCTGGGTCTTGAGATTTGGATCCGCGGCTGGGTTCCAGGCAATCTGAACGGCGTTTTCTATCTGGAAGGTGATGTTGGTGAGCAACATAGGACTTGAAAGTTGGACAAGGAGCATCTAGTTACCTGGCCGTCCATATCCACCCAGGCCGCCCACCGGTCCTATACGTATAAGGATGAAGGTCGTAAGAATGTCAGGTGGTTGTTATCTGACGCTTGACATCGGTACCCGGCAGGTTATGGGGAATGGAGCGGATTTAGCAGGTGTACGCCTCGGGAGATAATGAAGGTCGTCGACTAAACAAATTGGACTGGACAAATGGTCGCAACAATGATATTCATTCCAGCCAAAAAGAATTGGTGAGCTGGCAGGGAACGGCGTGACCGGGGCTTTGCCGTTAGTACAGACAACCAATAATAAATGAGGCCTTTCGATGATCGATGAGGTCTAGACAGGCGAGTCTAGTGGTGGCTTTCGAGAAAGGACGGTGACACATAAAATGTAGAAGATCACCTTGGCAGTAACTTCGTTGAATTGATATTGATGATCGATAGCCCAGCAATGCGAACTGTGAGCTCGTTAAGTTTAGTCCCCAAATTTTCCCGAGCTTCAGCAAAATGGCCAATCTCGCCCAATCTCGAGCTCCACTATCCAAACTGCGGATATCGATCCTTCCCCGTCATAATGCGATGCAGCTTGCCGTGAGTCTCTACATATATGTTCAATAATGCCCTGGGTGTATTCCCTGGAAATGTTCTGTATCCTTGGATTATTTTGGTTTAAGTTATGCATAGGGCGTGGTTTACAAGGCTCCGCTCACTCATTCACTCACTGTATCCGTAGGTGATACGACAGTAGACACACCAGAATGAGGACCTTATCCTGGACCCAAATCCTTCTCCAAGTGGTCCAAACAAGAATATTTTCCTATAGGTATTCCTAAAGCCTCTGCTTTGATGCTCTAAGCTCGTCTTTAGAATTAATCCAGGGGTGTGTCGAAGGATTTCTATACAATTGTAGTGATATTAACCAAGATCCCTTCTTTGGAGGGCTTGGTAGACCATCTAGTCCAGATACTTACAGGATATGTTTCGAGGACAGGAACTTCGCAGCATAACTGACATGGTTATCGGCAAAGCTCGAAATGAAATAGTAGCTGTGGTCATAATCTGGCTGCATGCGGAGGGTGATATCCGTATCGTTGCCCGCCTCCTTGGCCGCCGCAATGAAGTTCTCTGGAAGCAACTGTCCCTGCTTGTAGAAGTTGTCGCCAGTTCCCTAAGGTTGATAAGCAGGTGCGAAAGTCATCATATCTAGCTTACTCACCACATCGATCAGCAGACTCAGCGGACCTTTCCACTTCTTGACCAGCTCGGTCGCATCGTGCTCTTGCCATTTCGACTGATCTTCGCCGAAGTAGCCGTTGAATGCCTTCTGGCCCCAGGGGCAGTTGATTGGATTGGCAATTGGCGCGAATGCGGAGCATGACTTGTACATCCCAGGGTTTCGGAGGAACTGGCAGAGATATTAGCGAAATACTGAAGACTTTAGTTGTAGAGAGTCAAACCAGTGTCAAGGCGCCATGCCCGCCCATTGAGTGACCTGTGATACTGACTTTTGACGAGTCCAGCTCTGGGAACGAACTGAACAGCGCCTTGGGGAGCTCATCGGCAATGTAGGAGTACATATTGTAGCCCTTGGTCCATGGCTCTTTTGTGGCGTCGACGTAAAAGCCTGCACCACTACCAAAGTCATATGCATCATCTTCCCCTTCGATTTTCAAGCCCCCTAGATAATATCAACCAGCCATCCGACGTCTGAGAATAAAGTCTTGCGTAAACATACGTGGACTGGTGTCCGGATAGACGATTGCGATGCCGTGCTCACTTGCGGGCTTTTGGAAGAATCCCTTTTCGGCGCAATTGTCTCCCGTGCAGGTCAGGCCGGATAGATAGAATAGGACCGGGACTTTCCCCGACTGGGCCTGTGGGGGAAGGTAGAGGTTCAAATTCATATCGCAGTTCGTGCTAGAAGCCTTGTGGGTGAGCTTCAGGAGCTTACCGCCGCACGAGGCGATGGTCGCGTTCGTGGTGAAGGCCATTTTGGCAGGCAATGGTCCTAATCTCAAGTAGATCGAAGGAAAGGAAGAAAGTCAAATTGAATATAAATCACTGTGCAGATTTGATCTATATAAATCTCGCATGAGATGTAGTTCGCCTGCAAAACTGACGTAGCGCGGGGTGGCAGGGTTGATGGGCTTTTCCCTTTTAGGTCCGAATGTCCCCGTCTGTATCAATATTATCGAACCCCTGGGTGAGGAAATATAAAGGTCTGGTTCTTTGCGAATAAGATAGTAATGCATTTCGTATAAAGTGTGTGCGAAGTCTTTGTATCTTAATCGCGCAGGTGCTGTGCTATCTCGATTCTGAGCGCAGATGTCGATATCGCTTGTTCCCAGGAGACTACCATCACCTCGCGATGTTTGCATTTGGGAATAGAAAACCCGCTGACTACCCAATGTCCAAATGCTTGATGATTCCGATTACCACAAACGCCTCATACTGCCTGGATCCGTGCCTAACCATTCCAGCTCGTGCCTCGCCATGTCCCTAATCGCTCACAGCAGCTCTTCGCAGGTCCAATCTTCGTAGCTGTGACGGTAAGGTTAGCATTAGAAATAGGCAGTAGAGAAAGTAGAGAGACATACCAGCCATCCGGGAGATATCTCCGCACAACCAACGGAATCTTCTTCTCGCGCAGCTCCTTGATCGCAATCTGAAGCGGATCCGTCTCCCCCTCCAAGTCCACCAGAACCGGCGCATTCATACTAATCGCCAGGAACACATTAGAAAACCCTCCCCCCTCGCTCAAGCTAAACCTTGGTTGCGTCTCACCTGATCTGCAGCGCCCTCGTCCCCAAGATCCTCGCCCTCTCGTACTTCGTCATATACGGCGTCGTCATCCGCTTATCCTTATCGACCTTCTTATCCTTCTGCGCGGCGACCGTGTTCGTCGGCGTGGGCTTGTTGACCGCCTTGCCGTTTTCGCTGTGCACGATGTTGTTCGGGTCGGGTTCGCCCTCCGCCCGCCGCTCTTCCGGGTCGACGATGTCCTGGCCCGCCGCGGGCGATTCGTAGTCCTCGGGTGTGAATGATTCGGGGGCTTCGTCGTACTCGTCGCCAGCGGGGCCCTCACTATTGGATTGAGTCAGTAGAATTGGAGGAAGCGGGAGGCAGGAGATCGTACTCGAGTATCATATCATGGTCGTCGTCGCCGGCGTCTGACATGTTGGCGGCGTGTAAAGTCACTTGAATCGGCTTTAGGAAAAGTAAAGAAAGCGGCCACGGGTCAAGGTGAAGTGGTAAAATGAGATGGAAGCACAGATATTAGTAGTTAATGTGACCGTAGCAGAATAGAACTGGTGAAGTCTGTCTCAGCACGTCTGTTCGCCAAGAAAAAATGTTGGAATGGGTCCCGTCGTCAGGGTCCGCCACACTTTTATTCCCCCTCCCAAGGGCAATAATATATTCTACAACAACAATTGTACACCAAGTTCAGAACACGGTATTCTCCTTTAAATTGTGCTATGAGTTAGAGAAGGAGTCGGAATTCGGAGATCCCTCTTATACCGAGGACCTCAAAATGCTTGCCCAACCGTCCCTCAAGCGACATGCATTTGATTTCCAGGACGCAAGTCCAAGTAAAAGGACACGCAGAGGTAAGATCGTCTCCCATGGTATCCATCGATTTACTCACACAATTTCTAGCCTCCGACGAGCTCCCAGACATAGATGAGGACATCATCTCTCCAGAGCATCTCATATCTGAAACAGAATGCACCCCTCGCACCACCCGCTCCTCCTCCACCGCCTCCCGTCCCAAGATCTACGACTGCCCCTACGACGCCTGCGGCAAGTCCTTCAACCGCCCCTGCCGCCTCTCCGACCACATCCGCACGCATACCAATGAACGCACCCACGCATGCCCGTACCCCGACTGCGCGAAGACCTTCTTCCGCGACACCCACATGAACCGGCACATCAAGTCGGCGCACAAGCAAGAGCACAACTACGGGTGCACGTGGGCGGGGTGCGGCAAGCGGTTCAACACGGGGACGCGGCTCCGACGACATATGAAAACGCATGAGGACGTCCAGTTCCAGTGCACGGAGTACCCGCCTTGCGGCGAGATGTTCAGGAAGCATTCGACCCTCGCGGCGCATGTCTCGGAGGTGCACCTGGGCCGGAAACCGTATCCGTGTCCATACACCGACGATAGCACCGGCGAGGCATGTCCCCGGGGCTACGACAGCGCTGCGAAGTTGAAGAGCCACATTGAGCAAAACCACGAGAGCAGCAAATCCTACTGGTGTCCCACCTGTACCCAACACGCCTCGTCCCAGCTCTCCGATCAGCTCTCCGACTCCCCCCAACAACCCCCCCATCTTGCTCCATTCCCCACATACCGTGCCCTCCAGACTCACATCCGCGACGCACACCCGCCCCAATGCCCACACTGCTCGACGCCCATCCACCGCGCCGCGGCGCTACGCGCGCACATCGAGCTCCACCACCCCGACGCCCCGGAGCGGCCGGACCCCGCGGACTGCAAATACGCGTGCGACATGGACGGGTGCGGGCGGGCGTTCACGCGGCAGGGGATCCTGGCGGAGCATAAGCGGCTACATCATCGGAAGGCAGGGCGGAAGGGGGATGCGGAGGTGTATGTGGCGGCGAGGAAGGGGAAGAGGTCGGATACGGTGATGCGGTTGACGGGGGCGGGGTATGAGGAGAGTGGGCGGGAGGTGGGGTGTCCGGTTGGGGGATGCGGGTGGCGGTTTTTCAAGGGGAGGGCACTGAAGGGGCATTTGGAGGGGTTGCATGGGATGAGTGGGCGGGAGGTGGCGGAGATGGTGTTGGAGCAGGAGGCGGTGGTGGGGGGGCAGTTTTGGGTGGGGGCGAGGGGGATGGGGTTGGGAGTTGTGGATGAGGAGGAGGACGAGGATAATCGGTGGTTGGATCGGGAGATGGGAATTGAGGAGGGGATGGAGGGGATGGAGTTGAAGAGGGCGGAACCGGTAGGTGAGGACATGATTGATCCTATGATCTTAGGGTGAGGGATCAGATGTTGTTCACGGTGATGGCGTTGCGTCACGAGGTCCTGTGTTTAGCGGAGCGTTGATATATTGATATATGTGTTGAAGGATCATCCCAAATCACCTCTTTGCGAAGCGGTGCTACCATCTGGGAGAGGATATATATAGGTCTTCAGTACTATATGTGTTTCAAACTAAGTAGATAGAAACTTGCTCACCAGGGCTTCTACAGAGCCGCAATATCACGCAACATACCACTCCACCAATGTGACCCATCCTCCGAACGTACCTATCTTTCGAATTTGCTATACTATATCACTGCAATAACTACATGTGATATTCTGACTTGCCTCCATCATGTCAACCCTGAGCGCATCTCCAATATAAGCAGCAGTAGTGTCAGCAAAATAGACACTAAACGTTGTCAGGTCATCTCGGGCGTCATTTGATAGTCGGTCCGGAACCGGAACCGAGCACCTATATCGAAGCCCTAACAGCTGTGATCGCCGGTGCAACATATATTGCTGCTCAGGGTTGAGGGGTTGGCAGTCACTATGTGGTATGGATGCCTTTAGGTACGTGGTGTTGTTGGCTGGCTGAGCGCAGGGAAGTCATCCTAGAGGAGAAGAAGAGTCGAGCCGACTTGTTTCAGTTGGTGGAGAGGAATGGTGGTAGAGCTGCTCTTTCGGAAATTCTAGGTTTGATCAGCACAAAGGATTGAGTGATGAGAGGTATCTTGGCATACGGCGTGCGGATCTCTTCGAGAACCGACTGGAAACGAGACGTTCTTAACTTTTCCCCGGGCGTTGATTGTCCTGGTCGAGATATATCACTGTCCATTTCCTCATCGTAGCACCTCAGTGCAATCGGCCTCACCCTCCTCCTAACATGTCGCCGTGATTCTCTTCTAGTCATCATCGACCATCTACTCCCTTCATAGTTCATATCCCCCAAACCCACTAGCCGTCTTCTCTTCTCGTTTCCGATCATCATCTCACCCGTCCATTCAGCACAAAACCCCCAATCTGTCAATCATGCCGATCATTCATGTGCAACCACCCCATCGTTCTAGAAGATTACGAAATCGGGGTGGCTGGGACCGCATGTGGGTTATCATCCCGTGCTATCGACAGGGTTCGAGGGCTGCCCCGGTGGGGTGATCGGCGCCGGTTATTGGGATGGAATATATATCCTGGTACGAATATGTAACTCAGGTGAGGGCCCCGGGATGGTTGCCAGCTTCAAATCAGTTCTGGCGACTCTTTGTTGGGGGCGGGCAGGGTATTCGACATCGGCAGGGATCATGGCGAGGAAAGGACAGGCGATGAGGCGAGGTATGGCACGCCGTCTTGGTTGACGCACATAACATCATACTGTTGGGGATTCCTGGTTCCTGATGGCGGAATAGGACGGCATCGTCTTGGCTGGCAATGAGTGGGCGCAGAATCCTGCCAGACTGGTGGCTATGGGACTCTTGGTATACTGGAATTGGAGGTGCAACTAGGCGACGCATAGAGGTATTTGACATGGGATATAGGTAGGCAATAGTTGGATAGACGGACGAAATGATGCGCATGAATAAAAAGTGGTATTAGGCGATGTCTGTATAGCCGGGAATGAGTTGACGGATGACGAGATCAGCGCAGCTTGCTAGCGCCTAACATACCTAGTCTATCAACGTCTGGGCGATGATATGCCTCTTCTGCTATGGATGCATCATGCATGGAAGACTAATCGAATTGAAGACCTGTGCGAGATCGCTGCCCTACCGGAAAGTCTGTGATGCCAACGATTGACAGAGTGTAGATTGGGTTAAGCATAAATATGCGGTGATCGGTGAACAATGGGACGCCATGTCGAGAAACGGGCGAGCGACACAAGACTGGCGTACAAGATGTACATTGTACCGTGGTAGTTCTGTGCTGCTGGTTTGGGGGTCCCTGTCGTTATAATCATCGTCTCCAATGATCATTCTGGTAGGTGGTATTCTGCTATTGCGTCTCCTGCACGATTTCTCAACTTGTAAACGCTGAGTACTCCCAGTGCGAACCAACCTTCAAACCATTCGCAAGGACTTACCTACCTACCTGCTTACCAAGTTACCTTGGAGGTGATGGGAACACATGCATGCGTCTCGTAAAGCCACCGTGACACAACCGGCTGGAATATCTGTCCATGTCCACGTTCCCCTGTGGGAGGTTGTGACAGAGCGCGGTTTGATCAAGCAGCTCATTTCGGGAGTTGGGTCGTCGTGCATTTCGGGTGGTTCAAGGAAGTACTTGGATATGTAGGTACACTGGAAGTACGCCCGGTCTGTTCATGCATCACGAGACATCCAGAGTTGAGGCCCGAGATGGTAGTTTGCTGGTGGTGGAAGGGTGCGCACTTGGGAGATTTCCAGGGGGGGGTCATGGCGGGAATGCGGAATATCGTCCGCGCTGGTGAGGTAGATCGTTTAGTTGAATAATAAACGAACATGAACTAAGATGCATCGTAACGAATATGGGACTGATTTGAAGTGTCGTTTTCTTGGGTAGTCGACCCACGGTTGGCAACCGGTAGGGCTGGAGAGTGATACAGGGCAGATAAAGCGAGACAAATATATTCTGCTCAAAGAGTGGTATGTAATTTGAAAATGTTGAGCCTTAAAATAATAATAAGTTAGCAGGTTCCCATCCTAATTAATTACCGTACGCCACCTTGCTGATGGCTTGATGGGGCAAATTGAACCTAAAGAGACTCCTGGATTCCTGCAGTGTGGCCTACATCAGCAAACATCCCGCTTCGTTTGCGCAGCCACCGAAGTGCTATTCCGATTCACGATGCCACTACCGACGAAGTGAGGACGGACGTGGCACTCACATGCTTCCCGTCGCATTGATAGGATGAACAGGCGAAAACAAAAGCAATTAAACCCCCTCTACGGAGTAAACCAACGCCAAAAAACGAGGCTGAATCGTGGTACTAACTCTTAACGATCTTAGCGGAAGCATGTTTCGAACGGGTGCAAGCCACCACCAGGGGTACGAATGTACGATTGATGAACCGGCCGGCGATTGGTCGGATTGGACGAGCGCCCGATGCATAGTCCGTGAGTCAACGGGGTTTAGCGGCACCAGCGGCAGCATAGCCCTGCAAAGTGCAAAGGGACAAAACAAAAGATCGCCGGCGTTGCTTGGAAAGAGCTTGGAAGATGGGGGAGGCGGGCTTCCAGAAGGTTTCCACCCCCAGTCGCGTGCCAACAACTGCATGGAAAGCATGTCAATTGTTCCCTTGCCAAGTGCCGCTGGTCGAATCAACGGGTCGAGACTTGATCCCCGCCTTCGTATGATCGATAGAAGGCCAGAGAGTCTCATCCATTCTGGAGTCCTTCCAATCATCGAAATCTCTATCGAATCTTTCGAATCCTCGCTCCGTTGCTCCGTGGTTCTCGATTGGCTCGAGTTGTCTTTTCCGCGTTCCGCTCCGCTGGACTGGTGTAGGAGCGAGTCCATCATCTGCTTGTCCTTCTGTGCTGCATTTTGAAAGGCGACGCACCTTACTATTGTGGATCGTTGCTGGACGGTGGTGGTGGCTGCTTTGTACCCGCCAGATCTCGAGTCCTTCGAAAAGCATATCGCATCCATCCTCACATTCATTCTGTCCCATCTCCTCTCATCTCATCTTGACTCGAGCTTGGCTCTTCTCTTACCATTGTTGCTTCAATCCGAGTCGATTCCATCCAAACCTCTGATCCATCGCCCGAGACATTGAATGGTCGGTTTGACACCTTGGATCGGTTCCTGCATCTGCATCGTGGAACACCCCAGCCTTCGACTCCCGTGATAGTCAATGGTCTAGTTCGACGCATTGGCACATCAATAGTGAGACGATCTGTCTTCTGTCTTCCGTGGTATTTTCTGTATGTACAAGTTTTATATCTTATGCTCCGCACTCGCACTGTTGCACTCTGCTGTTCCCCTAGACCCTAATGGAGGTCTGGCTCTTTCTTTAGAGTTTAGAGTTTAGACACCTTCCCACTTGGGCGTCCCTCGTCCCCAACTGATCCCATCCTCCCACCGTTTCTCCAATCCGCGAATTCCGATCACTTCCTCCCACACTTCTTCAACTCGACCGATTCCGCCGTGGAGTCTTTGCTTCGGCAATTGGAACTGGCCTTAGACACTTTGTCTCTTCGCTTCTACATCGAGTCGTCTTCTCGTTGCGGTCCGCTTACACCCACTTCTCCCGCACTGACACCTGGCCCTCTCCGCGTTGCTGACGCCACCAAGAGAGCCAGACTTCCGGACTACCAAGCCCATCGCCAACCTACCTGCACCCTTTGTTTCACCTTCATGCCACTCTTTTCCTCTGTTCCTCGGGTCTTACTGTCTTACGCCTCATCCTCCAAACCTAACCCGATCGCCAGCAAATTCGCGCTCGATAACCCTTCCCCATTGCCTCCCGTTGCTGGCTCGAGTCTACTTATCACCGGCGCTCCACCTTTGATCTTCGCATAAACCATTGAACCTTCGGAGCTCACGTCACGGACCTCGAATCCTTCCGCGTTCGGCACCGCAACCGCTCTTGACAAATACGACCTTCCTGCCCGGTGTCTGACAACACCGGGACTCGACAATTCGCGGCTGATCACTCGGAACATCGCTCAACAGCGTGTGCTCAGATTCAATCCCGATTATCACCCTCGAATATCGGGTCGAGAACGCCAATTGCCACTAACGTTCGGTGAGACGCATATTTTCACGCTGTGGACGCAACTTCCCGAAACGAACCAGTCGAGATCGCGCGTTCCATTTCTGATATCGGTTTCCTCCAGCGGTCACTCCCTGCTCCACCGCGACTCGCTAGACTCTCCCCGCGACTTCTACAATTCCGATCGATGTCTCTGTCTTCGTAAATCGATCGTCGCATTGCATCCGCCACTATCCGCCTCATTCAACTCAATGCGACAGCCTGCGTGGCCTCCCTCTTCCGTGTGCGACATCATATCCGCCTCGACCTCGCCGTGGTAAACGTCTGGTGCAGAACCGGGCGCACGTTGTTTCCACACGGCCATGGAGCATGGGGCCTGTAACGTGATATACCTCGACCGGCGGGCGCAAGAGGGTCGCGTTGGCCGCGATGACTTCAAATCGATGCAGAGCCCGCCCAAGAGGAGGAGTTCAGGGAGCGATTCGCTGGGGTACTTCAAACTGGCCCCAGCGACATCGGCGGAAGTAGTATCGAACCTCGAGAATATCTTGTCGACATTTCATGAAGGTAAGTGTTAAGTTGTGGGGTTCTGCGCAAGAGTGAGACATGTCTGGGATGTGGAATTTCTGACTCGTCGCATAGTTCATGTTTTCCGCTCCGGCGCCTCGTGTCTTGCGAAAGTCGCCCAACTCGACGATAACAAGGACAAGAAACTCCCGACTCTTGTTCTTATTGACATACCGTATGACGAAGAGCAACGACTTAAAAGACTCTCAAGGGAGCCACGGATGTTGTCTCCCACGGCCGTGCGAAGAACCACGAACGAGTCGGTCGAGGGCGACGAATTGTACGGCATCCACCTCTTAACACACATCTCGACCGAGATACACTCGCAGAATCTCTCCAGGCTCGTCGTACCAGTGGTTGTGCTCAGCGGCTTCGAGCGCGACTGGGGATCGACGAATCTCGCGACCTCTTCTGCTCAAGGATCGTATGTTCTCAGCGACAACGCGCGGTTGATGCGATATCTCGATGCCGGTGCAGTCGATGTGGTAACGAGTCCACTCTCCAAGGACCACATCCAGAGTCTGGCGGTGCATGCATATCGGACCTATAAGGAATTTATTAGAGATGAGCAAGGGTTCCTAGCAAAACGACGGGCGAGGAAACGATCGTGGGTCGGCGTCAGTGAGGACAAACCCTACTCGTATCTCCGGGAAGCAATGGTGTCAAACTTGATGAGTGGCATCTGCAACCCCGAGGAGGCTGCGGATTCGATTGACCCAAGGTAAGTGTCCAGGGCGTGAACCTAGTGCAATTAACTAACACTACTTAAAGCGACATCCTAGTCAAACCAGATCGCAGAACGAAAGTGGAGGCTGCTGTTGGCTCCTGGGCATTTTCAGCGCACGAATTCACGGACGATGAGTTGCTTTACGGCGCACTGGTGATGCTGGAACATGCATTGCAAATGGAAGAGCTTGCGAAATGGCGACTGCCGAAAGGTGACCTCGACTACCCGCTGTTCTCCATTCCTCAACTAACCTTCATTTCTAGACGAATTAGTCGTCTTTCTATTAGCTAGCCGGATGGCGTACAACGACTTTGTATTCTACCACAACTTCCGTCACGTCGCCGACGTGCTCCAAGCCGTCTTCTACTTCCTCCTTCAAATCGGTACTTTGCCTCCATATCCTTACAATACTCGCCGATCCTCTGGCCCACCATCCGCCATTGCTTCCCTTCTCAAACCTTTCGATGCGCTCACCCTTCTCATCTCCGCGATCGGCCACGACGTCGGTCATCCGGGAGTCAACAACGCCTTCCTCGTCGCATTGAACGCCCCGCTCGCGCAATTATACAACGATCGGTCTGTGCTCGAGTCTTTCCACTGCGCGGCATACTCGCAGATCCTGCGGCGGTATTGGCCGGACGCGTTCTCGGATATCGACATGCGGAAGCGCATGATCAGCGCCATCTTGGCTACCGACATGGGATTGCATTTCAAATACATGGCCGATCTCGGGAATCTGCAGGAGAAGCTGGATCATAACGAGAGCACGCTCGATGGGTGGAATTTGAAGATCCTTGAGGAATATCGCGACCTAGCGTGTGGGCTGTTGATCAAATGCGCTGACATTAGCAATGTGGTAAGTCGACCGTGCGGATGCTTGACCATCCTCTAGAATAGAGACCAACGTTTATCTACAGGCGCGAAAATTCGACACTGCTAGGCAATGGGCTGAAATACTCACGGACGAGTTCTTTAACCAGGGCGAAATGGAGAAGGAACTCGAGATGCCCACGACTCTCTTCGCTCCCCCGGAACGCGACAACTTGACCAAACTCGCCAAGTCGCAAATCGGATTCATCAACATCTTTGCTCGTCCTCTCTTTGAACAGGTTTCCCATGTTCTACCGGGAATGGCATTCAGCGTCGAGGAGCTCATCACCAACAAGCAAATCTGGGAACACAAGATTGCGGTAGAGAAGGAGCTGCAAGCAAAGCAAGGACCGGCACGAGAAATGAAGCTATTAGCGCCTGGCGCCTTGCATGAAGATCATGCCCCGAGCCCCATGACGCGAAGCCGAGAGAACTTGGCGGATGTTGCACAGGTCGATGAAGAGATATCGGATCCGATGGAGACTGGCGCTCCTTCTCCTGGTGAGAATGGCGGTACTCCGCTTGCACACTCCTCAAGGGCCCAATCCATACCACTCTCACCACTCTCTACCGAACCTCCATCCACCACATCCGTCATCTCCTCTGACCAGGCACCTACATCATCCACAAGTACTGATCATACCACCCTGCAAAACTTCATCGTCGAACCTAACCACCTCCCTGAAAGAATCATCCAATCCGAGATCATAGACCGTCCTTCCAACCCATCACATACCTTTACCCCCCCAACAAAGAAGAAGGAAAGGGGAACGCTATTAAACAACTCTGCAGTCCCTAACGAGTCACAGGACAGTGAAAAGGAAACCTCGTCCCGTCCTCGCTTCTTCCGCTCTCGCAGTAAGGATAACTCTCGGAAAATCAAGGGCAATCCCACACTCCGTAGCAAGTCCGCCGACCGCAAATCGCTCCCGTATCCCGCCACCACCATCCACCGCCAGCACCCATCGCACGGGTCTTCGACCTCCCGCCCTTCAGATTCATTCACCGACGCCACCTCTAGCCCTCGCCACTTCCCTAGCCACCCGAACCTCCGCTCCAACGGTGACTCCCACTCCGCTTCCCAACCCGAGTCATACCCACCCCTCCCAAGCGCCCCGAACGCGTACACGAGCGCCGTTAATGGCAACACCGCCCTCACGAACGGTGTCCCTGTCTCCAGCAACACCGGCCCCGGCGCCGATGCAAGCACGCATCGCACCGGCAGCCCGTTTACCGACAGCACGCGGCCGACATCCCGAGAATGGAGCGAGTCGGCCGCGCTGACGGACGAAGTGGACGAGGTGCCACCGTTCAACGCTGATGACGTGAAGCCGTACAGCGGTACCTTTGGTGGACGGGACGGGAACGCTGGTGGTGGGCAGGATGGAACGAATGGCGCAGATTATCACACGGTGCCGATGGCTGGTGGGACCGTGGAGAACGGTGATTGGAAAGGTGGGGAGGGGCTGGGGAAGAAGGGGAGTCGGTTTCAGTTGAAGAAATATTGGAAGCGGAAGTGGAAGGATGCGGTAGGGATGCAGGGGCAGGGCCAGGGGCCAGTGAGGGAGGGGGTGCAGGTTCGTGGTGGAGGCGGGGATGTGAAGGGGTGAAGAAGCAGCGAGGAGACGACGAATTCTAACAACCCTCCTCTGTTCGAGCCGATCGAACTACCACGAGAACCACTAGCCGCATGACAATGGCTCGGAAGCGCGCTGCTCACCTGCCATCTCCAGTCATATATTTTACCACGACTATTATCCGGCGGACGAGCATCACGACGCGAATCGAACGGTCCCGCCGATCCATCGATTCTTGTGTATATACCTCTCCCCTCCTCGGATGACACATGCGGATTAGCTACCGGGTCGTTTATCCGCGCATCTTGCTCTGGTGGAATTCCCACAGCCTTAATTGAATAATGCATGTGGCTTGCGTTTCCGCTTGGCGCTGTATGATGACGGACGGCTAGGAATCGCAAAGCAGGTACCAACGGAAGTTCGAAAGCCATTCATCGCGGTTCAGAGTCAATTCCGCGTCTTCTCCCCCGGATCTTCTCCACACAGTCGGATGAGCGCTAGATATCCGCGATCGGCGTTTCGATATGTATCTCTCGAGCGGAAGTCATCGATGGGAGAACGGAAAAGCTGGGAATGGGAGACGGAGTGTTCAGCGGTTGACGCATGAGTGTATCAAAAGGGAGGAAAAGGGGAGGGAGGGGTACTTCGGATAGATGTTATGATGGGTTGGGGACGTGTAGATCATGGGTATTGTATACGTAGGAATGAAAGCATAGCTATGATTCCGAAATTGCCTTGTGGTGTTGTGGTGTATGATGTTGATGTAGCGTTCGTTGAGATCCTGTAGTGCTGGTTCACACACTGTTCGGAGGAAGTGATGTTATGAGAGTTGGAGAGGTGAGTGATGTCTAGGGAAGCTTGGGGGTGGTAGATATAGCAGTGTCACAGTGCTGTCTATGATAAACAAAGGGAGGGTGAATTCCCACTTCACTTCATATACCAAAATAACTCAATCCAATTAAAGCAGGAAATGGCAGAGTGTCTTAGTGGTAGCCCCCCTCAGTCATCATTTAAGATGGCTCGGCTTCCACTTCTCGACGTGGCACACGGATGCTGTCAAGTACTAGCTGGAAAGGTGCCTCTGGAGCTTGAAGAAGATCCACCCGTTGCCGCAACGGATGGGGACTCGTTGAAGTGCTCGGATTAGAGGTACTCCCTAGGGCTCCCGGAGCTTATAGATTTGCTCTTTTGTTCTATGTTTTTGAAACGTAGAGGGAACTGCTTTTTGTGGGATGGAGCGGTGATGGGGTCATGGAGGGTGATGCTTCTTGAGAGGGGAGTATAGAGTGGACAGGAGGTACTTGTGAGGTACTTGTGAAAAGGTAATGGGGTGGATTTCAGGAGGGTTCGAGTCTGGGTAGGGGCATTTCTTTTTGTATTGATTCATAGCATAAATATACTTCAATCTTATGCTTGCATGAACTAATCTGATAATATTCCTGTATTAGTATTTCATTTTAAAATGTTATTAATATCGAGATGGGCAATAATAGTCTAGTCAGTCTGATCAGTCTCTCTCCGAAAATGAATATATTGCTGCCTGAGGCATTAATTTTTCAGGATTTCCATGTCTGTTCAACATCAACTGCAGTGCTTGATTCCATATGGATATACGAAGCATTCTACAATTGGTTGCATTGATACCAGATTCGAATGTCACTCTTTTACCGTAGCCTCCAGCACGCGTATATCTCTAAGCCAGGGATTGTACGACCACGACGAATCCGCACTCTCCTCACTCTAGCAGTTGAGAGCTCCTGCGACGACTCCGCCGTCGCTATCCTCGAAACCCACAATGTCAAATCCTCACTCATAGCCTCTCAATCCCCCTCCGCCTCATCTCCTCCGACCGCCCACCTCCACTTCAACCATCGCATCTCCGCCACCACCGCCAACCTCCGCGGCATCCACCCCGTCGCCGCCGCCATCTCTCACCAGCGCTCGCTCGCCTCTCTGCTACGATCCGCGCTTCCCTCCCTCCCCGATGCGCGTGATGACGTCGATCCTTCGAAGACGGTATTTATAGATGTGGAGGGGAAGCTCAAGCAGAAATGCAAACCGGACTTCATCGCTGTCACCTCTGGGCCGGGGATGATATCGTCTCTGACGACCGGGATTGAGAATGCGAAGGGGTTGGCAGTCGCTTGGGGATTGCCGATTGTGGGGGTGCATCATATGCAGGCGCATGCGTTGACGCCGCAGTTGGTGCACGCCTTGGAGAGTGGGCGGGCGGGGAAGCAGGTAGAGGAAGAGCATGTCGCAGCGGGCGTGAGAGCAGCATCGCGGTCACTTCAACCCGCATTCCCATTCCTTTCGCTGCTCGTGTCTGGTGGGCATACAATACTCGTTGACTCGAAGAACGTCACGCAGCATCGCGTCCTTGCAAAAACAGCAGATAATGCTGTTGGAGACGCGCTAGATAAGATGGCGAGGATGATCCTCCCGGAGGAGATCATGGCTAGTGAGAAACAGCTATCCAACTACGGGGCGATGCTAGAGGAGTTTGTATTTCCTGGAAGCAACCCTCTCCCGAGCGGTCAGGCTGGCGAAGATCGTTCTTATGACTACGGCTATGCTCCCTCATCCGCGGCCCGACGAGTTTCACAATATGGCTGGGCTCTGCCCATACCATTAGCAGCTAAACCTAAGAGCGAACAATTCGCGTTTTCGTTTGCCGGCTTGATTAGCGCGATGGAACGGAATGTCGACCCGGAGACGCGGCTGGTTTGGAATGATCAGCGGCAGAAAAATGACCGTGTTCCGCGAACCGAATCGCCGAGCGAGGACGAGAGACGGGAACTGGGAAAGCTGGCCATGACAGTGACCTTTGACCATCTTGCAAGGACGGTCATCATGGGATTGGAAGCCATGGAGGAACGGGGCGATCGGGTGGGCACGCTCGTCGTCGCCGGAGGCGTTAGTGCGAATCAGTTTTTGAAACATGTGTTGAGGGTAAACTTGGACCGGGCAGGGTTCGGGAAAGTGGAGATAGAGACACCACCGTTGGCGCTGTGTACGGATAATGCAGCGATGATTGCCTGGGCCGGGTCTCTGTTGTTCGAGGAGGGATTTAGGGGCACGCTTGGAATGCTGGCCAAAAGAACTTGGAGCTTGGATGATTACGATGGGACCGAGGTGAACCTCAGTGTTTTTGATGGTGCGACAGAGGCATGAGCATCCTTTCCATCAGTTGGTGTTCTTGGAATCGTTTATACTTCATTCTAATACCCATGTATCATAGCCCCAGAAAACGGGCCTGTGTAAATATGTACAACACTACTGCATGAACACATTGCTTCCAAACATTGGATGCCGTCTTTAGGATCATAACTGCCTCCAGTCCTCATACTCCTCCTCTAAGTGCCTTTTCAACTCAGCGAAGTGCGAACCGAACTTCTTCTTACAACGCCAGCACTCCAAATCTCCCTTCAAATACCGTCCTCTCCCCTGTCCCTCTCTCTGGTCCTCCGGTAGCGGGAACTCATCAAGCCCAACAAGGAACCTCGTTTGGAAACTGTTATAATGCTTCTTGTGCTTCATCTTTTCCGAGAACCGGTCCGGTGTCAAGATATGGATGTGGACATTGTACAGACTAGGATGTGCATGCACCCCGACCAAAATCTCACTCTCCCAGTCCCGACCAGAGGGTAGTTGCGCTTCCAGCTCGGCCTGGCGCTCCTCAGGGCTCATCTCCTTGTCTTCGCCGATTTCATCTGCGGATTCCAGCAGCTTCTCCATCGCGTCTCGTCTCGCCTTCTCTTTCGCGCTCGTTGTGCCCCATCGTCTTCGCGCCTCTGCAGCAACGATGCTCTTGGCGCGTTTCACTTCCTCCCTGGCTGCGGCAAGGAATTTTGGTTTAGATAAGGCCGTGCAAGGGTGTAATTCTGAGATTGCAGGATCCCGTGACACGAGGAGGCAGTGGATTTGAGATTTCGGGAACTTGTCCTGAATGAACACCCAGTAATCGTTGTGGTAGATGACGGTGTCTGCGGGCTGGGTAGTAGGGGATTGGATATATGACCGAAGGACAAAACGGAAGGGGTCAGATTTCAAATGACCTTTTTTCGAACCTGGTGTTGGAGACGAGTTAGAAGGCTCGGGCTTGCGGCTCATCAGCTCGGTAACTGAGCATAGTCAGTTGTGGATTGTGAAGAAACGTGTTTCACTATTCCGCTTTGACTTGGTTCATCTGAGAACCTGTTTGTAGGCCACTAGCTAGAAGCAAAAATGGAAACAAGAAAATATAGTGCCGAGGGAAGAAGACGTAAATGCTCACAGGCGTTCTTTGCTCTATTACTAGGTCGTTCCGTGGTATCCTTCGAGCCATCCTCCACTTGAGGGGCGCCATTACGTGCCTTAGATTCCGCTGCAGGGGGGGCTGCAGATTCGACATCCGATAATGTCTCCGAATCTGGCATCATAGATATTACCCGGACTTATGAAGGTGGTGTTGATAGATGTCCTAGCTCTTATACCAAGGTGATAATCTCCCTCTTTGGCTTCAGAAGCTGGCCATCTAAACCAGGACTCCGGTTTAAGATTGAATATGTTGTCGCTTGGCCCTTTATGAATCGAAGTAAATTTATCAATTACAAATCTCGAAAACTGGCGTCTTCACTATTCTTCAACTTTCACCATTAGACGTCGTTGAAATATTTGCACTAACCCGTTTACAGTTAGCCCCACATCTGCCCTGATATTACAATCTTTCCACCTTCATTGATATTGCTGACTTTTCTCTCCCACAATATCTCAAGAAGATGGTTAATGATTCCTAAAGTATCTTCAAATTCTGCTGATGCATAATGGGGAAGAATACGCATCCTCCGCGTGGAGGTGGTGCCAGCCAGAAAGCAAAAGCTTCTGGTGGCAATACTCAGGCTGAGGCCTCGAAGTCGAAACCTTGTCCGGCGCCGAAGGGACAAGATTCGAAAGCTAGCAGCAGTAAGAGCAAGGCTGCTCAGAAGGCTCAAGAAGATAAACCTGTCGAAGAAGCGCCAAAGAAACCGGATACTCGAACCTTGATTGGGGGCGCGTCATGGACCGGAAAGCTTCCCGTCAATATGCTGTCAGAGCATTGCCAAAAGCAAAAATGGGGCAAGCCGGAGTATACGATGATGAAGACCGCGGATGGCTTTGTTTCTTCAGTTATACTGCGGAAAGTCAACACCAAGACTCAGGAACTCACTACACTTGCACCAATTCGGACGCCTCCATCTCACAGGCAGATCTCGGCACAGAAAACCGCAGTCGAAGCAAGGCATTTCGCAGCAACGTACGCTTTGTTCCGGGTATCAAGCATGAAAAACATTCATATGATGATGCCGCCTACCTATAAAGATTTATGGAAAGGCGAGTTTGCGGCCCTGAAAGCTGAAGACGTGGCAAATGGCCGAGGCTGGATGTATGATGCCGATCCCTTTGGTGTTTTGAAGGACCAAGAAGATGCGAAAATAGCGGCTGCGAAGAAGCGAGAGATGCAGCTAAAGGATCAGAAACCCGCAAGTGGGCCCGGTGCTATCAGACCTGGAGAGTCGAGCAAGAACAATGACCGATTGAAGGGTTGGACACGAGTACCAAAGGTGGAATTGGCAAAGAGGACCAGAATGGAGATCGAGAAACTCCTGAAATTGAACAGGTGGAACCCGCATTCTGTGTCCATCTCACAGACTACCCGCAAGCAACTTGAAGATTCCATCACACGACTTGGCTTCCGACGAGCACACGTTAAAGAAGCTATCGACATATGCAAAGATAGAGAAGAAGTGTTGGAATGGCTCCTGATCAATGTACCGGAGGACGACCTACCGAAGTGGACATTTCCAGAAGGGTACACGGCCGGTATTTCCTTGGCTACAGCCGATCTGAAACGCGAAGGTGCTGTTAAGCGACTGGCTTCTGCAGGCTACTCTATGGATGTCTGCGAAGAGGTATATGATGCCTCAAAAGGAAATGAGGATCTTGCTGCCGCTGCCCTTCAAGTGCGACTGCTTGGTGAAGACGACTCGAATCAAGGTCTCTCCGAAAAACTTTCTTCCTCAACATTAAACGAGTCTGCCGACCAGGAAGTATGGGCGGAGGAGCTGGAAGTGCTCCAGGCGATCTTCGGTGATCGCATCTCGATTTCTGGATACGCATGTGAGGTTGGCCTTGAATCAGCAGATGCTCAGAGGTACCGCACAACGCTCCGATTCATCCCTCCTACCAAAAATTATCCAAGATCTCTCCCTGTGCTTTCAGTGAAGGCTGAATTACCGGCCTATATTCGCCTGAGCATAACAAAACAGGCCCTTGAGTGGGCAAGCGTGGAGTATCTCGGCGATCAGATGATATTCAACATTGTCGATTGGATCGAGCAATCTCTACCTTCGATAGTCCAGGATCCAGGTCCATTGAGTGATATCTCTCGTGGTACCACTACAGCGGAGGCAGCAACACAGGCGAAGAGTGAACGAAACATCAACCGAATAAAGAGAGCACCAAGACGAATTGAATGGACGCCAAACACTGCGCTCAGCAGGGATATTTTATCATCGTGGCAGAGCAAACAAGGAATTCCTCAGCAACGGAAGATGATAAGTGGCCGACAGTCGCTGCCAGCCTGGAAATATCAAGAAAAGATTGTCAGTGCCGTCAACAATTACAGAGTGACCATTATATCCGGCGAGACAGGTTCCGGAAAATCGACCCAGTCCGTCCAGTTCGTTCTTGATGACTTAATACAAAGAGGACTGGGTGCTGCAGCAAACATCATTTGTACCCAGCCGCGCAGAATCTCCGCTCTTGGACTCGCAGATAGAGTCGCCGACGAGAGATGTTCTGCAGTGGGACAGGAAATCGGCTACACGATCCGTGGCGAATCGAAGCAAACCCCCGGAAAAACTAAGATCAATTTCGTAACGACGGGAGTTCTCCTTCGGCGAATGCAGACTTCCGGAGGAAGTCCTCAAGAAGTGGTTGATTCTATTGCAGATGTCAGCCACGTCGTTGTCGACGAAGTGCATGAGCGCAGCCTTGACACGGACTTCCTACTGGTCCTTTTGAAGGATGTCTTGGCTAGGAGGCAAGATCTGAAAGTCATTCTGATGAGCGCGACACTTGACGCGGACATGTTCGAACAGTACTTCCGGCCAGTAGGAGAAGTTGCCCGGATTGAGATTGAAGGACGGACCTTTCCTGTACGAGACTTCTACCTGGATGACGTTGTCCAGATGACTGGATTCAGGGGCCTCAATTCGGAGTTTGACGAAGACGACGGGGGCAATGCCTCTGTAGGAGCCACCATTCGTTCTGTCGGAATGCGCATCAATTATGAATTGATAGCACAAACTGTTCGACAAATCGACCAGGATCTAGGATCGACCGAAGGAGCCATTCTGATCTTCCTCCCAGGCACCATGGAAATCGACCGGACCATACAAGCATTGCGTCAATTTCCAAAAATTCATGCCCTCCCTTTACACGCTTCACTACTCCCTTTCGAACAGAAGCGCGTGTTTCCTCTCGCTCCTCCCGGGAAACGCAAAGTCATCGCATCTACCAACGTCGCGGAGACGTCGATCACCATTGCCGATATCATCGCCGTCATAGACACTGGCCGAGTCAAAGAAACCAGCTTTGATCCTCATTCGAATATGGTCCGTCTTGCGGAGGTCTGGGCTTCTCGAGCCGCATGCAAGCAACGACGTGGTCGAGCCGGTCGTGTCCAAGAAGGTATTTGCTACAAGCTGTACACCCGAAAGGCTGAGATGGAGCAGATGGCGGAACGACCTGACCCAGAAATCCGACGAGTTCCTCTCGAGCAGCTATGCCTGTCTGTCAAGTCAATGGGGGTCGCAGATGTCCCCTCGTTCCTCGCTGGAGCGTTGACACCGCCGGCAGCCACTGCTGTGGAAGGCGCCCTAAAGCTTTTACGGAGGATTGGAGCAATGGATGGTGACGAACTCACTGCACTGGGGCGCCATCTATCTATGATCCCAGCTGACCTGCGGTGCGCGAAGTTGATGGTATATGGAGCAATGTTTGGCTGTCTTGAGCCCTGTCTCACAATTGCATCCATTCTCACCACGAAAAGCCCCTTCGTGTCACCAATGGATAAGAGGGATCAGGCGAAGGCAGCAAGGGCCTCATTCGGTGGGAATCAAGGTGACCTGATTGCAGACCTACGAGCATTCGAATCCTATTCATCGATGCGAGAGAAGGGAATCTCCCCTCGAGATATCCGTGCTTGGAGCGGGGAAAAGTTCATCTCCATGCAGACGCTCAACGATATCTCTTCCACCCGCGCTCAGTATTTGACATCGCTCAAGGAAATCGGCTTCTTACCTCTTCGGTACACGTCGAATAGCCCGGATGCCCGATCGTTGAATGGCAACAGCTCCTCGACTTCTCTCATCCGAGCGTTGATTGCAGGCTCCCTCCACCCACAGAGTTCTCGAATCAGCTTCCCCGACAAGAAATTCATCGCTGGAGCGGCGGGCGCAATTGAAATCGATCCGGAAGCCCACATGATCAAGTACTTCACGCAGGAAAATGGAAGAGTGTTTATCCACCCTGGCAGCACGATGTTCGGCATCCAGACCTTCCCCAATGACTCAACCTTCCTAAGCTACTGGGTGAAGATGGAAACCTCCAAAGTCTTCGTAAGAGACGTCACTCCGTTCAGTGCCTTGACACTACTGCTCTTCGCCGGAGATATCAAGCTCGATACCGAAGGGAGAGGACTAGTTGTGGACGACTGGATCCGGATAAGGGGATGGGCAAGAATCGGTGCGCTCATTGGTAGACTGAGGATGATGTTGGATGGCGTTCTGGCGAAGAAGATCGATAACCCGTCATTAGATTTTGGCAGCATTGGAGAAGAAGGGAAGATCATTGGGTTGGTTAGACGGCTCGTAGAACTAGGTGGACTAGACTCATAGATTATTCGGAATAGATCGTGGCTTCCTTCAATTCGGTTCATTTCTCCTATGATGGAAGGATACTTGCCTAGAAACCATTTTGCCTTGATAAGAGGTGCGCAGGTCGATTCCTAGCCCAGGTGCGACGAAGTAGGAGGCTTTAAATATTTATTTCTGACTCCTTATCTGCTCTCACAAGACCGACCTGTTTTATCGCATATAACGATGCAAGTACTCGATAAAATCCCACACGACATGAAACCGACCATTTCTCCCGCTAACCCGAGTGTTTCAACGACGAGTACCCGTAAAGCTCACCAGCGCCCATGCTTGACTACTTCATTCACATAAACGCATTTAAAGTTCGTCCTTCGCCGGTTTCTCCGCCGAGAATTGTCGGAGGATATTCGACCTCGACGTCAACTCATCAACCTTTTGCGATGCCAGCCCGCCTTTGGCCAAGATACTCTGGAGTCTGCTCAACTCCTTGACGGCGTGCTCCTTGTTCGCCTTGTACTTGTCCCCGACCCGGACATAGTATTCCGCGAACTTATTGCCGGTGAACTCTTTCGCCTTCGTTGCGAGCTCCTCCGCTCCAGCGACAACATCACCACCAACCGCAACCATGCGCTGGACGACGAGGTTCAGGTCTTCGATCGTGCCGGCCGTCGCGCTCAATCCGCCGCCGACGACGCGGGATGTGCCGGCCTTCTCGTTCAGGTAGTTGATGAATGCGTCTTCGCTTCGACCTCCCTCGTACGCTTGGGCTTCAGTTGAGTGGGCGGGGAAGAATTTGATGGTTGGGTAAGAGGCCACGCCTTGCGCTTGAGCGGTAGCTTTGGAGCCGGGGTCTTCGGCGTCAACCTTTGCGATGAGGACATTGGGTTCGTTCACGAAGTCTTGGGCGAGGGTCTCCCATATAGGAGCGAGGGTCTTGCAGTCTGCAACATGAATGTCAGCAACTCCTCCTGCATCTGGAGCCTAAATACATACGTCCACACCATGGTGCGGTGAATGCAACCAACACATGCTGGTCTGCTCCAACAGCCGTCTTGAACTTGCCATCATTCAACATCACCACGTTGCTCTCCGGCTTCTTCGCCGACTTTGGCTTGATCCCCGTCTTCTCCTTGATGAATGCCGTCAAGCTATCGATATCCCTCCCGCCCTTATAATCCTCCGGCTTATCGCTTTTCCCGTCGAACCATTTTAGGGTGGGGAACCCTTGCACCCCGAATCTCCGCCCCAGGTCCTTATGCTCGTCCGCATCGACCTTCGCGATGCTGACCTTGTCTTCGGCAAAGGCGAGATTCTGTGCCAATTCCTCGTAGATGGGAGCGAGGGTCTTGCAATGTCCGCACCATGGCGCAAAGAACTCCACGAGGGCGGGCTTCCCGGATTTGAGGACGACATTGTCAAAGTTCTTTGGGATAAGGTCGATGACGGCGGAGCCGGCTTGGGCGCCGAATGTGAAGAGAGCGGCTGAGAGGAGGAGGGAGGTGAGTCGTGTCATGATGGATATACTGTTACTAATATTTCGAAGGAGATTAAGGAATTAGGAAAGTAAGAGGGGAGTCGATGCGAGTGTTCTGCTATGAAATAATATCACCAGCCTCCAGCTACGTAACCGTGTCAGACCCTGGTCGGAATCCTGATAATTTCCGCTAAACTATTTTCGGAAAAGCTACTTGTCCTTTAAACCAGGAGGTGGCGTAGAAATCTAAAGGGATGTCTCGACGATAAACTGGATCTGACGTCCTACCTTATGCCCGAATACCTTAACATAATACAGTATTAAGTCTCATAGCTGTTGCTGATTTGATCTCGGAGTTGCATTGCTAACACTTTTTCTAATATACAGTTGCCAGATATCCTACACAAACATGCTCTCTTTGAGACAAATGAAGATCAAAAACAAGAAATCAGCAGCGAATAACCCATCTCTCCCCTAGTAATCCCTCTCCGGAGCATGGAAGCATGAAGTTGCAACTCGAAATCAACTCACAAATCGTATCCAGGAATCTAATCCTCTTCCGTGCATACTTCACGTGCCAAGCACCTGCCGATACTCCTTCATCAGCTCCCACAACTGCCCGTCTCCCTTGACCATTCTGCGATAACGTTTCCTCGCCTCTAATATGGTCATAGTTTGTTCGCCTTGTTCATGGGGTCCGTCCTTCTTGCAGAGCAAGACCTGCGTGGGCGAGTACCTTCCTCCGTGCGAAAAGTCTCACCAGGAAATGATGCGGAGAGAAAGGATGCCCTCTGGACCGAATTCCCACTGTGCTAAATCGTGGAGTTCTTTGGAGACCCACGACAGGATGTTTTCTTCAAAACATCGACTTTTGGGGGGATGGCTGTCTAGCTATTTGGTGTCTTGGTCACTGATCGTGATACTACGTTAATCTAGCCATGCTTTCAGATACTCATTCGGGGAAGTGCACGTCCCCTTGAAATCGTATGTCAAACCAAAGCACCTCTTGCCACACCCGATGGCCCTCCAGGCTCCCTGATGTAGATGACCTCAAGTGGGTTTTCGCGGAAGGACTCGGTCAGAGATTTCTTCTGCAAGAGTTTAGTCGCTAACCCAAAGATAAGGAGGCATTATACCTACCCGGGCTCCAGGCGCGTCATTCAGCCCGAGGAAGCGGAGATTGAAAACAGGAATCTTGTTGGTTGGACCGCCTGGCCAATACCTCATTGATGAGTCGAATACTGCCATTCTCAGGGATGCCAACAAGCAATGGACTCTGGCTCGAAGCTATTCTGACTAGCTTGGATAGGTGGCCAAGATATCACGGCAACTCAGAAGTTGTTCTGGTAGTTGATGTTGATATTGATGTGGAGAAGGAAGAAGAATAAAGGATGGAGAATGACGAATGAAGGACAAAACAAAAACAGAAGGATAACGATTAGGTATCATGATCAAATATGATAATATATCTCATGCTGTGCGGTTAATTCGAACTGAAAGCGGCTCAGAAGGGAATAACTGACGATGAATTCTTTGTGATGGAAGATAGGGGATCAAACCCGAACTAGACTCGGCCTCCAAGCAGCAACCTGACCGCCATGCAATGCTATAATTACTAAAGAACTAAACCGAGAACGCAAATCAGTGTACTGTGACCTTCCACCGAGTGGATATCTAGGAAATGATGTCCACTGATAAGTTGGCGGCTTGAACTGGATAAGTGAGGGGAGAAGGTGAAAGGAGCAAGAGGAAGATTGTTGATATTATCTCCATTTTCCTTCCTAACCTTAAGCAGACGTCGTGCCAATGCTTTCTGGATACCGGGATTTTACAGGTGAGGGCTTTATAGGGAAGGCCTGATAAGGAAGATCTTGAGATAGGTGTTATAAGTAAGAACGGAATATAGCTAGGAATTCTTTTATATCTTGAGAATTGGGGCAGAATTTGGCGGTAGTACGAATACCGACAGCGATAACTATACCTTAGGTACTAATTGTCGAACCTTGCTCTATCTACCCTTCTTCTAGATTCCCAGGGGCGTCCCTTTTGGGGGTTTGGCTTGGTTGGGTAGATTCATCACTAATATCATGTAAATCTAAACCTGAACCCGCGATGTGTACGCTTCGGACCCAGTATGACAGACTTCTGTTCCCCCGGCCCGAACCAGTTAGGGGATATCAGACACAACAGCGGAAAGGCCCGCACCGGATGATCCAGAACGAGTATCGAGCAAAATGGAGGGAGAGATGCCAAGCCGAAGCGGCCAGACCAGGAAGGAGAGCAAGGACATGGAAGGACCCGTGGGAAACCCAGTGCCTTAACCGGTACGACGGCCTTCAGAAACACGAGGCCTCGGCGCTCATGGCACTACGGACTAAGGTAGTTGGAGTTAAAGGATGGCTCGCAAAAATTGGTGTCCCTGGAATCCACCCAGCGTGTGAGTGCGGTGCCCCCCGACAGTCTCTCTACCATCTCCTTGCATTTTGCCCGCAGCGGACCGACCAGAGGATCGCGCTCCTCCAACGAGCTGGAACAACGGACTTTAAGAGGATATTGCATGACAGGGACAAGGTGCGCCACGCAGCAAGGTGGCTGATCGATGCGGGAGGCCTAGAGCAATACCGGGTGGCCAAGGAAGTTGAGGAGGAGGTAATAGAGGACTGGAAACCGTTCCAGCTCCTCCACGACGTGCCAGAATAAGCTCTCCGCGTAGGCGGAAACACCGACTCGTACGGATAGATGATAAACGTTTGAGATAGTCTACTAAAGGGAGGAGGCGGGATTTTATGTACCCGCAGCCTCAGGGCTACGGGGAGACTTTTGCCCGCGGCAGACCAGATAGAATGCCGTGCTCATAGACCCGAAAGGGATCCAGATAGTACGTTAAATTGATTCTTATTATTAATATCATGTAAATTGTGAATACTATTTGCTATGTGTTTGCCAATGATTTTGGTTTATGGTAATCTAAGCTGTAAACTAAGGCGATCGTATTACTACCATATCGATGAACGTTGGGATATGGGGACTTTATAGGTGAGTACTTATCCCCAATTCTTGACCACCACATTCTTTCATACCCACCGGTATCTACCTACTTTACTATCTTATTATCGCAATTACAGGTAATGAGGTGCCGTATAGTAATCTTGGCCCATAACACGATGGCTTACTAGGGAGCAGAGAGATGAGTATTGGCATGTGCCTACTACCCCTTGATCATCAATTGTACCCCATATCAAAAGCCTTATAGTTCAACGCCGAGTCCTCATTGGACAGCAAGTATCAAAACTCGCTCATCTATAATTATCAATAAGCGGCCAGGCTTAATAGCCATTGGTTAGTCTGCAGAGATCTCTAAACACGAAGATTCACACCTCGTCAAACATCCCAAGTACTTTCCTGGACACTCCACATACAACGAGATGTACCATGACCTTATCGCCACCGAGAGAACCATCTATGAGCGCCTAGGTGACCATGAAGGTATCATTAAGTACCTCGGAATTAACTATGAGAGCACTGGGGCGATCAAATTGGCGTATACGAGACAAGGACGGCTGTCAAAATACATCAAAACCATGATACCCCATCTCAATCATTTCGCGATGCATGGATTCGCTCCTTGATCGAAATATTCTACCACATCTATTCCTGCAAGGTTCTCCACCAAAACATCAAGCTCAGTCACATCCTCGTGGGGGACGACTGTTTGAAGGTCACCGATTTTGCCAACGGCGCCATCCTTCCCCCCGATGCCGATATGGAAGCAATTTGCGCCGATGGTCCGCTGTCCAAGGTTGATTTACTCTGCCTTGGCTGATTCATATATTCCATAACCACCTGAGGAGTCTTTATGTACGATTATTTCGAACACAAACGTTGGTTGGAGCCGGGAGAGCTACCACTGATAGGCGACATCCCGTTGGGCCAAATTGTTGGGAAATGTTAGCATAACAGGTATAGCACCATGGCATCACTTTACGAGGATGCCATTGCTTGTCAAGGTCAGAGACGTCAGATGAGCACGGAATTACCGGACACTCGTTTATCGTCTCGTCCAACGAACGGAATTGTGTATGTGACTGAGAAACGTTTCTTGCAGACTTATGTAAATTTCCCTCTTTCTCGATCCGCGGGTGGTTGGGTCCCTGCCTAAGGAATTCAGGGCGAATGCTTCGAGACAACAATGCAGGAGGAGATGATAGCTCTCAGTTTGCTCGTGCCAGACCACGAACTAGGCGGCAAGAACCAGTGGAATCAGTGGACTGATCGAGTTATGCAAACTCAAACCAGGCATTTCTCAGGTCGGCTAGAAGCGGAGCAACGATGATACTTGTGAATCGTGGATCTGAACGCCATTCAATACTATCATAAGCATAGAACGGAACCGAGGACCTGAATCAGTGTGCTGTGATCTTCCATCCCTCTCTCAAAAACGTCCGAACCATGAAAATTGCCGACAAAACCACTCCCATCAAACTCAATGCAATCGCGATATAGAACGCGCTTCTGATCCCTTTCTCCAACCTCGCCGGATCATTCCTCGCAATACTCACCTCCACCGTTCCCGCGATCCCCAACGCGATCGAAATCGAGTAGTTCACCACCGTATTAATCAACGACCCCGCTAGCCCCTGATGTTCCGGCGGCAGATGATTCGACACGATCACGCTGGCTGCCGGAAACGACATGTCCATTCCAAACGGCATGATCAAGATGCTGACGAACAGCTGCGCCCAGTACGTCTGCCGCACGGGCATCATCGCCGCGACGACGATGCCGACGCAGAACACCAGCATCGAGAGCAGCATCGGCAGCGTGACGGGTGCGTGCGTAAGGAGGAACCCTGTGGCTGCGGTGCACATCAGCCCGCTGAAGATCGCGGGGATATACTGCGCCGAGATGGTGAGTGGCGATTCTCCACGGAGGGAGATGGCGAAGCGGAAGACGTAGAACACCCAGATGCCGAAGGCGGCCCAGCCGAAACCGACGAGCGCGAGGACGTAGCCGACGGTGCTGTTGAGCGCGTGGAAAGGGACTATGGGATCCGTGGCGCGCTGCTCGACCCAGACGAAGGCGACGAGGAAGAGGAGGCCGATGAGGAGGAGGAAGTAGACGTGCGGGGTATCCCAGCCGAAGAGGGGGCCATTGTTCCAGGCGACGTTGACGAGGATGAGCCCGGTGACACCGACGACCGAGCCGGTGGCGTCGAAGGTGGGAGGGTTGGTCGGGCGCACGCTGAGGGCTTTGGGGATGATGATCGTGGAGAGGACGCCGAGGCCGAAGCAGGCGAGCGCGAACGACCAGAAGGCCCACGGCCACCATGCGTATTGGGCGAAGACGCTGCCGCTCAACGCACCGATGACGAACCCCATAGGCGCGAGCCCACCGAACACCGCGAAGGCGATGTTCTTCTTCAGCCCCGGGGGATACGCGCGGGCGAGCAGCGCCATGCCGTTGGGCATCAGAAGCGCGGGTCCAATTCCCTGCATGGCACGGCAGATATCGAAGAACACCTGTTTTCTGGGATACGCGCTGAACCCGGCGAACGCGCTCCAGCACCCGAACCATAGCCATCCGACGGTGAAGATTCGTTTGTGGCCCATAATATCTCCCAAGCGACCGGAGATCATGATGAAGGTGCCAACCGTAAGCGAGTACGCCGCGACAAACCAAGACAACTCGCCCGGGTTTGTACTCGCAAACTCCTCGCCGATGTTGTCCAGTGGTGCCAGTGCTTGGCCCAGTGCTGCTTGCGTCATGAAATGGGAGATGCCGATAAGCACGATGAAGAGGATGTCCTTGGGCAAGGTCGTCTGGATCCCACTGTGCGGGAACTTCTGCAGTTCTTTCATATCGGGTGGAGCCTTCATCTCCGGACCTGGATAGGATGATGACGGCGGCAGCAGGTATGGGATTGACGGATCGGGATGGAGCGCGCTCTGCGTCGGTGCCAGCGTCGTTTCGCTGACTTGGAAGTCACCATGACTATCGGCGGCGATGGAGTCGACCCTTGATTGAAGGGGGACGTGTCGTTGCTTATACATTGAAGAGATGGGGCTATAGCCGACCGGCGTGGTGGTCATGGAGGGAGGGGGCCTGTATTCGCCTAGGTCGGTCCTGATGGTATTTCGCGGTTGGGCCATCTTGCCTTTCGATACTGATGGAATATGGCCTTCTGGGTTCATCATTATGGTGTGGCTTAGGGGATAACGGATTATATAAATTCGAAGGGCTGAAGATGGAATGCAAGATACAGCATAGCAATCAGGGAGCGACTAAATAATAGAATATATAGACAGAATAAAGCGAACCACCATAAAAAGAAATACGACGATAAAAGAATTACGTGTTCCATATATCCATACTTCCCTTCTTGAAACTCGCCCGCATTGTGGTGCAACCCAACAAGCACCCACAACTCCATCTGGATCTTTGTTAGACATCTGGCCCGTTGAAGAACAAGCGCGGAAGTTCGAGATGCGAGAGCGCTCTATTCTGGGTGCATCAGCATAGGAAGCAAGTCTCCTTCGATGCACAGCGGCACATCTGGGGTTCTGGGGAGCCGGAGATCAGGCTGCCTGTACACTGTGTACGACGGTGGCCTCGATGTCAGACCCGACTAGGTGGTGGTGGATAGCGTAAGACTTTGGGACAACCGATCATAACTCGAGGCAGCGTGTAATGTTACAGATGGAACGTAGAAGAGGAATCGTTGACATATTTTTGGCGCCAAGCGTCACCTTTGGCCCTCTCTTCACGAAGCTGGGATGGAGTGATATTGGAGAGGTTTTGCAACCTCGAAAACCATTTTACAACTCCACTACAACCCACCTTTCTGTTAGCCATAGGTCCTAATGGAGTTTACGGTGTAAATTTTAATGACCCACAGTTGTAACTCATTTACAACAGTTGTAATCGAGTTACAACTGGTTGTAAATGTGCTAACGAACTTTCGTGAAGTTTGATTGGCCGGAACCAAAGGTTTTTATGCCTTAGGCCACAATGTTGATGCCTTAAAATTATTTTTTACAACTTTTACAACTTTTTGTTGCCTCGTTGCCTCAGGCTCAATATTATAGTTTATACGCTAACTAACCTTATATAGAGATATTAACCGCTTTTTTTGTGGAGTTGTATATCGAGTTGTAAAATGGTTTTCGAGGTTGCAAAACCTCTCCATTGAAATGTGGCCGACGTGACACGGTCTGGATGCGCAAGGTCTGCGATTACCAAGTTCCATTAATCTAAACTGAAGAGAGAGAGAGAGAGAAAAAATCTCCCGGCACCTTTGTGCGCGAGATAGCGACTCTCCTCTCCAATGCCCTACTGCTGTGTTACCATGTTTGTTTGCTTCTCTGATATAATCCACCAGCCACGTCTTCAGCCACAACCAAGGGAACAGGCCGCAGGCCTGGGACCATAACACGACGGTTGGGTTTGGCGCTCGGTATCGGGCCGGCGGTGGGTCTGGGCGGGTTCTCCCCTTCTCGGAGTGCCAAATTTAAGTCAACAGCCCCCGTTTTCGTGCACCCCTGTTTTCGTGCAAACCAAAATAGGTAAATTTCTGTAGATCTATACTCTACTTCATCAATCAATTCAACATGATGAGATGCTATACTGAAAATGCCTCGTGTGAATGAAGTCGCTATACAGCTCGCTATACAGGCATTTCATGATGAAAATTCGATTCCTTAAACCAATGCGCGGATGAATACGGCATCAAGAGATCAACGCTTCGCTCCCGACTGAATGGCTCAATATCCCACCAGGATGAAGCTAAAAGGTTTCAAAAATTGTCTCCAGGTCAGGAGAAATGGCTCGTCGAGTGGATTATAGAAGAAGATGTCGCTGCTAGGGCTCCTTCGCACGCAAGAGTCGGTCAAATGGCAGAAGCAATCGCCAGAGAAAGTGGAGATGACACCCCTTGCGGCAACCATTGGTCCGAGGGCTTTATACGACGAAATCCCGAAGTAAAAACCATGGTAGGGCGATCGATCGAGGCCTCTCGCGTAAATTGCGCATCGAAAGAAGTTATCCAGGAGTTCTTTGAGACCTATCGACGCGTTTGTACGAATTACAATATCAAAATCGCTAACCAATGGAATTTCGATGAACATGGACTCTCCCTTCGATGCGGGACCAACGGAAGAGTAATCGCCCCTGCTCAGACTTCGTCCAAAGGACGTAAAAAAGGCCATACGTACATCAAATCGCCAGAGGATCGCGAATGGGTCTTGGTGCTTGAGGCTATCTCCGCGGCCGGCCGCACAATCTCCCCCCTGATCATTTTCAAAGGAAAATCGGCCCAATCTTCATAGTTTCAACCACAGGAGGAATATATACCAAACTGGCACTACACGAGCTCTGAAAACGCGTGGACTTCTAACGAAATCGGCCTTCAATGGATGGAAAAGAAGTTCTTGCCCGAGAGCAAGCCCCTAGACTTCCCCGCGGACGAATGGCGACTTTTAGTGCGCGATGGACACGGTTCTCACGCCACGGTAGAGATCATGAAGTTGGCCAAGGAAAACCGAGTATATCTTTTGTTTTTGCCCGCTCACACGTCCCACCTCCTGCAGCCCCTGGATGTTTCGGTTTTTTCGCCCCTGAAGTCAAAATACTGCAAAGAATTGAGTCAATTGTCATCTCTTGACGACTCTGCGCCTGTAAAGAAGCATAACTTTATTTCTATATATCATAAATCACGAATACAGGCTCTGAATATACATAATATCCGTGCGGGATTCCGTGGCACCGGCATGGTTCCGTACAACCCCGAAAAAGTCCTGAACAGCACCCATTTGAACGAGAATCACGTAATACAGCGTCCTATTACCTCTGAGCCTACTTTTCCTACATTGTTTCATACGCCAAAAGGGCCCCAAGACGTATGTCTCCAAAAATATGATGGGATGGGGGGGAGGGATTTTCGGGGCTTTCAGGGGAAAGTTGCGAAGGCGTTTTCGGCGAAGAATACTGAAATTGCACAGCTGAAGGCGGAGATTCAGAAACTTCAGAATACAGTGACAGATCTAGGCGGACCTATAGGGAAAAAGAGAAAAAGAGTTCAGCCCGATCTGAACGAAAGATTCGTTCAACTCGATCAGATCCTTCATGCGCAAAAGGAGGCGCAAAAGGCGGAAGAAAAGGCCGCAAAACGACGAATGAGCTCGGAGGAGACATCACGAAAATTACAGGAGGCTACCTTCGAGTTTATGTGTTTTGAATTCCAAATTTAACTATACAAAAATAATATGGCAGGCGTTGAATTACCCAAAATCTGTCCCATACCGTGTCTGGTTGAAGTTTTGAGGGGGTGCACGAAAACAAGGGTGCACGAAAATGGGGGCCGCTGACTTACTGCAGCACGCCGTACTGTGCTCGACGGAAGACGGAAGGGCCGAATTCCATTGGCTTTTGAATGACGTATGCCGCCTGCTGTCCCTCGACTTCAGCCTCCTCCTCCACCCTAAAATTAATCACTTGCCAACCTCCTACAGCACCTAGGCACCTCTGTTCCCGTGTCAGATCCTACATCTGCACCAGCTACGACTGCTGTAACTACTTCTATCCCTCTCTCAGTCCCTGCGCCTGTTCCCATGCCAATTCTTACATCTACACCAATTACGAATCCTGTAACTACTTCTGTATCTTTGTCAGTCTCTGCACCTATTCTAGTGTCTTCTCTTACCCCTTCTCCTTTGTCTTCACCGTTGTCTGTTACTGTGTCTGTTGCTGCGGCTCCATTTCATCAACAGCCTACCTGGCAACCTCTCTCGTTAGAAGAGTTCTTAGCTGATCTCGAGCATCGACGACTTCAGCCCGTCCTATATGACTGTAGTAACATAAACTCATTGACCAATATTTTAGCTGAGACAGGACGGGAAAATGACCCCACTGAACTGGCTGAAGCACGGAACATATGGCTCTCGGTACAAGTGGAGTATACGCTTCCTGCACCTCAATAATGGCATGGAATTACCATTTTGGAAATATGGAAAATTTCTACGCCGAAAGAATTGCACAAGTCGATGCACAAAATTCTCTTTTTGGGTCTGGGGATGTGCGCAGGCAGCATCCTAAGCAGAGTCGGCTTCAAATGCTTGGAAAGGACTTAGCCCGCGCAAGAGACAGCGACGTCAGTAGAATATTATAAATGACGAGAAATCGAGATGCGCTTCAAAGTCCTTCAGTCGGACGAGAGTTCAATAGTGACACATAAAATATTACTAGTAAGAATTAATTAGGAAACGGAGAGGACAAATCTCAAAAACAGGGGGACAAAGAATCTCAGCAGCCTTCCGAGGTATTGGTACAATACAATGCAATAGATACTAGTTTTATTGAATTATTGTCGCAGGCCAAAGCATTAGCTCTAGGAGCATGAGGCTACAAACTGCATTAATAATCTTGTCGTGAGTCTCGTAATTATATCTGCAAACCTCATCGACCCGGCATGACTTTCGGGTTCGGCAGTCGCACCAATCGGCGAATCGTCGGCATAAAGTGAACCATCCCTTGGCGCCGCAAATCGAATTGTGGTATTTTTCCAACAAAAACTTGCACGGACTCGCGCTGACTAACCGCACTGCCCATATACAACACTGAACACGGTGTATTGAAAGTGATCCCCATGATTAGGATGCACCCACATTGCACTCGCGAATTCTTTCCTACCAACTTCATCTTTGAATGGTGTCGTCCATTGCCGACCTTTGGCCGTCCTGGTCTATCGAATGGGAAAGACGGTCTAGGATTGCCTAGGGCACATGCCTGGCAGCATCAGGGAGATGTGCCGCTGAAGGAGGCGGGAGCCCATTCCGGCTCGCCGGTCCTCCTAGACGGCTCGAGACGTATTCCCCTGAGTGGGCTTTCGAGGAGATGGAGGGAAACATTATTAGTACTATGTTCTCTTCTTCGCCGCTTCTCGGCGCTCTAATCGTTAACTCTGTCCTGTTCTTTGGTCGTCGACCGTCATTTCCTACCGCCGTAATGGCTCCTCCAAAGAGAGTGGCCGTTGGAGAATCGGAAGACGAGGCCTTTAATGTGGAAAAGGAGCTTGAAATTATTGAGGGTTACGATTTACAACCGCTCGATGATAGTCCTGAGATTGCACTAGAGACTACGAAGCGGCGCGATCGCATTATGGAACATTGGAATGGGTAAGTGGACTATGGTAAAGTACCCGCATTGAAAAAATCCCAACGAAACCTTCATCTCCCTCCTGTCTTTACGCCTGACGCCTTTTATCTACCTTTTCCTAACATGTTCCGCGATCATGGCGACATAGTTACTTCCGAAAACTCAAGATCGACCCAGATAGTATCTGGCTTGATCCCTGCCGCGATCTGGACCAAGCAAAAAATAGGTGTCGTGGGTTTTTGCGGTATTACGTCCGGACTTCTGTGCAGAAGTTTGTCGTCCTTGGACCCGAAGAGTATGAAACCTGTCGAACAGTTAATTCCGCCTATACTCTCCTACAATATTGGAGGAACCTTATCGCCAAAGCCGACGCTACGATTCTGCAAGAGAAAAGGCGGCAAGATCCAGCAAACAAGCGACTCTGGCGGCTGAAGTTTATAGATCATCAGAACCAGCGTGGGGAAGGTCCTGTTTTCGAGATATCCAAGGTTGGTTGAGAATCCTGATCTAACCTTCACTTTTCTATCCCAATCGATGTGCTTTTGAGAAGCTCTTCTACTGACTAGCTTCCTCTAAACGTAGTGGATCTATAAAGCAGGTGCAGCGGAACTCGGGCTTATCACTGCTATACTCGTCGAAAAAATTGAAGCTACTAAAGAGGATGTGATCATAATTCTACGTACGCTCTGGGATCGCTCCGACGATATCCCTTGTAAGCCAGAACATCGAGTTTCGTTTCATGCTATGGCTGTAACCGCCAGCATTGGAGGGTTTAGACCAATTGCCTTAGTTAAGTTCCCTTATAGACAGATTCAACTGGCGATAGTACGGGACCCGAGAGATCCATCTAAGAGGACGATTGCGGCTACGTTTTCGGTTAAAATAGTGAAGAGACGTCGAGCAGTTCGTCGGAACAAGGATGCTACTATGTATACCATTTTAAAATCCTTTTTCTTTTCTTCGTTGACTAACATATCTCTCGTTACAGGCTGTCTTTTACAGTGTTCTTAGTACCAAATCTACTCCTATGCCTTGCAAGCCTTACTATTTCTCGTGCTATTTAAGACGACGCGTTCGACATCGGTGTTGACTCGGTGAAGGATCTACTTAAGCGACCTAATCTAGGCAAAGTAGACTATATCCCATTACACTAGAAAAAGGACAAGCTAGATGATCCCATCTTTAACCTTAATTATCGTACCTATAACAATTTGTGGCACCGATGTTGTTTCGTTGCCGGCTTACGAGAGGACCCCCGTCTCTATACCCTTCGAGTCGGTATAGGAGCGGATCTAGACGGTAAGGCGAACGGATCTCTTCTTATTCATAGTACCAAAATAGCACAAGCACCTTCTAATTCATAATATCTAGGCGTGGTATCCGATATATTGCGGAACTACGTTATGGCAAACACAACGGCAGTCTTCCAGAACAGCTACCAAACAAAACATGTCCGCACTAACCTTTTGAAAAAGAGGTTCCATGCGTTCATTCCTACTGAGGGGCAGGACGATGCTCTCGATCAAGCAATCCGCAGCATGTCGTTGAAGAGGGACCCGGACGCTCCTATCGACCCTACGCCAGAGGATTTATAAAAGTTTGAAAGGCGCAGCGATATATCCGCGCTCCGCTCACGTATAGAAGCTACCAAAGGAAACAAAAACGAGTGGAATCAGCTTCGAATAAAGGTCCGCCACTTGATCCGGCGTTTGTCAGACATACTAGTAAGGGAGAAAAGAAAGGAATATTTCAACCGGGTCGACAGATTGCGAGCTTTAGGCCAGGCAGTTCGAGCGGAGATCGGCGCCGCGACGTCATCAAGAAATCGCACGAATCCACACGGTCGTAGTAATGCTATCATCTACGTTACCCAATACCTGCAATGCTTTACAGCAAGGCCGGATAAGCGAAATCGGGTCAAGCTGCACTCGCCGGCACGTTTTTTGACCTTGCTCCTGTCATTTCTGCTGAACCATCCCACTGATGACAACCTGGGATATAATCATGGTCAGAATGAAAGCGAGAATGAGCTTATCAACGCCCAGGCCAGCACAGCGCAGGCCAGCACTGGATGCCAATCTTCCGCTGAAGCGGGGGATTCAGCAATATCTATTTGCTTTCTTTGCTATACACGGTTTAAAAAACGCTACAACCTCACGAGGCATTTCAAGGTATCTCACTTTGCGCGTGAGGGGATCGACCAGCCATTCTCATGTCCTGAATGCCGTCGGTGTGGGATGCCAGAATGTTCGATCACTGGCCGCGACAGACCAGATAGAATGCCGTGCTCATAGACCCGAAAGGGATCCAGATAGTACGTTAAATTGATTATTATTATTATTATTATTATTAGTTATTATTATTATTATTATTATATTCATTTCGGAGCTCTAGTTATGACATGTCTGTCGGTGGGCACGCTTCTGCTCGACTCATTGGACGGGATGTTTTCTCGATGTCATGGGCAGCTTGTAGGCTTCCCTGAGGCACGCGCTACACTGACGAATCATCATGGGTCCTTATAGGTGTGGAGCTAACGACCCTCCTCCAGCAACGATAAAGCGCCTAAGAATAGCAATGCTCGAAGGTGGGTGGATCTGCGGACGAATACTCGCGGAGGTACATGTACTTGATAAAGCTGCTCAGTCGAATCTGACTCTGCCATTATGGTACCTCAAATAGTCGAGTGTCAATATTAATATGCTTATGAAGATTTGGCTGCAGGGCTTCACGCATCTATATCATAACAAGATTCACTGATAAGTTCTGGTACTATGCCCAAAGCCTTATTACCCCCGATCACCTAAGTAAGCCTCTGTATAGCTACTCTGCGTTCTCGCTACGGAGCAGAAGAATAGACTTAAAGGTCAGGCATTGAGGAACTTCTCATGTGGACCACCGAAGCGCTCACCCGAGACGGCTAGCGTGTCGAGGATCCTTTGGAGCTCAGCCATATCTTCCTCAGTCAGTGATGCCGCTTTGCCGTTCTCGATGACCCGTTCTTCTCTGACCGACCCCGGAATGGGAATGCCACCCACACGACACACCCAACCAATGGCCACCTGCGCTGTCGTCACGCCCTTGCGCTTGGCGACCTTCTCCACAGCCTCGACAAGCTTGAAATTCTGGTCAAAGTTCTCGGGCTTGAAGCGCGGCAGCATGCGGCGCTTGTCGTCTGCCGCGAGATCATCGATCGTACGCAAGTCACCTGTCAGCCAGCCACGGCTAATAGGGCTGTATGCCACAAGGGGAATATTGACTACATGTAGGCCACAGTGTCAGCTAAGCACCTCTAGAAGGCCGCTTGTTTTGGCTTAACTCACGCTCGTGGCAGGCGTCCGAAATGCCGTTGTAGAGAGGTTCAGGGGTGAATAAGCTCAGTTCGACCTCGACTGAGGAGATAGGGTGGACGGCATGTGCCTCGCGGATTGTGTTCGCGCTGACTTCGCTCAGGCCGATACCGCGGATCTTGCCCTCCTTGACCAGTTCGGCCAGCGCCTTTACCGTTGTCTTAATAGGGACCTGAGGGTCAATCCGAGCGCACTCGAAGATGTCGATGGTCTTGGTGCCGTCGAGGACAATGGTAGCCTCCTCGACGGAGGCGCGGACACCTTCTGGAGTGTTGGTGGGTCCGTTGGGCATGCCTGTGAACCCCCCTTTGATGCACAGCACGACCTTGCTAGCGTCCTCGGGGTACTTCTGGAAGTAGTGTTTCAACAGATGCAGCGAGTTTGCCTGAGGCGTGCCGTAGTGAATACCCTGTGTGCTTGTGAGCTTTTTGTCTCGAAGCAGGACCTACTTCTTTTGGATCAACTTACGCCATTCCAAAGATTAGCACCCTGCTCCAGCGCTGTCTTCATAACCTTGACCGCGATGGGATAGTCAACAGGGGCCCACGGCATCGTCAGACCTGAGGCACAGAATGTCAGTAGTCATTCTTTTGCGTTAATCAATGAGTGCGTACTCCCCCAAAGCAATACCACGGGGCTAGAACAGGCTGTATGGGGGGTATGCCGACAATTACTCACCCATCATGCCGAACCCTACAGGGCCAATCACGCGGCCGTTGACATTGGTAAGTGCTGTTCTGCTGGCGCTCATGGTTAACGATGTGCTGTAAATTCTTGAATATGATGTGAAAGAAGCGAATAACCCTATTCGGCCTGAACAGGAACGTGTATACGATTGTAAGTAAGTAGTTGAGTTTAGGGCACAATTTTGGGCAATCCTCAATATATATAAGTGAGGTGCGGGCCGTATCTCAAGGGCCAAATAATTGGTCTCCGAAAGGTTGGGGATGTCTTTGTATGGATGTTGCCAGGGTTTTATGTCCGATCCTCCGATCCTCCGTTGCTCCATCTCCCTTCCCCTACAACCCCCCATCCCTGACCATTGCTGCAGGTCAACAGAGCACGATGGATGGTGGCGTCACCACGAGCCGCATGTTATGGACATGCCCAGCGGGTAACACAAAAAGCGAGACTCATAATTGGGCTTGGCACCACCACACCATACAAATTTATATACAGTATAGGATATCTCAACAACCACGTAACTAAATTAATTTCAATTTGAATATAAGCAAGTTTGAAGCTATTCGCACCCATAGCTTTCGTATATATATAAAAAGCGTGGCGGTTAGCCCGGCATTCCACCGCTATAACCAATAAGCTGCCCATCAGACTCGATGACTTTACATAGCCGATCAGGTATAGAAAGCACCCGTTTATTAATCCATTCCTGATTAAGACGCTCGTACCATGCCTCTTTTACTAATTGTACCGTTTCCTCGGGTTCCCAATGCCTATATTTCCTTACATATCTTTTGATCGGTTGCCAACAGTCCTCGATAATCGAGAGCTCCGGAGATCCTGCGCAATTAAAGAAACAATAAAGTCCTACTTCCGTTTTCCACCTCGAGACGGCGGAAGGCTTTGTCTTCGTAGATCTTGGTAGTACGTGACCGCTATCCTGATCCTCCTTAAGCACGAAATAGTCTCCATTTACGAGCCATCCGCCAACGACAGGCTTTAGGATATCGTTAAGATAGCATTCCTGCGTCATCTTCCCGTTTATATTACTCGGGATCTCGTAGAATACGAGTGGCCCTTTGAAATTGTATCCGACGGCTGCCCAAGCGTGGACTTTCTTCTTATCTTCCTCATCGGGATCATCGACGCGTTGAATGCATTTTGGATAATACCGTTGGCCTCGTTTCCGGATAATCAAAGTCTTGCCTTAGGGCCCAAGGCCAAAGTGAACGTCATCGCTAAATCTGACGTGTTTCTAGTACTTTGGCGTAGGGTATTTGGCGAGCATCTTTTTCGCGTATGCGACACGCTTAGTAGCCAATTGCTTTGAAACCTAGGCCTTTCGACAAGCGATACATTTCGACAAGCGATACATTTCGACAAGCGATACATTTCGACAAGCGATACATTTATGGTAATCAAGCGATTGCATTGCTCTTTGTATCGTACGTCCTGAGCAATCAATATCAGCCTCTATAGCGAGGGTTTCCCACGTCATTTCTCTGTCTTGAGAGTCCATCTCTTCTACCAACTGATCGAGCATTGCGAGCTGCGTAGGGCTGATGATTGGCTTCCGACCGCGTGTTTCTTTTTCACAAGTTCGTCGGTTTCCTCGAGAAGACTTTATAATTCGATAACCGGAGGATTTAGGTATACCGTTACGGTGGAATATTGAATTGTTCGAGCGCGTCGTCTCGAAACCATATAGTCTCCGTCGCACTCGTTCATGCTCGATTTCGCCGCGAACACGGGACTTTTTTGGAGTATCATGGTAAGGACCGGGATTTTGGGCATTTTTAGAAGCCTTTTGAGCTTAAGAGCGTGTATAAACCATGGCAGACGAATTAATTATTGATTGTTGATAACTATCTACAGAGTACTTTGTAAGGGGGCGGGCAAACATCGGCAATTTGTGAGTCTCGCTTTTTGTGTCACCCGCTGGGGCATGGCCCATGGTTGGCACAGGCTGAGAGCCTAAGCCTAATCAAGCCTAGCGTAGAGATGGAACCTCATCAAGATTCCTCTGTCATAGTTACCTTGTACTCTTCATCTCAATCTAGAATATCTTTGGCTACGCGTATGTTGTGTGCATCCAGCTACCGTGCCGTAACACCGCAATATTGAGTGTCATTCGGTGTCACGTCCAGCTGGATTACAGAACCTGGCTGAATGGCCTAGGCATGTCCAACAGGTGTGCCTTGGCGTGATCTCTGCACTGCGAGTTTTCCGTAGAGTAACGAATGGCCTGCAACACGTGCTGCTCTAGGACCTGTGGGCGGTGGTCAGGGGCTGCCAGCACGTAGCTGCAATTCTCTGATCAGTGGAAAGTGCACCGATTGCATGGCGTTTTGTCGTATCACTGGCTGAAATCAACTAAGTATCCTGAATGAGTCGCCTCCGATTGATGATTCGAATTTGGATGGCGGTACTTCAGTTTCCTACAGCCGATGTCAAGGACCATCGAAAGTCTGATTTGAGCCTCCCGACTCTCACAGTCCTGACGTCTCGAAGACGGGCGCAGTGAGTCATGCGTAAAAGACACCTTGGAAGTCCCGGCGTAAGTGGCAATCCATTCTAGTTAACATGGTACAGTCAAGTTGAGAATGGGCAGAAGCGATTGACCAAACCGCATATATTTCGTTGTACAATTATATATATGTTCCAGTTGTAGATGCAATCTATACCTTACCCTCCATATAAACTTCTTCTCTCCTGAAGCCATCGACAGCCACCGGTACCCGAGAGCTGCCTCCTCGTGGCGTGACAGAGCTGCTCAATGAAAAGACATAGTCCCAGCTCGACGCATCCTCAGTTGGGCCCGAGCAAGGTGCAATTACCACTCAACCGCAAAGCGGTTTCTCCATGCCTTACCGTAGCGGTAGAAAATCCAAGGCACCGGCATAAAGGCAAGACAATTGAAGCCCAGCACGCTGTTCCCCCGTCCTAGTCCTAGTTGCCTGTATGGGGAGGTGCTGCAAGGGTCAAGAAAGCCCCAAAGGGTAACCGAATGACCAAGTTCGCCGCGAGTGCAGACGCGCCAGCTTCAGCGCCAAAAACATCAACCAAATACGTTTGCGCCGGTATAATCACAAAGAGTGTACCGAAGCCAAGAATGAATGTCCCTATTATTGGCACGATCCAATGGACTTGATAGTACGCGGTCCATCCATAGAGAAAGCACCCAAGGGGCGTGAAGGGAGCGAACCACTTCATCAGGATCAGGCGCTCCTCCGCTTGGGCAACCTTGCCGTCCCTCTTCTGTCCCAGTAACTTGTCGCTCAATGCAGCGAAGAGGATCAAGGCAGCCATGAGACCAATCCCGAGGCCAAGGTAAGCAAGTCCGGAGATGACTACGTTGAAACCGTAGGTCTCGCCGAAAACCTGGGGGAAGGTCGTGAATAGTAGGAAGATGAGACCGAAGAGAAGGCCTATGTACAGTGACAAAGGAGCACGATGGGCGAAAAGATCAACAATTTTGCTAGTCTCACGACCGCTCGACGCATCATTTGCCTGGGTGTCTGACCGGTGTCTCCCTTGGCGAGCAGCCTGTCGTTTCCCGTCTCTTTCCTCAGGCGCTCTGCTTTGCGACGCAATAGAACCGACGCGCTGGTTTCCTGCATAAAGATTAATATAGCAGCTAAAAATACCCCGGACTGTGAAGAGTGTAAGAGTCAGATCATCGAGAATAGGGTCACGAAAGCCTTACAAGAATCAGAATGAGGCGGAACGACCAACGACATCCAATTGTCTCGGATACAAAACCGCCGATGATGGGGCCTAAAACCTAGGATGTTTTAGTAAACACGATCTTAGCTTAATCATGATCATCTAACCTACAGTACCGAGCAGGGGACCGAACCCGAACAGTGCAATGGCTCGTCCTCGCTCCTCTTGTGGAGTGACATCGGCCACAGTGCAATGGCTCGTCCTAGCTCCTCTTGTGGAGTGACATCGGCCACAGTGCCACCTCCAATACCCATAGGCCCCGAAGCAGCAGTGCCGCTGATAAATCGGAAAACGATAAACATGGCTGTGTTTGTGCTAAAGGCATAACCAACAGTGAAAGCGAAGTAGACTATGTTACAAGCGTAGTACATAATGAGACGACCGTAGAGCTACGATAGTGGTGCTAGGAACAAGGGCCCTACAGCGAGCCCTAAGGCGTAGATACTGACTGTATACTCCGGACGGTGGAGTTGGTGATATTGAATTCGCGGCCTAATTCTTCGGCCCTGGGGGCGAACATGGTTGATGCTAGGTTGCTGGGTTATAGGAGACGTCAGTGATAAACAGCGAATCCCACATCGGGGGTTTATGCGAGAGTTGAGTGACTAACGCTGAGAGAGTGAAGATGCCGACTATAATTATATGAAGGTTCTTGTTGGATTTGGGCCAATTCATGGGGTTAGCGGGATCATCGGGGCCGTCCTAGTCGACGATGTTGGGATCCGGCTCTGGGTCATGTTCGACGCCAGCCGCCACTGTCGAGGCGACGGAGCACTGCACTTCGGATTCTCGGCTCCCAAGAGTAGCTGCGTCCGTGTCAGCAGCTGGGACATCTGTCGTGGTCATGGTGAGATCTATCAGCAGCTGTTATGGACAGTGTCCTCGTCGTGGCTCTAAGGCTTGTAATGGGTTCAAATCCATGACATGCGTTCAGCTTGGCGAATAAAGAAGCTGAAATGTTGATAAAGGGGTGAAACAATAGTGAATATCAAATGGTTCGGTAATATTAGATTCCAAAGGAGGTGATATGCAGACTGTAGAGGCGCAGACAGAGAACTCATCCGATCGTCCGCTCAGAGTACGTCAAGACCTCCATTTGAAAGGACCTCCATCCATCATATTATTCATATATCCGCACCTTGAAATCACATGAGCTGGCTGCTAGGACGGTGTGAGGGTCGAACTTCAACAAAGGTCGGCGGACGGGGCATCGGAGCTTTGGATATATAGTGGAGCATTGTATATCGGAGGATCGGACAAGAGCGGAGCATCGGATCAATGCTTGGCTTGGATTGCTTACCTCCAGTACCTAACCCTCAACCATCTGTTCCTCAACTCACAGTCATCAACTCCACCTGTAATATGATTTCTGAAATGCAACCGGACTTAGACGATGTCTAACCAAAAAGATCCGGCGCCTGTCTACAGCGGACCTGGCAACACGCCAAGAGGTCGTACTCGGCTGCCATCTAGCAGGCGAAGAGACAAACCACAGTTATCCTGCAATTTGTGCAAGAGGCGCAAGTATGCTGTCTGCACATTTTTGAAGGTCCACGACTCTAATCCAGAGCCAGGCTGAAATGCGACCGAGAGCAACCTTGTAGTACATGCACAAGACGAGGCCTGGCTTCGACCTGCGTATACTCCTCGAGCACGCCATTGCCCAGGAATGAACCGAACCAGGTCCCCAGGCCTGTTTCCAGAATGCAGGACCGAATTCAGCAGCTTGAGAACCTGGTCTTGAACCTGATGCAGGTCGCCACGGGACGCGACACTGTGCAAATACCACAGACTGATCTTGGCCGTGCAAGCTCTGTTCCGACCAATGATAGCCCAGCCAGCACAACCCCAGGCGAGGACATCCCCGAAGATGCTTCGACCGCCGCCTCTGATCATGGGAGTACGAGGTTGAGCAAATCTGGCGCGAGCTACGTGAATAGCTCTCATTGGGCTGCCATCCTTGGGGAAATCGCAGAGCTCAAAGACCATCTTGAGGAGGAAGCAGAGCTGCAACATCCTCGGAGCATCTCTGACTCTCTTGATCCGAGCTTTTCGGGGCCGCAGTTGCTATATGGCTATCCAAGATATGCATCGAAGGCAGAGATCCTAGCTTCAATTCCGTCGCGGCCGGTTGTGGACAGACTGATCTCGTGCTATTTCAATCTTTTCGACATGTCCCCAGGTTGGTGTTAATCCGAGTCGGGCGTGTGGTAATACACTGATACCAAACACAGTCGTATTACACACCACTCAATTCCTCAAGGAGGTATGCGACTCATCCACCAACGAGCCAGTCTCAGTTGGCCCAGCTGACATGGTCCTACCTAGTATGAACAATTCTGGGAGAGTCCGTCTAGCACCCCCTCCGTCTGGCTGGGTCTACTATTCACTATCATGTGTCTTGCAGCTCAGTTCCAGAAGTTTGGCGTCGATCCCGGGGTGCAGCTCCCGCCGAGCCAAGGTCACGAGTCAGATCTGGGGACCATGGTAGAGTCATACAAGCTGAAGGCTGTGCAGTGTCTCATCCTGGGTAGATACGCCAGTGGAGGCCCCTACGTGTTGGAGACGCTGATGCTTTATTTCACTCTTGAGCATTTCCTCTGCAAGGATGCCGACGTCAGCGTATGGATCTTGTTGAGCACCATTGTGCAACTAGCCATGCATATGGGCTACCATAGGGACCCGAGTCACTTCAATGGCATGTCCGCTTTTGCGGGCGAGATGCGAAGACGCGTATGGGCGACCATCGTCGAACTCGATCTTGGCTTCTCCGCGCAGATGGGTCTGCCGAGATTAGTCAAGCCATGGCTGTCCGACACGGCCGAGCCTCGAAATCTTCTCGATACCGACTTTGATAAGGCCACTGCAGAGCTGCCACCATCCAGGCCCGCGGCAGAGCTTACTCCGATGCTCTATCGTCTCGGGAAGACTCGGATGATGGTGGCCTTTGGCTTGGTATGGGATTTTGCAGCTGACATAAGAAGTTACACGCCCAACGATGTAACCAAGATAGACGCCAAGCTCGAGGAAGCGCTCAAGGCGGTACCAGATTGCCTCAAGTGGCGGTCCATGGCACACTGTATCTTGGACCCGCCTCAGGTCATCTTACAGAAGGTCGTGCTGCAGATCATCTACTACAGGGCCAGAATAGTCCTACATCGAAAGTACATTAGCCGTGCACAGAACGCGGATCAGTATGCGCATTCCAGAGAGGTGTGCCTAAATGCCGCACTCAAGCTCCTTGACTTGCAACACATGATCGACGAAAACACGCGGCTATTTTGCCAGCTGTACCATGAGCGCTGGAGGATCTCTTCTCTCATCAACCACGACTTCCTCCTGGCCACAAGCATTCTCTGCTTCTATTTGCGGGAGGTCACCGGCGAGCCCTCGGACGTAGGCGAATCCGCGTTGGTCGAGAAGATCATGAAAACCCTGGAAAGGTCTCATGACATCTGGCTCCGCTCCAGCGATGCCTCCAAAGAGGCGCGGAAGGCGGCCAAAGCTTTGAGCGTCGTGATCGGTAATCGAAAGGTGCCATCGGCAACAGCACAGGCCGGGGGGACCAATGCAGTGAGCTCACAATCGCTAGCAGGCTATAGTGATTCGACAACCGATCATCATGGTGAGTATACACACCCACAAGACCTTCCGGCGAGCCTCGGTCAGCGATATGCGCGGCACATTTATGAGTTAACAAAGATGTCAGGGTACTTTTCGGATATCGACGTGGCGTCCCCATTCGTCGACCCTACGACATCTGGAAGCTGGAGAGACATGATGAACGAGCCTGTTGGATCTTATCTACTGCCGGAGACGGCGCCTTCGTCCACTTACGGACAGCAAATGACATACTGTAAGTGAACTTGGTGTAACCTAGTCCAGTTTGGAGTCGGTGGCTAACATGCGAGACAGCGCTGGATACCATGACCTCTTCTCAGTGGCCCTGGCAATCAATATGATGCTGTTCAGCGGTCTCTTTATTAACTTGATGGTGTTGACTTTCAGGCAGCTCCCGGACTATGTTGCCCTCCAAGCTGTTTTGGCGATTTTGAAGTCAGAGACGGTTATTCTGGGCCCGGCCACTGGGCGACATTGACTCAGATGGTGTTAGGGGTGGTAGTTCGGTCACCAATCTCACGTCAACGTGTACAAGGGCCTTGACTCATGAAGATATAAGAGACCGCAGGTTCACACTGGGGCCATTACGTATCATCGTAAGGGCCTGGCTGGTGCGTGTGCCTAACTCCAGCCGTCGCGTTAAGGAGTTCAGTCGGGCGGCATGGCGACCACTTTTGCCGGGGAGGCGGGGGATTTCGGTGTGGATAGGGACCGCCGAAGGTTGGGCAAGGTGGATTGAGGGACGATGATCGAGAGTGTGGTCATACAATACAACCCGCAGCAAGCAAAGGAAGATATCGGTACTTTTATCAACGAACCATAAACATCCATCGACGTAGCTAAGAAACGTCTCAACCCATCCGATCCACAAGTGTCCCCCATGATATCAGGCTCGCACCGTAGAACGCCGTTCCCCTGGAGACAAGTCTCGGCCACCGGGACGTTGGAGTGCCTCCCATAAATGTGTTCAGCGTCGCTGATCGCAGATTACAGATCCCGAAACTCCAGACGGTACGAAGTAGAAAGACACTAGACACAACCCGCCCGCTCCTCGATCCATCCATCAAAAGTTTAATCGCCGAGGACGCTCTCCGGCTCCTCCTCCGCGCCAGCGTTCACATCCTCATCTTCCTCCCGGTCCTCCTCCTCAATCTCATCCACCACCATCTTCTCCACCCCCTCCTCCTCCTCCTCAATCTCATCATCCTCCACCTCCATCACTCTCTCCGCACTCTTCATCCCCTTCCCCCCCTTCTTTTGCGGCTGCGCCTTCCCCGTCGCCCCCTTTTTCTTCCCCCCTGCCGCCCGCTTCTCAAAAAACCCCACCACCTCCCGAAAATTCGCCCCCAACCTCCCTTTATTCCGCCCGAGCCGCTCCGCCACCCGTTTTCCGACCAGCCCCGCCGCCACCGCCAGCACCAGCTTCGACGCTAGCTCGCACAGCCGCTGCTCCGCGACCAGCGTCCGCTGCAGCCGCTCCCGCCGCCTCTCCTCCGATGTCTCCGCGTCCTCGTCCTCGTCGATCTCCTCCTCTGACTCAGGCTCTTCGTCCACCGTCTCCGGCTCCTCCTCCTCGTCGTCGCCCGTCTCGAGAGCCCGCCCGCTGCGCCGCGCGTAGGTCCGCTCCGCCGCGCCGAGCACCTGGATTGAGAGATCCTGCAGCGCAGGGTCGACGTTGAGGACGAGCGCGAGGAAATCCTCGTGGGGTGAGGTGGCGGAGGACGAGGCACCGTTGGGCTGCGCGAAGCGACCTTTGAATTGGCGGAGGGTGCTGAACGCGCAGGCGAGGTCGTAGACGGCGCCGACGCAGGCGCAGCGGACTTCGTCGGCGCCGGGACGGGAGCGGATGACGGTGGCGAGGGCTTTGACGAAGGCGTCGCGGTGGGCGGCGAGGGTATCGAGGTGGGCGTCGGGGATGGAAGTTGGGGGGGTGGTGGAGAGGAGGGCGGCGAGGTGCTTGACTTTCCAGAGAAGGTGGAAGAGGAGGGCCTTGGTGGCGTTCAGGACGAGAGCATCTTCTTCGGTGTTGATCTCGGGTGGGATGCCGGTGCCGGGAACGCCGCGGTGGAGGAGGGTGGTAAGGAGGGAGATGGAGTCAGAGTGGGGGGAGGGTTGGGTAGAGGAACGGCTTTTGGATTTGGATTTGGTGCGGTGGGAGGTGGTGGGGGACGCTTCGAGGGGGTCGGTGCAATCGGAGATGCTGGAAAGGTTGGCGATGCGGAGGACAGTGTTGCTTAATGCTAGGAGTGCATTGGACTTTAGACTGCCGCGGGTCATGAGATTCCCGGCTTGAGCTGAGAAGTGCAGCGCAGACATGGTATCGTCCCACAGAGATTGTAATTTGCCGGCAGTGATCTCCTCCAGGTCTTCGTAGCTCTTCGCATGTAAGAGTGCCATGCTTGCCTCCGCGAGGACAGACTCATTGCCATGCGTTAGGAATTGTTTGTTGATATCATCTAGCAAGGCGGGAAGCATGGTGGACTCTTCACGAAGGGCTTGGAAGATATCCAGATTCAGAGCTCGCTCCAATCGCAGCACTGCCGATGCCGTCGACGGCTGGGCCCCAAACTTGTTCAGTAGACGAGGGATGAGTTTCGCTAGGTTCTTCGATGCCTCCTCTTGCTCGTCGATGAGCCCTTGTTTCTGAGCTTTGGTCCGCTTGACCTTCTTGTCAGCGAGGGTTTGCGCCGTCTCCGTCAAAGAGAGTTTGACGGACGCATTCAAGATCTCGAGAACGATGAGCTCTTCGGCGTCGGAAAGTCGGACGGCATCTTTGAACCGCACGGCAATATCGTTGGTCGCAACGCCATTCACAATGGGAGCTGAGTGATCGAAGAGCAGATACGCTGCGAGGTACTCCCAATCTAGGAACTCCGCCAAGTCTCGAGATTTTTCGCAGAGCAGGGTTGCCGCCATCGAAAATCGAGATTCGACGCCCGAAGCGATGAGCAGGTAGCGATCGCTTCCCGGAACTCGTTCGTGGTTCGTTGGTTCGGTCTCATCAGAATCGTACGCCTCTAGCAGCTCCACCAAACTCTTAATCTTCAGCCACTCGAGTGTCGGAGCTTCAGGATTCTCCGCATGCTCGGAGTCCTCGAGTATCTCCTGCAATGACTCCACTCCGCCGACGTCTTCCACTTTTAGCTCATAGATGTCCATGACGTTCTGCGCGAAGAACGGCACGACTGCCTGCCGCACCCGGGCTTCCGAATCGTAGATCAACTTGCCGACCACATCGATATCGTCCGGCTCGATGGACCCGTTTTCCCGTAGCGTGTCAAGCAGCTCCACCGACGCGCTACGGACCACCGGGTCGGCGTCTTGCGTCGCCATCTCGACCATGCGTTGCCGAAACCGCTCGATGAAGGAGCGGAGCCCCGCGAGGCGGTCCGGTTTACTGAACAGGTCACGCAGCTTTCGGACGACTTCGAGACGGGTGGGTGCATGTGTGTCGGAGAGGACCCAGCCGAGGTACCGGAGGTAGTGACCTTCGAGGAACAGGTCGGGGTATTGCGAGATCCAGTAGCTGAGGGCTTGGACGCAGTCGACGCGGATTCGAGGGTCGATGTCTCGGTAACGATGGACGAACACCGTGTCAAACCAGCCCTTGATGATCTCGTCTAAAGTCTCAAGATGCAGGGTTTGGTCCGCAACCTTTTTCTCGATGTCCGCGACTCTAGACTTGTTGGGCCTGCCCTTCTTCTTCTCACCATCGAGTTGTCGGACAGTTTGCGCTTTTGTAGCAACGAGTTCACTGCCGACGTCGCATAACGCGCTGACTATGGCTAGAGAGGCGACGGTCGCGGTGTGGCGGAACGGCCTGTTGCTGGCTGAGGTCATGGACGCAAGCCATGACATAATATTTTCCATTAACGCTGGGTCGTCGAACATGGTTGTGGCTGCTATGGATCTGACGAGAATTTCGTAAAACTCGACCATGGTCTGCTTGAATGAGACGGCACCTTTGCCGCGGGCAATCAAGGGGTATTCTGTGACATTTTGCTGGAGAGTGATCAGTTATCGCCCTGGTACCATTCAGACAGGGCGTCTCACCGATTGATACTCATCTTGGATATCCGTAAGCTTCTCCGTAAAGTGATCGGGATCCTCTACAAGCGTCGCGTCCACATTATGATCGCATCCCGCACACTTCAGGGTGAAGGTAAACAGATCCGCAACCGCCGCCGATTCCCCGTCGCGAAATGCCGCAAGCCACGATGTAATCGCCTCCTCGATCGTCTTCCGGCCACTGAAAACATCGCCTGGTATCTCTAGTTAGCCAACGTCATGGTCACGCTCGTCTCAAGTTAGCATACCATACAACCCCTTCCCAACAGCGATCGCACTCTCCCTCGGCCTCGGCCTTCTACTCCTCTTCGCCTTCGCCGCCCGCACTGCCGGCCGAATCGCCAAATTCACCTCGCCCGCTCCATTCGCCTTCGGCTTCTTCGCCGCCGGTTTCCGCTGACTTCCGCTCTTCCGTTTGTTCCTCCGCTGCTCCCTCCGCTCCTCTTCGCTCGGCTCACTGTCGTCCTCGTCCTCGTCGTCTTCGTCGGACGCGTCGTCCTCCATATCAACATCCTCGTCCTCGGCGCCGTAGTCGCGTTTCCGCTTCGTGGCTTGGCTAGAGGTGGGCGGCGCGAAGACTTCGGGCTTCTTGACGACGCGTCCGGATTTGCGCCGGTTGTCAGGGGCGGACGCGGGCGCGTCGAGGTCGCTGACATCGGTGGTGTCCATGTTGGCGGGAATAGAGTGAAGCAAGAGACGCGTGGGACGGGGAGTGGTTGCTAAGTGGCTGGAACGGGAAATGCACGCTGGTTGCGGTGATAGACAGGGAGGAAATCAGAGCGCGCAAGCCATGGATTTAATCGAGGGATGCGCGTTGCAATGGTGATATGGAGATAGTCGTGATGGCTCAGGGAGGACGCGTCACGGGAGCGATTGGATAAGATAGGAAAGAAAAGATGAGGGGAGAGGAGGGGAGAAATAAATGGTGGATGGGTGAGCGCGTTTTTGAGGTCGGAGGTGAAGGGAATGATGAAGTGCAGAGGTGAACGTTGCGGAGTTTCACTCACTGGAGTTGCTTGGGGCTTCGGAGGAGGGATGGGGAAGTTGCGCTGGTTGCGACTGCCTGTCCATTGAGTCCACGCTGTTGATGTGGAAGGTGGGGGCGGCAAACGCCGCGACGCGTCCCCTGTCGCTCCTGCTCCTCAAGACCCTGGCCCACCTGGCCGCCATAGAAATTCCAATTGGAGACAATACTAGACAAATGCAATAATAAGTTCTCCTATCAATATAAATTCAATGGCAATCCGAATGCTAGCATATGTAAGTAGTTCAGGCATCCGCCCACACAATACGCAGCCACTTAATAAATCTAGTTCCGAACCGCTCAGCCAAGCGAAACAATAGCAATGTCCCCTCGCTCCCTCAATCCATCCCAACGTCCCCCCCCATAATGACCTCCCCTTTCCCAACCCTCCCCCTCGGCCCTGGCGTCGGCGAAATCACCCTCCATCCCCTCCGCACCGCCCAACCCGCCCTCCAATCCCTCCGCTACCAATATCCCCTCAAACTCGTCGCCCCCGCCCCCTCCACCGTCTCCTCCCCCCCCTCCTCCCCCCCGACCACCCACCTCGTCCACACCATCTTCCTCCTCACCTACGGCGGCGGCCTCGTCGCCGGCGACGTCATATCCCTGCACGTCTCCCTCGCCGCCGCCGCACGCCTCGTCCTCCTCACGCAAGGCAGCACGAAGGTCTACAAGGCACCGAGCGGGGGTGCGGGCGCGCGGCAGCGCATGGAGGTGGCGTTGCGGGACGACGCGATGTTGTGCTATCTTCCGGACCCGGTGCAGCCGTTCGCGAAGAGCGCATTCGAGCAGGCGCAGGTATATGTGTTGCATGGCGCAGAGGCGAGTCTGTGTGTGGCGGATTGGGTGGCGGAGGGGCGGAGGGCGAGGGGGGAGAGATGGGGCTTTGGGGGGTATGGGTCGCGGAATGAGGTGTGGGGGTGTGAGGCAGGGGGAGGGGGGAGGCGGTTGCTGGTGAGGGATAATGTGTTTTTGACGGATAAACATGGGGCGAATGGGGACTTTGCGGCGGCGGTGGATGGGCTGGGGGCGGTGGGGACGTTGATTTTGGGGGGGCCGGGGTTTCGGGGGGTGGGAAGGTTTTTTATGGAGGAGTTTCAAGCGATGCCGAGGGTGGGGGGGAAGAAGTGGGATGGGAGTGAGGGGGAGGAGGAGGAGACGGGGAGGGAGCGGTGGAGGGCGAGACGGCTGAAGGAGGAGGGGCGGGATGGGGTGCTGTGGACGGCAGCAGATGTGAGAGGGTTTGTGTTGGTGAAGTTTGGCGCGAGGGAGGTGGAGGGAGTGAAGGTGTGGCTTCGGAATATGCTGAGGGAAGAAGGGACGGTTGAAGCGACGTTCGGGGAGCGTGCGCTGCTCTGTATGAAATAGACAAGACACAAAGGTCGCAGCCTAATGAAATATAGCTGTAAACCCGCTACGAGGATCCCTTCTGCTTCTGCTTCCTCACCATCTCTCGATATGCCTCGATCACCTTCGCCCGCTCCCCCTGCAGCTCCTCCCGCCGCTTCAAACTCCCCGCCAACTTCGGCACGTCCGCCGCCATCACCTTCGCCCCCTTCACCTTCAGCACCTCCCTCGGCACGCTCTTGAACTGCGGCGGCGCCTTCGCCACATCATGCAACCCCTTCGGCCGATCCCGCTTCCCCTCCAACACCGCCCACGGATCATCCTCCTCATCCACCCCTTTTCTCCCCTTCTTCCCTCCCGCGTTCCCCCCAAACACCAACCCCTCCTCTTCCTCCTCCTCCTCCTCCGCCAACTCCTCCGCTTCCTCCCGCTTCTCCCGATACGCCGCCTCGTCCTTCCGCCACTGTGCCTGCAGCCTTAGCAACTTCTTCTCATGCTTCGTCCGATGCTCATCTTTCCCCTCGCCCTTCTTCATCTTGCGCGCCAGCCCCGCGATCGGCATCGCCTGGTCCACCCGCGCTGCGAAGTCCGCGAGCTTCTCCCCGTGCTTGATCGTTAGTTCGGGTATGGGTTCCTCCTCCTTCTTCGGCGGCGCAGGGGTGATCGGAGCTTGAGGTTTGCCTTTGCCTTTGCCTTTGCGGGGGGCGTCACCGTTGTCCGGGCCTTTGGGGCGCTTTTCGCCGCGGCCGAGGCGCATGAGTTGGAGGAACGCACGGGGGGTGTCGTTGGCCCATTGGTCGGGGTCCTTAGAGAGCTTGGGCTTTTTGGCACGTTTGGGGCCTTTGGGAGGGGGAGGGGGGTTGTGGCCGGGTCGGAGGGGTTTGGCGATCATGGAGGGAGGAAGGTCGGCACTGGGGAGGTTAGTGATGTGATAGTTGGACGGAATAGGCATTCGTGGGGACGTACTCTCGTCCTTTATCATCATCTCGCTTTCTTTTATGTTTGTGAGGCATGGCGATTTAATTTCCTTGCTATAATCCGTAGCAGGATATGGTATTGTACTGTAGAGGTACGAGGGACTTTGATAATAATCTTACGGAGAAATTTTGATGTCTTCGGTTGACGCCAGTGATTGGTTGGTTTGGTGGCGGGTTCAGGGTTCGCTGTGACGTCGGTCTCTGGTCCCCGGCCCTTGACTGACGCCCATCGACTCGACCACAAGGCTGTTGACTGTTCCTGACTCTCTTCCTGTCCGTCTTATTCATCATTGTTACATTCCCGTCTCAATCCCGAAACCCGAGTCACCATCGAACGACGCTGGGGTAGTGACCATTTCCTTTTGTTTTGGCGCGTCTCTCTATTTTTGTTTCATGTTTAGTCATTACCCCTCCGCGGGAACCCGTGGTCAATGGAACTGAGCCGACAATTGGTATAGACGATTACACAGGAACACTCCCGATTATAGACATGCAGCAGGAGCTTTAAACCAGCCGGATTTTGCTGTAGGCAGATATTTACTTGAACCTTCGAACATGGCCTTGCCATCTCACGAAGCTGGCCTCCCGGAGACGAGGTCACATCGAAGAGAGGATGACGCAGAGTCCGAGGACGGCCGATCATACAAAGATGAGGACAGAGAGCGGCTGCTTATGAGTGAAGAAGTCCCCGAAGGCCGGTCTTTTATACCTCCATTTTGGAAGCGGTTTGGCCGTATATTCCGAAGCAATGGGCCTTTTCGGTTCGAGTCTTCTGGCTCGTACCCTGCGTCCCCCCGTCTTCCTCGACCGAAGACCTTTGGTGGACATTGTCTTGGCCTCATCGTAGGGTTCTTGACTGTTCTGTAAGTGGCCAATCCCGGCATCTTACTGCTTCGATGCTAACGGCGATGCGCGATAGTGGATTGATCCATGTGACGTACTTTGTGCTTGGTCTCGGCCCCCTCTTCTGGACTACAAGCGGGAATACCTACCCTGACGACTGGCGGCACGGACAGTCATCCGATGATTGGATGCGATACACGACGGATTTTACACGAGATATCCTCCCGATACCATGTCATTCCCACAACGACTACTGGCGGAAAGTGCCCGTCTTCGAAGCAATTCATTACGGCTGCACCGGCGTGGAAGCCGATGTCTGGCTGTTTGACGACGAGCTTTATGTCGGACACAACATTGCGGCATTGACGAGAAATCGGACGTTCCGTAGCCTCTATGTTGAACCGCTGGTGGCGCTTCTGGATAAGCAGAACGGGAACACCTCGTTCCCTGATGATGCTGGTCTCCGAGGGATCTTCGACGAAGAGCCGGAGAGGACGGTCGTCTTGCTTGTCGACTTTAAGAACGGCGCCGACTCCATCTGGCCATACGTCCAACACCAACTCGAACCACTGCGCCAGAAAAACTACTTATCCTACTTCGATGGCCACACCGTCATCCCCCGCCCCATCACTGTCGTCGCCACCGGTGATGCTCCCTACCCGCTCGCCATCGCTAACTCCACCTACCGCGACATGTTCTTTGATGCGCCCCTCTCCTCCCTCACCGCCTCACTCCAATCCTCCGAGCCTTTCAACAGCAACAACTCCTACTACGCCAGCACCAACTTCATCGCCGCCATCGGCTACCCCTGGTTCGGCTCCCTGAGTGCCGCGCAGCGCGCGACCATCACACGGCAGGTCGACGCGGCGCACGCGCGGGGTCTGAAGGCACGGTATTGGAACACGCCGGGGTGGCCGGTCGCATGGCGGAACCATGTGTGGACGACGCTGGTGGAGTTGGGGGTGGATTATTTGAGCGCGGATGATTTAAGGGCGGTGGCGGAGCATGATTGGAGGAAGCAGAAGGATAGGGATTGGTAGGGAGGAGGGGGGGTAGGGGAGACGATGGGCGGGCGGTGCATATAGTTCTTCGTTCCTTTAGATTAGCATTTGAGATACCCTGTGGATAGACGAGCGACACTCCTTGATGTTTGATGATGGGGTGTAGGGCCATGGTGCTTTTTAGCCGTTTCTATAGAACGAATACTGATTGTTCGCACGGCACGTTGGCCATTGCGAGGCCTAGTACATATAACTAAACATTACCTACTGTATGGTATCCAGTGAATTGATGTTGCTTGACGTACTGGTCATACGAAATCCAATTGTTCACCCATATCGAGCGCCTCCGCCAAGCACTGCCACTGTCACCCACCTGCCAAACCGCACCCTTCAAAACAATCTCCAGCCACAGATCACGGGAATACTACCACTAACGGTTCAGCTTCACGCATCTCCTCCATCAAATCCATCTTTTTCCTATTCAACTCCCCTCCAATACCCTTCGTCGATGGTTCCTTGTTTCGTAGCTTACCTCTGGAGCGTGGAGGAGAGATGGCGGGCGGCTTCGACGACCTGATCGAGTTCCTCTTGCAGGAAATTGCCCTTCTGGGTGAGAAAGGTAAAAGATGTTCTATTTTCCTACAGTATTTTAATCATCCCGTCCATTCCTCCCGCTGCAAGTCATTCTAGTGCCCGCCAGTGATTGGATGCCCGATGCTTTGCCGTCTGTCGATGTTGAAAGTCATCGTTCCTCTCGCTCGTCCAGGCTTGGCATCTCGAAATCGTGGCACAGGGCGTCCGGTTCGAGCCGGGCTCAGACCGCGCATTTTTTATATTCGAAGAATTACTTACGGCTTGACTAGGCTTGTCTCCTTCGGAGTTTCGAGGGCTCATTGATCGGTTTTATAAACCGGTAGGAAGAAATTTTGGCGCGGCAGAGGCACCCGAACCCCCGGTCGCGCTGGTGGATGACTTGCTCGTTGAGCAGGTGTGGAAGTGGACGACGGCGCATCGGGACATTTGGGTGGGGATAAAAGGAGAGTATAACGGGGTGTCATGGAAAGAGGCCGTTGAGATTGAAGCTGCTGCCTCGCCGTTCAATCAGCAACTAGAGCGAGCGGCGGACGTACCTCAAAGCCAAGTTAATCATACTGACAAGCCGGATGGTGGAACTCCAAACCCCATTGCTGAATCTCAATCCAATGGGAACGTTGGGAAATCCACCGAGACCGATCCCCAGGTCAAAATAGAAGAAGCAGCAGAAAATCCAGCCTCTCAAGACAAGATTCGAATCTACGCCTCCGAGGAGCGGATCTGGCACGCCCTGGCAGGCCATGGCATCGACCGCAAGAGAGTGCCTCCGCTGGAGTTTCAACTTCTCTGTGTCATCGCAGCTCAAGGACCGAAAGGCATCATCCAGCCGCAGCTTGTCAAACTCAGCGGGCAGGACAAACGCTCTCTTCCGAGGCGCACCGATGCCTTGCAAGAGAAGGGGTATATCGTCAAGAAGTCAATCATTCAAGGCGGCATGCGCACGAGCATTCTGACCTTGCGCCGATATGTCGAAGAGCACACGGAGGTCGCGTCGGACGATGCGGCGAACAAGACGCGGATCTTCGTCGATGGCCAAGTGCAGGTGTTTAACGCGGTCGATGCCATATACGAGCTTCTTAAAGACATCAAGGTCATGCCTACGGAAGATCTAGTTCGGCTTGTAGGCTTCGATGCCCGCTCCTTCCGGCGGCGGATGATGCGCGATATCTTCCAGCGGCTTGCCATGCTCGGCGTGATTGCGCAGGTCAAGGTCAAAGTCAGCTACACGAAGACCTGGAATGTCTGGAAGCGGGCGGTCAGACTGCTCCGCGCTCCGAATGAGAAGGACCGGAAGACGTTCGCATCGTTGTCGAAGGCCGAGATGAACTCATGGATCCGACAGCAGAACAAAGGAACAAACGGCGATGGCAATGCGGAATCGGACCAAGACTCTGAGGACGAAGGCACCGTTGTTACTAACACGGAACAAGGGACGCCTGAGATTCCAGGCCGGGCTGGCGTTTCCGATCAACCACCGAAGCCCACCATCGGTCCTCAATGGGATCCAGACCGATTGTGGCCGAACATCATATATGAGTACGTCGACAGAGCCGGAGAAGAGGGTGTTTCAAGCATGGACCTACGAGCCCGAACATTTGGCCCGGTCTGGAAGCGCCCCTTCGACATCGCGATGGCGCGACTCACCGATGCATGGGAGGTTTCTCAACCGGAAACGTTGCGCCACTTGAAAATCGTACGCGACACGGCTGTTAAAGATAGGACGAATCATTACTTATATAGGACTGTCGGCCACTACCAGAGTCTTGTGAATCAGGGCAACGGAGATTGGGACATCGTCAGCAACGGGCATCTTGCGAAACCGGGCAAGAAACAGAAAGTCAAATTGGAATATTTCCTTGCTCCGCCAGACGAATGGGGCTTTCCTTCGGTCAATACGAGCTTGCTAGCACCTGGAGATGGCATCGCTCCTCTACCGAAGCAGCCTATTGGGCGCGAGGCCATCAGTAAGCAGAAACAGCAAAAGCGCAAATATCTCGGCCTCGATTTGTCCGAAATTTCGAAGGAGATCCACCAGGAAGAGACCCAAGCCAACCAGTCCACCACAACGACCGCGGCGAAAGGCAAGAAACGGGCGATGGATCGTTCAGCGCCAGGTGACACGACCTCCACACCTGCGGCGAAGAAAGCCAAACTTGCGCCGATGGGCAAGATCGCGCAGGAGAAGGCCAAGAAGGCAAGAGAGGAGGCCAAACGGTATGTGGCTGCGCTGAGAAAACAAGCGGAGAAGTTGGCCGCATGGCAGATTACGATGGAGAAGAAGAGGAGGGCGAAAGAGGCGGGGTTAGACTCAGATGATGTGGGCGTTGATTTGCGAGAGATCAAGCGTGCCACAGTGCAGAAGGTCCTAAAGCCACAAAAGAAGTCGTCGATTGTTCCACCGAGGCGGAGGGGACGGCCGAGGAAACAGACTGAGAAAGTGGCCATGGTGGGACATGATGAGGAAGACGGTGACGAACATCCCGCCGTAAATGGGTCTGCTGGTGCTCCCACCACTATTCAGCATGAACAAGTTGAGTCCCTTGCACCACCTGCTACTCAACTAGACCACGCTCAGGACAATTTGCAAAACGGCGAACAGTCCATTAGCGCAGAGGCAGACAATAACAATCAAAGTCAAGCATTGGACGAAGACAAGAAAGCCTTGGAGCAGCGCACTGAAGAAATTCTCACCGGATTTCTCCACCGGACTCGACGGGGAGTCTACATCAAACCTCCTTTTGCAGACCGGTCGTTCACGCGAGGTCGACCGCGCAAGACGTTTATGATTGCTATTAAGCTCGATCAGCTGAAGGAAGAGGTACCTGAGGATGAGCAAGGAGCCCAAGCAGAGGCGAGGAGGTCCGAACTCGGAGAACAGGCGGATGATGGGGACGACGGTCGTCCTGATTTAGAGATGGTTGACGCGAACGACCAGCGTGTGGAGGAACAAAATCTAGTTGATGGTGAGGTTGGAGAACAAACCGCCTTTGTGGACACTTACGGTGCACCAACACAAACTGCAGCAGTACCTGTCAGTCCCGGCGAGGAATTAGCAGCTCGAGCTACCCGCGATACCCATCCGATTGATATTGACGAGCAAGAAGACACGGACCACGAAGCCGAGACAAAGGACGATATCGTAATGGACGAAGACATTCAACAGCCCTTCGAGTCACCTAGCTCACGCAAGCAGACCATATCTAAACCGAGTTTCAAACTCTGGAGTTTGTCTAGCCAGAACAAGAAAATCACCAAAAAGAGAGGTTCGCATCGAAGACCGGGTGTCCAACTCGGAGGTGGTACCACTGCGCTTAACCGGGTGAAAATCATTCTCGACCTGGTCAACAAATGCGACGGCATCATACCTGGCGCTCGGGCGGTATATCCTTCATTTGACTTTGCATGGAAGGCGCTCCATCCAAGTAGCGGTCGAATTGACTCCCGGACTATCGAACGAGCTCTGACCTCGATGGTGGAAATGGGAAAGCTCATCCACATTGAGGTTCCATGCGAAAGGAATGGGTCCAAATTCACGCAATCGATGTATACCTTTCCCGAGATTGACCCTTCTTCGGATCGTGTGGAGGACATGAAGAGGAACATACGCTCCTGCTACCCATCGTCGTACCATCCTCCTCAGTTAGGCATAGCACCACCACCCGCGAAGCGTGGACCGCCGCGCCATACCGATCTATATCCAAAGGATGAGACCGTACAGTTCGCACAGCCGCTTCCTCAACCCGCCAACGTTCGCAGGAAACAAGCGGCAGCCGAGATCTCAAGGATCAAGGCGGCCGAGCGGGCGGCCAAACAAGCGGCGCGGGAACATGCCAGGAGAGAGAGGCAGGAGTTGAGGTTGGCAAGACAGCACCTCCGGGAAACGAACCGAGCCCACTTCAGGTCGATCAGAGATGTGACCAGTCACCGAGCCAAAAGACAGAATCGACCTCCTATGCCGTACGGGCCGTGGGGTCATCCGTCATTGGGCTTTGCACCTTCGTATATGCCACGTAGCGGGATGCAGACTATGTACCCAAGCAGGTATCCAGTCCAAATGGATCCTAGAACCTCCCTTGTTCTGGTCATCAAGGGACTTTCAATGCTCACTCAGTGCTCATCGGACTTTCACCCCTTGACGGGCACGTTCTCGACTGTCACCAATGTGCCGAGACGTCTCGAACAGGCAGTGCCGGCTCGAGTGACATTATTGTATATGCTCCAATCTTTCCAGATGAAGGCATACTATCTCATGCTGCATCCAGCACCGACACTTCATCAGCAAACCGGGACATTTGGGACCAGTGCTATCGTGCCGCAGGTGATGCAGGTCCCACGCTATCCTACTACTGGCGGCTCAGTATCTCGACAGCTTCCAGCACTCCTCCCGGCCCCACCGTCGATGTACAATCCCAAAATTTCTCAGCTGGCTCCATTTAATAAGGACGATCCGCGCGCTTACGATGCGTTACTTCAATCTCACGCCCGCAAGGTTGCAAAACAGCCTTCTTTCATCAAGGTCGATCTGGAGAAGGCGTTGTCCGAGTCGGCGAAGTACTTCGTGACGGCCATCACGGTCGTTCAAGCCCTCGTTGGCGGAGTCGATCAAGGTATCAACTGGACTTTAGTGACGACCATCTGCAAAGGCAATCCTCGGTTCGACATCGATATGGACATTGGTCATCTGCGCTATCGCTGGGTGATTTATCGAGAATCCTTCAAAGACTGGCTCAATGAAGTTATTGAGGACTTCCGGGAGGTGTTTTTGGAAGCGTACGGAAAGGGGGAAGTCGACCCGATCGATTTCGATAAGCCTTATGACTATGACTGGCTTGGCTTGGTCAAGTGGGCGATGAAGAAGCTTCTGATTCTATCGAGGTCTCCTGCCGAGTTTAGAAGAAACCCGATCACGCATCGGAGCTTGCCTGCCACTTGGGAGGCGCTGGAGAATTCGTTTTCTATAGAATCGGAACCGAGTCAGAGTCGCACGCTGCCGGAGAAGTTCTACAATGACAAGACGAACGGCACGCACCGAGCGGTCTGGGTGCATAACGTTCCATTTGAGACGGATGCATTCGCCAAGACTAAGCCGCGAGGCAAAAAGGGGAAGACGCAAGAGACCGAAGATGGACTGCGGCAGGGCGAGAAGCGGATGACGAAGTCCTACGTCAGATCCGTCATCGCAACTCCCGATGATCAATACGATGCCTTCCTCGCCCGAGACATTCTTTCGCGCTTCCCGCCCTACGCCATGGACCGCGCGATCGGTGAGCTCTCGCGGAAGAACATCATCTCCAAGCGATTCCCTGGCCCCCACGTACCACCCGGTCGGACGTGGCAGCTTTCCGACCAGTTGAACTCGATGCTCGACCGCCAAATCACCGGCGAGATGTACCAAGAAGCCGCGCAGTTCAAAGCGGACCTCGACCGTGCGTTTTCAGAAGGAGACGAACCCGTCGTTCGAGTGCCGTTTACGGCGAAGAACGGGACTATGCTTGCGATCCTGAACCTGGTTGCGAATGGCCGATGCAGACTGACTCCGGCCCTCCCTCGCATCATCAACGAAGACCAACCTCTCCTGCGAGGAGGTCGCGACGTTGACGCCGAGCTGGTGTATTCGAAATGGGGATGGCTCAACGGCGCATACAACACACGGATCATGAATCGCAAATATCTGGAATTCCACGTCGACGTCCACCCGACGGCTCGCTACCAACCAGGTAACCCATTCCTCGCAAGCTTGCCCGAGGGGACATTGCCTGCGCCCCCGACCGCCAACGATGATTTTGCGGAATCGGATGAGGCGTACCGTGGCTGCTACCCGCTCTGGCTCGATCATCAATCGCACATCATCCAAGATCTGTGGGAGAGGGTGGTCATGGCGGTCGTGCAAATCATCTCGTTCCGCGCCGGAGTCGATGTAGACGGATTGAGTAGGGCGTTCAAAGGGATGTTGGAGCCCTGGGAGCTTGAGATATGTGTGGGTTGGCTAGAGAAGGTTGGGGCGGTGGAGAGGGTGGCTGGGAAGGAGAACTATACTGTGACGGAGTGGTGGTGGATGGTTCCTGCGGCGTGGATTCGAGAGGAGACGACGGAGGTGGACACTCGAAGGATTGAAGAAGACCACAGTCCCATTCTTGTGGAATAATACTCATCGAAACAGCGGGGAATCATCAATGTATGGTATGACTTAATACCGAAGGTACCATAATTTTGATATCGGCCGTCGGCATCCAAGTTTCCAGCGATTAATTCCCCAGTACAGGAAACTTTAGGTTTCAAGATTCATTAGGCAATACTCTCCGAAACCAAATCAGGAGATCGGCGTGATCGGACAAGATGGCAATCCCAAGCTGGCCAACTGAACAATCGACATCAAGCCGAAACTCTGCTTTTAACATGGTCTTCTCCCGCGAATCGACGTCCAGCTTTTCCACCGTAAAGAACTCTCTAGAAACGTGCGTGAAAAGTAGCTTAACCCGCCAACTCCGATCCGTAGCATCGATCACCAGCTTCCCCTCTTTACACTCCACGATATAGGTTCCATAGCCCTCCTCTCGATATATGCCCGCATGCGATGAAATCGAGGCCGCCAACGGCAGCGGCGGGTTCGGAATCCTTGGATAAAGCGCCTCGACCGTTTTAGCCCTCCACTCCACTTCATCCTTCACCGCCTGCGCCTCCCAATCGAACCTCTTGGAGATAAACTTGTCATACTTGGAGAAGAACTGGTCGCTAGCCGTTTTGTTCTTGATCGGAATCAACTCGGGCGAAGTTTGCAGATTTGAAACGCATCGGAGAGTTTGGAGGGTAGTGAGGACCTCCAAGATGATCTGCAGAGTGATACGACACGAATATGAAGTTTGCTCTGCGGGGCGTACGCCAAGATACAGAGCAGAGGCGTAAAAAGCAAAAGCTGATTTAAAAGTCACTGACTTGCCATCTTCCATCTTGTTACTGCTTCGGCAGTTCCATGTAAAACAAAGGAGGCTCTGTAGACGGTTTCGTCATATCTTGTAGAAGGGACAGGGCGCTCTCATGACTCATGACTCTCTAAGAATAGAGTTGCACAATTATGGTGAATCATTATTCCACCGCTCACTCACAGATTTATATCCCTCCCCTCTCCTCCTCTAGTGTCTAAAAACGTCGCTGTGGATCACTCTATCCCCTTTTGCTCTCTACTCCCCCCTTTCCCATCTTCCCCACAACAATGCGGCCTCAACTCCCTAGATACCAGACACTGACTCACCGAACACGACATCTCCGACCTCAGCTCCGGAAACAGCTCGAAGAAGCCGGGCCGCATCTGGAAGCAATGCAGATCCATGACGTGCGCGTGCCAGGGCGATGAGAACGCGTAGAGGCCCGTGGCAGGGTCGTGGTGGTAGATATCGCGCAGGTCGTGGCTCCAGAGGAAGAGGTAGTTGGTGCAGAAGGCACTGACGAAGCGGTCGCAGGCGAATCGGGTGCGGTTGAAGATCATTTGTTCGCGGAGGCCGGGCCTGGCGGGTCAGTGGGTTCAGTGATGCTGGTTGGGAGGAAATAAGTACCAGACGAAGAAATCCACAATTGGATCATGCTGGATGTGTAGTTGTGCTAGACTATATCGGCGGCGGCGTTAGCTTCACTACGACGATTTGGTTTGGTTTTTGTATCTTGCCTTGGGTGGGTAAACGGTGGAGTGGTGTCGTCATCCTTCCTAACCCGTTTAACCCTGGACTGCTTGAGTGTTAGATTGGGTCCAGTTCTCGGAATTCTATCTCCTACCGAGAAGCTCCGTCGGATTCCGTGTATGATTGAAGCTCTGTCCGCGAATCCAAGGTGAGAAAAGAGATGGCAATCCAAAGCTTTCAACCACTTCCAGCACCCATCGAGAGTATATTTTTGTTCCACGGCCGACCATCCTTCTAGAAATGCTCTGATAGTTATGTCCTCGTCTGTGTCAACCGAGCAGAGAGCGTAGGTCGGCCGGGTTAATATATACTGTAAACAATCATTGGCCAGGTACCATAGCTTTCCATCGATTTGTTTCCTGAGAATCGTATTCGTGATCTGAGCAATTGGATCTGATAGATTTACGGACGAAGACGTGTGAAGCGGAATCTGATCACTGGTAGGATCGAGATCGACTGCCTGCGCGACCTCTGAAAGGAACCCGCATCTATGGTCGACATCGAGAGGATCGGGCACCTCCTGGTGGTAGAGCGCGGTTTTACGTCCAAAGTCTCCGAAGGGCTCTAGCTGGAAGGTATTGGGGACTTGAGATGTCGAAAGACCTTCGAATGGACGGTCTACCTGATCGGGTGACTGTTGTGGTTTCGAAAGTAGAGTTGACATATCCAAGTAATCCAAGTTGACCCGCGATTCGGTCCCCGTTCCGACGGATAGGTTGGGTCTCAGCATAGCGGGAGAATCAGCGACGCTCACCGGTTTCTTCTCCATCTCTTCCATCCCGTGAGGTGTAGATTCGAACTCCAAATCATCTTGATGGTTGAACGACCGAGACTTCGTCAGGAGCTTCTCAATGCTCGATAGGGTGTCCCGCAGATTCTGGATCTCATCCTGGGCTTCATGGAGTTGAGCAACGAGCTCACGTATCCGCTTGTCACCGCATTTTTCATCCTGGAGTGTCTGAACAAGGGCCTCAAGACTCGCGATTCGGTTCCTCGTTTTCTCCCGTAGATTCCTCTGCGCGTCTCTATCCAAAGCTCTTTTCCGTTCACGTCTCTCGTCAACCGTCATCCCTCCTCGTTTCCCAAGTTCCTGTTCCTTGCTTTAGGTAGATTCACAGCATTGCCACATTAAAGACTACTAACCGCTGGCATCTTAGGAGAATCGTAACAGGTCCGTCAATTGACGGAATCCCGGGAGCCAGCCGGACAGAAACGTCGAGGTCCCGAAGTACTCTTGGATTATCCTGCCCAGCCACGAGTTGGATTCAAGGCTTAGAAAGAAAGGAGAGGTATAAGGAGATATTCAAGAATCCAGGTCTGCTACTAGGGCATATACCGGCGTTGCGATTCGCTGCTGCATGCAAGCTTTACCAACCAGCGCCTGTCAATTCTGAACGGGAAGCCTGCATAAAATCCCGTGTCTCGGTCAGCCGGGATAGGAATCGTCTTATTACTGGGGCCAAGGACCTTCGTATCTAGCTAGGTTTGCTCCATGTGATGCGCTGATGGATGCTATATCACTCGAGAGTTGAGAGGAGAAAGTTGAGCGGATGTGTGGCGTTGATCTCGATATATCGGAAATATTCCGTGATCCAGACCGAAGCCTCGCTATTTCCGGCCATCCCACACTAAGGGGGTCAAGCGGGCTGGGGCGGGGACACTAGGACGCTCAGGGGTGGAGGTTCGAGTCCCAAAGAGCGAAAGAAAGCGTTTAGGAAACACTGAATCTATGAATATTAGAGACTTGTATTGAACAACGGACATGATCGCCGACTACAGGAAGAACGTTGTATACTAGACGGTCAATTGCCCCGCAACTCCGGAAGATTAAGATGATAATAATGGCGAGACCTCATGCTTAAACAGTACCAGTGTAGCTCGCACTTCATGGTCAACATCGAACTTGATCGGAACTTAAAAATAGTATACGGCAAAGTACCTTTCAGATGTTCCCAACCGGATTGTCTTTGAGTCTGACTCTTCCGACAATGGAATACTGAGATTCCGGTGATGGGCTTTAGTGTAGACAAATGACGGATACCTATATATGCCACATTTCCGATGAGACCAAGTCGGCGTCTAAATGGAGCGGCCCTCCCTAAGTGTTAGGTACTTCTTTGCAATGTATACTATTCGAGCTGATGACAGTTCACTGATAACAGTTCACGGTTGTTGAATTGTTTCAATCCAGTGAAGATATCAGACACGTGACCATGGACAAGGATTAAGAAGAGCTCCCTCTGATTGGCTTGTAGCTCCTTAGCGCGCCAAGGCATGTGATGTTGATTCGAGCGTCTCGGCTGGAAAGTTTCAAGAGAGTTCAAGACAGTTCAAGAGAGCTGATTGCGATCATTTCCACCTCCACACCACCGCGTAATATCAATCATTCAATAAAATGCTTTGCGCAAGTAAGTACTTCTGAAATCGAATGATGGAGATGGAGATTCTAACCCCTTCTAGTCTCAGGCGAAGCTCCTCAGGAGCCCGTCGCTTCCAGCAAAAGCGGTATGTTGATTCTCAACGGCGTCCCGAACGTCTTCTCTAACCCACCCCCAGGCAACGTCTTCGAACGCCGTCTAATCGAAACCTACATTACCGAGAATGGCACCGACCCGATCACCAACGAGCCCCTCACCCTCGACGACCTCCTCCCCCTCCGCACCGCCCGCGTCGTTCGCCCCCGTCCTCCCACACTCACCTCCATTCCCGCCCTCCTCTCCACCTTCCAGAACGAATGGGACGCGATCGCCCTTGAGTGCTACACGCTCAAGTCCCAGCTCCAGCAGACCCGCCAGGAGCTGAGTACCGCGCTTTACCAGCACGAGGCGGCGATGCGCGTCATCGCGCGCGTGACGCGTGAGCGGGACGAGGCGCGCGAGGCGCTGAGTCGGATTGGTGTGTCGGCGGGTGCGGGTGCGGAGGCGGATCAGATGGCGGTGGATGCCAAAGGATTGAGCGGGGAGTTGGCGGAGAAGGTGGAGACGACACAGGCGGAGTTGCAGAGCACGAGGCGGAAACGACCGGTTCCAGAGGGTTGGGCGACGGGGGAGGAGGTGGAGGGGTTCGGGGCGAAGGAGACGGGGTATAAGGTGGCGGGGACGAGGCGGTTGGCGGTGGATGAGACGGGGCAGTTGGTGTTGGCGGCGGGTGGGAAGGGTGCGGGGGTGTTTTCGGTCGCGGAAGATTCGGTGGTGCAGACGTTGGATGTTGGGGGGGTGGGCGTGACGGATGGGCTGTGGGTCGAGTCAAGGCCGGTGGTCGGACTGACCAATGGATCGGTCGTGGTCTTTAATGGAGAAGGGGAGGCGACCGCAACATTCAAGTCGCATGCTGGCCCTGCTATGGCCGTTACGGCGCACCCCAGCGGAGAGATCCTCATCTCCGTTGGCGTGGATAAGAGCTACGTTGTCTATGATCTGCCGGGAAACAAGGTTGTCCTGCAGAATTACACCGAGTCCGGTATGTCATCGCACCTGCACCTCGTCATACAGAAACTAACTCCTTCCAGAACTCTCCTGCGCTCAATTCCACCCCGACGGCCACCTTTTCGCGGCTGGTGGCAAGGATGGCGAAGTGAAGGTGTACCAAATCAACACCGGGGAGAAAGTCGGCGGCTTCCAGACCGACGCGCCCGTCCGCTCGCTCTCCTTCTCCGAGAACGGCACCTGGCTCGCATCCGTATCCGAAGGCCAGAGCGACGTCACCATCTGGGATCTGCGCAAGATGACGGCGATCAAGACGCTGGAGATCGGATCGGCGGTGTCGAGCGTCCGATTCGACTATACCGGGCAGTTCCTGGCAGTCACCGGGCCGGGGAATACGGTGGTGATGCAGTATAAGAAGAAGGAAAAGCAGTGGCTGGAGCCGCTTCGGAAGGGCGTAAGCGGTGAGGCAGTGGCATGGGGCGAGAGCGGAAAGTCTCTAATGGTGGTGACGGGAGATGGTGGGCTGGTTCAGTTGACGGCGGCATGATGGCTCAGTCTCGCTGTGGGTTGGTTCACATTGGCGTCCGCGGTGCATGTGGGTTCGCAGGCAGTTTTCATGGGCAAGGTACATCATGGCCAGTACGGCCAGCCTAGGGTTCTTGAGCAGTTTGAAGTGAAATACCGGAAGGGCAAAAGTTGCGGGCTCGGTGTACAATAGTACAATATATCGCATTCACATCTGACTATGCACCATTTCTACCCCCTCACTCTCCATACGCTCACAGGAATAATTCTACAACCCCCCAAATTCCAGAACCATCTATTTATATTCGGAATTATTGTACTTAAAACAACACGGTGGCATCCCCGTTGCAGGGAATTTCCACGGTACAGAGCGGGCAACGGCCCGACGGAATCTTGGTTTCACACCACCGAGTGACCACACACGTCCAATGATCGGGCGGCAACATCATCGACCTCCTCCACGCCACATCACTGAGTGATCACTTCACTTCTTCTCCACTCTCCACTCGATCTCTGGATTTCCCCTGGATTTCTTCACTCCACGGCTCGATATCGGCTCCCGCACACTCGGAGATCACAGGATGGATGGTTCGGAGAGGCGGTCGTTCCGCCCCACGGTATCCCACAAGGTATGTGATGTGATATGCCTATCATTTCTAGCACCGCTGGTGGAGCCATCGAATCCACATGGACGGCTAGAACCGCTCCTCCTCCCATTCATGATGCTGGATTGCAGCTGACATATGACGATGTTCCAGAGGCCACGCACGGAGAATTACTCCTCTCCGTTTAGCGATTATCGGGATAATAATGATGAAGCGGAGTCAAACGGCGGACCTCCGCTGTCTTCACCGCCCCAGCGCTCCTACGGGTATCCGTATATGGGTTTCGATCTCCCAACCACCCCCGTCCGCCACCGACCGTCCAGCCCGAGTAACGAGCACACATCGGAAGAGGAAGGAAGCGACATGTCGGACGACACCCTCATGAGCGACTTCAGTTTACATGAGGAAGGCCTGGGCACAATAGAGAACGCCTCCGACACCGAACACTGGCCGTGGAGCGATCCGCTCAACGAGGACTTCGCATTTCTGGATCCCGAAGTAGAAGACGAAATCGAAAATATGCGCAGACAAGGAGACCCTCTCGCATATGCATTGGCTCTGGATCGAGCAAACGAACACGAGCAAGCACCACCGATCATTGACCTCACTTCCGACAACGACCGGGGAAACGCAATGCAGCGGAATAGAAATCAACTCGGTCAATCCTCCTCCTCTCCGCTCACTACCACCAACAACGACAGGAACACCAGAAATATTATCACCATGGGTTCCCACCAGCAGGACGGTTCTCGCAATCCGTTCGATCCGCCACATCACTCCAACAATAGCAACACAAGCGCCGCCGGCGAGGAATACGTGCTCCCCAGCAGTTCTAACCGTCCGCTTGATACTCTAGGCTTCAGACCGACGGCGGCCTTCGAAGCACGTACTAACCACACCTCCTACAACCCCGTGACGGGGGAGACGATGCATTATTCAGCTCAACCAAGCGGACCGTCGAACCCTCCCACACAGGAGAGGTGGTTTTCGCACCCAGGCCGTCCGAACACATCCATGCAGGAGATTGCCGGGCCTTCGTCTTCGGAAGGCCGACCTTTTATCCCGCCGGTGGACCTCACTCGATCCTCTCCCCTTTTCACACCCGGCACCAACTTCGCCGAACTGGCGAGAAACAATAGACACGGCGGCAGGAGGCCCGACTCTGACCAGACCGCACCTGAGCGACGTTTCGCCCGCGGACCCACGTACACCCTCGGTTCCGACAACATCGTCGATCTGACCGACGACATCACCGAGCACCAAGCCACCGCCGGCGCCTCCACCAACCATCACGCCCACCCCGCCTCTAGCCCCGAAGTCCAATTCATCGCCCAACGCCACCGCGTCCCTCCCCCACCCCACCACCGCACCGCCATGACCGACCCCGAAATCTCGCTCGAAATGGAAATCATCCGCTCTACTGGCCCTGGCCCCATACGGGCGGAAGCCGTACACACCCGCGACCCCCGCAACAATAGCGTCATGGCAGTCTTCCGGCCGATGTTCGGGTCGCTCGTGTCCCGCCATCTGCCGGACGCGTTCGAGGCGCCGGATCTGAACTTCGCGACCGTGGGGTTCGATTTGCGGGGCGAGGGGCGGCAGCGGGAGGCGACGGCGAGCCCAGGGTATGCAGCGCCGGGGCCAGCACCGGAGGGGTTTACGAGGTCGCCGGAGGAGGGGGAGGAGTTGGTGTGTCCGAATTGTGGGAAGGAGTTGTGTGCGGGGGTGGAGGGGGATCGGAAGCAGGTGTGGGTGGTGAAGGGTTGTGGACATGTAAGTTCGGAGCGTTATTGGTTACTTGACGACAGGTGACTGACGTGTTATAGGTGTACTGCGGGCTATGTGCAAAGTCGAGAAGCAAGTCTGGTCGCGGGAAGGGGAAGAAGAACGCTGCGGGGTTACCGCCACCGTTTAAGAGCTGCGTAGTCGAGGGATGTGGGAAACAGTGCTCAAACAAGACGCAGATGGTGCAGCTTTTCCTCTAATGTCACTCTGAGACGTTTCAGTCGTTCTTTATTGACTACATCTGTGGGAGGCGAGAGAGCTTTCATCACTGAATGGACGGAGGGGAGACACGCGTTGATCGAGCCTAATTCTGTCTCGGATTCATGGGTTTTCTTTACGAATGGGCTTAATGACATCGATTGCATGGGCGGAGTTAAGGATTCCAAGGAGGGGGTCAATTCGAATTCGAAGGTCATCTCTCCGTGGCGGCGATGATATCAGCGATGGCGGCGCAAGTTATGATCGTAATGGGTATATCCGCTCACACTGCGCCTTCTGGCAGATACGCAATCAACAATACAAGCGAATCCGAAAGCAGACTGCTGTCACAAGTTCCACTATGTAGTCGAATGCGTATGGTAGGATGAATGAACGCACTAGGTTCGGTCCCTTGTAGAGCGAAGTAAGGAGGATGACGGATTTTTTGGTGCCGTTGCTCTCATCTTTAAACAAATCACGTAAGAATATTTTCAGTTCGTTGTAATAATAATTTGAGTGTTACGATGGAGCCCCATTTTAGATAATGTTAGCTTAGTGTTGATCGATGATGATGATGCACTGCGGAACCTCACATATCTCAGCCTCGGATATCAGCAGCTATTAAGGTAAACTCCATAATACGCGGCTTCCAACCCTACAGTAGAGGTATCATTTTCAGCCTGCCGATCATGGCCGCCTTCAAGCTCCCAATAATCGATCTCACCTCCCCCGACAGCGCCCACGACATCGTCGCCGCCGCCCGCGAATATGGATTCTTCTTCGTCCGCAACACGTCCAGCTCCGCCGACGACCTGGCGCAGGGCGACATCGATCAGATTTTCAACATCGTAAGCGAGGGATAGGAGGCATGAATTATATCATAGACATCGCTAACGGGTTTCGGAATAGTCGAAGGGGTTTTTTCAGCTACCGGTAGAGCGAAAGGAGGAGGTGGCGATTAATTCGATTGAGTCGGGGAGTAATCGGGGTTGGTTGGCGATGGAGCGGGAGACGTTGGATCCTCAGCATCAGAAAGTACGCAATGGTGATGATATGCATGTTTACGTGACGTCTATTTTGCTGCGGTTTACAGCCTTCGAGTCAATTTCTCTGTTCTTTCCTTTTCTCGAAACGGTTTGAAGGCCGCGGATATAAACAGTGCAGTAAGACTGACCAGCTTACTAGCGAGGTGATTTGAAAGAAGCGTTCAATATCAGCGAGTATCGATCTGGACACGCCAATCAACCCCTGGGTCCGCTGTCCCCGCACGAAGCGTACGTGGGCGAGTTCGCCTCGAAATGCCACGGACTCTGCCGCCGGATTCTCGAACTCTTCGCCATCGGCCTCCAGGTATTTCTTTACTCCGCCCACCATCAGATCGAATCACTAACCCCCCACAGATCCCCACCTCCTCCGGCGGCCCCTCCTACTTCCTCCCCCCCCACGATCCCACCACCGGCCCCTCCGGCTCCATCCTCCGCCTCCTCTACTACCCTCCTCTCTCCGCTGCCCCCTCCAACCCCCCCGCCACCGACGACGTCCGCGCCGGCGCCCACTCCGACTATGGCAGCCTCACCCTCCTCTTCCAACGGCCCGGCGAATCTGGCCTGGAGATCCAGCTGAAAGACGGCAGCTGGATGCCCGTGCCGAGCGATCCGCTGGGCTTGACGAGCGGCAACCCCTCGTCCAACCTGTCAACTGTCATCAGCCCGTCGCAGCGGCCCGAGGGGAACGACGGCGAGGATTCCGCCGCGCACGGGAGCTCGCCCGGCTGCAACGCAATCCTGATCAACGTCGGCGACCTGCTGTCGTTCTGGACGAACGGGCTGCTGCGGAGCGCGGTGCACCGCGTCGTGCTGCCTGCGGAGGCGTCGCACGATCGGTACAGCATTGCGTATTTCTGTCATCCGGTGGACAGCGCGGAGTTGCGGGCCGTGCCAAGTGAGTTAGTGGGGGAGTATCGCGGGGATGAGAGGGATCGGCAGGGATTTGCGGAACGAGTGGGGGAGAAGGCGGTGACGGCGAAGGAGCATTTGGAGAGGCGGCTGAGGGAGACGTATGGGAGTGGGAAAGAGGAGGGGAAGTAGTCCGGAGAGATTAGAGGAGAAGAGGGCGTAGAGGGGTGAAACGATAGGAGACGATGGGGCGGATTATATAAACGGCATCACTACATGAAGAGGGGCACCGAATTAAGTAAGAAGTGGATTTTCTACCATGCGCCGCGGAATTTTCGAAATACAGAAGTAAGGTGAACCGGGAAAGTTGAGCCTCTTTGCAGAGGCGGCGGAATCCCAGTCCTTTATTGTCCCAGTGTTTGCTCCATCCGATAATGCGCCACGATGAAGTTGCAGTGATGGATCGAGGAAACAAGGATGTATGCAGGATAAAGGAATTTTCACGGGGAGTCAAGGTTGCGACAGAACAGGCAAATCGATCGATCCCATGAAACGAACCAAATGCACCTCCGATTCTTGTTACAGAGGCGGCGTGAGAGAGAGAAAGGAAAAAGCTTTCGATGAGAGCATACATAGACGGGGGTTCCGCACGGGGGATAGAAAAGAAAGCAGGCTTTGTTCGAGTTCCTTCCCAATTGATGCTCCCACTTTTAGGTTCGACAGTCGTAATGCGGTTTGACGTGCCGAAGATCCACGCGATCATGGATCATGCCCGATCGTTCCATATCATTCGATGGAAGAATGGAATAGGACATCTTGAATGCATATCATCATGCCTGCCCCCTTCCTGTATTGCGTTTCCCGCCCCTCTTCCCAGACTGCACGGTACTCCATCCATCATCTTCCGGTGCAGCGTCTGCCTCCGCGGTTGGCTCTGCCTTAGCCTCAGCTGCAGCCGCTGGTGCCGTCTGTGGCGGCCCCGTGGGCTTCCTCCACGAATCATTCCGCTTCGTAGCCGGGTATGGCCTACCGCCACGACCACCACGCGGCCTCTCATTGCCTTCACGGCCCTCACGAGGACGAGCTGCTGCAGCGGTTTCCCCGTTAGCAGGTGCCTCGGTCGCATCTTCTTTACGGTCTTTGCCATCTTCGCCCTTGTCCGTGCTCTCGCGCCTTAGGATCTCATAGCTCTTTCCGGCGGGACGGTCTTCGCCGTTCGCTTTCCCATCCTCGGCTGCAGGCTTGCCGTTCGCTTGCGGTGCCGTGGCAGCAGCTTGGGCCGGCTTCTCCTTCTCGGCGGCCGCTTTCTCGGCTTTCTCAACGGCCGCTTTCTCGGCGGCAGCTTTTGCGGCAACCTCCTTGGCCTTCTTATCTTCGCGGGCTTTCTCATCCGCCTCGCGTTTCTGTCGGATAGCAAGTTGTCGCTTCTCTTCGACTTCACGCTCGCGCGCTGCGGTATCGATGGGTCGGGCGGCACCGAAGGGGCTGGCTTTGGCGTCGGATGCAGCGGCAGCGGACGGACCGGAGTCCGTATCGGAGACGGTACGCTTCTGGAGGTTCAGCTTCGGGCGACCAACAGGTGCGGGAGGAGCAGCGGGGGAGGTGGGCGTGCTGGCTTCGGGAGTGGGGATGGGGGATTTGGCAGGTGCGTCAGGGCGCATTCGGTCGCGCCAAGCGGAGTCAAGTTCGGCCGCAGTCGGGGCTCGCTCCGCCTGCTCGCGGAATTCGCCTCGTGGAGGTCTTGAGCCGTCTTGGGAACGTCCCTCGCCCCATGCTGGAGCTGGAGACAGGTTGCGTTCACGGGGCGGTCCTTCGCGAGTACGTCCACCTTCTCGGGCGGGAGGACCGGCAGGGGACATGGGGCCTTTACGCTCCCAGTTGTTGAAGTCTCGGACTTTTCCATCATCAGGTCTGAAAGCACGTCTTCCACCAGCGTCACTTCCGGCATCCGATGCAGCATCGAATCCTCGGAAACCGCCTTTATCGGAGGTACGACGATTCTGATTGGGAAGATCAGGCAGAGGTCCCTTTCGTGACCAGTCACCGAAATCCCGGTTGCTCTCGAGACGATCCTTTTCTGTTCCAATTAGTATACTGATATTGTTTGTCAGTGGACATACATACGTGGTTCGGCAATGCTAATCTTGATGTTCCGGCCTTGGAATTGGGTTCCGTTGAGATCCAATGCTTTCTTCAGTCCATCCAGCGTTGCAAATTCAACATAGCCAAATCCTTTGGGCTTATGGTCGAGTTTATCCTCGACAATGCGGACGCTCGTGGGTTGGCATCCAGTGAAGAAACCGTCAATCTCGGTCTCAGTCGCATCATAGGACAGGTTTCCTAGATGTACGGTGAAGGGCGGTTTGGTGGGGAGAGGGAGTAGCTCGCGGGGGACAAAGGGACGGTCGGTGCCTGACATAAGCATTAGCTACATTCTCAACTTCACGGGTTGTGACATTAGAAATGAGGTTGCCTACCGAAACCACGATCGCCACCACCGAATCCGGGCTGAGAGCTGAAAGTCCTCCTTTCCGAGCTATATCCTCGACCATCGGCTTCTCAACAGTTAGTCCTGTTCGCAGCGATACATCGGCTGGTGGAAAATTATATTTACCGGCTAATACATGTTAGAATGACGAAACCTCAAGGTCTTGATATTCCGGACTTACAAGGCATTGGACTATCCTCCATTTCATCGGCCCATGATCCAAGGGCTGCAAAACATCGTTAGTTATACCCGGCGATAATTTAAGGCTCAATTCGTACTTTGGTCGCCCAGGAAGTCGCCGAGCGACATCTTCTGGGTTTTGGACTTTGGGGGCGCTATATCATGGCAGAACCGTCAGCGATATGTCTCCTAATATCATATGCGCTCTAAGAAGGGCACAACGAGGGTATTGAGAGATATGCGCCATCTTCAAGGCAGCATAGGGGCACGGCCACTCACCCATGATTGCGGCAAACAGACTGCGCGCTGCTCCTGGGCGTACGCGCGGAGTGTGGGAAGAAGAAGAGGCTCGTTGAACCTCGATGGTCGATAACGGGAAAGCGGTTTGATGAGCGAACAGAATTAAGCCGCAGCAGAATGATTATAGAAGGGCAGGCTGCGATGCCTGAAGACGAAATGCCGTGAAGTTGAAGTCTGGTGGATTGGGCGAAAAATTGGGCGGGCGATGCCAAGCCATTTCCGAGGGAAAGTGTGGACCGGTGCTCCTTCCTCGATTGGACGCCAGACTAGGTGTGGCTGTGCATTATGTGTATCATAGTAAAAAACACTGTCGTCGTGTCAGGAGAACTGATTACTGAGACGCTTGGGTATCAGATCTTATCTCCTTTATCTCACATTCTTCTTTGATTTGCCGCGCGAGGCGTTCATGGGGTTGGTCCATCGCTTTTTATACATGTGCGCCAGTGCAATACGAGAACATCGCGAGTGGTTGCAAGACACGTCCAGCCTAAATGGGTAGAGGGCATCGCACCGGTACATATAAAAATGGGCGACCATCACAATGAGGACGACAAGACTCTTCCTCAAGTCGGGATTAATCCTACAATTAAATCAATAGCGGCCTTTGGCGCTTGTGCAGGTGAGTTCTGTGTTTTTTTTACCTACAACCAAAACCAACCCCTATATATCCGCCCGCTCGTCTCATACAACTGGCTGTTCCATATCCTTTATCCTGTCTAATCTACTCCCTTTGTCTACAGGACTCTAGCTCATAATATTTCAGGTGTATTTGGGGGTCTGACTGCTGGAACCGTTGGCGTTCTACGAGGCATTCCACACCCAGGTTTACGAGTCATAGCAGGCGGATTGAGCTACTTCTTTTGGGGAAGCACTCTCTGGACTCTTCGGTCTGCGGGCCTTGCGGCATCTAGCACGCTGCGCGGGCCTGAAAACGTCACTTCTACTGATCGTGTACTCTGGACTACCGTTGCGGCTGGTATCTCCGGTGGCTGCTCCGGTCTGATGCAAGAGCGGTTCGGTAAGCATGAGAGGAAAACCGTGGGGAAAACACAGGCTAATTATATTCTCAGGAGGTCAAAAGGGTACTTTAAGGCCAACTATCTTCCTTTGGACCATCGCGGCTTTGGGTGGCCAAAGTATGGTCGAATTCCTAGACTCGAGGCATCAACAGCGATTACTTGATGAAGAACTGGATCCGCGTCTGAGACTGCCCATGCTGCATCGCCTCGCTGCATCCAAATGGAGTCCATTCAAACTGCTGTCCAACGAGGAATATGAACAGCATCTCGAAGAACGAATACTAGTGTTTGACACCGAAATTGCTCTTATCGACGATCAGATCGCGCAACTCAAGCTCGCTTTGTCAGCCGAGGAGTCATCAGAGAATCAAAGGTCATGAAACTATAAAGACCTATCCTCGAAGAAACAGCTTCCATCTTCATGGTCAGACTGTGCGAAACTCAGCTGCCCGATACAGATCTCCGGATTGCCAGAAGAAACATCTGTGCAACGTCTCGGTCCGAGCTTGAATCGCGATATTGGTCCAATATAGACCCTTGCCTTCCCTGCATGCGATCAATATTGGCCACCTAATAGAATAGAGGTTCCGGAATCTCGTTCGTGGAATTGAGCAATTGAGCAATTGCACTGCCATCAAGGAAGCTCCAGGATGTCACATGCGGTTACAAAACTTCCTGCCTGTCATCAAAGATCCAAGCATGCACGAATCGACAACACCTCTCAACTCGGAGATATTCCATCACGAAGGATGCCGACGGTGGGACCTCGTGTAAGATATTTCTAATTTTGGCCCCATGTAATATAGTGTGCATATTCGTGTTCATTTTCTATACTGCATCCGGCATGACTCGGACCTATTTTTCAGCGATTCTCCCCGTTCTGTACTTTCTGTACTCCCGTTATATTGAACCTACATACCCATCTCGTACCACTTTCCGTTCGTCGAACTGCGGGGATTTATATGTAACTTCATTATGTTCGTCTGATGCCCGCTCGTTCATTTGTGTCTGATCTCCGTTGTCCTTTGGTTCAGTGCCTTTTGGAATGATTTAATAGTAGCAGTGCTTAATGTGAAAGACTAGTTTGCTATCAGTCTGAACAAGTATATCCTGTCTTAATTGAATAAAGTGTCACGATGAGGAGAACGATATTCCAGTCATTGATTCTTAGTGGCAGTGTGCTGCTCAAACGTGTTCTAGGTCAGATTGCAAGATAACTGATTGCGATATAGATTCTGACATGTTCACAGCGGACTGTCCCCAAGGTCCCGGCTCAGAAGCTGCAGCATGTTGTTGGTCCTCCTGGCAAGAGTGGGATAGCTCATCTCGAAGCTATGAGACAGTCATCACCACCGTCCTGACGACCAAGCACGTCGGATCCATGATAGAGGACACCGATGTCCCCATTACAACACTCTGTGACGGCATCCCACGAGCGTTGGAGCCCTATACAACCCGCTACACCACTTCCCTCGTCACCACGGACCCATATACAACCTACATATCCTCCACCTACACCGAACCAAGTCCGACATGCAATATCAACGAAGATGACTGCAAACCCTATGCCGACGCCTGGGACTCTGCCTACTCATCCTGGTCACAGAACAAATCCCTCCCCTATCCCACCAACAAACCCCACTGCGTCCCCTACCTCCCATGCCCCACCGAATCCCAATGCAAGATCTACGCCGGCGGCGACGCCACCATTTACTACTGGCCCGTTACCGTAGCCGGCCCCGATGGCGGCCTCTGCGAATCCCCTCGCACCACCCTCAACCCCACCCCGACTGACCCCCCCGTCACCACCGTCCTCTCTGGCACTACCTTCACCTCCCCCTCCATCTACGTCTCCCTTGCGCACGTCTCGGCCGCCAAGCACCGCGGCCAATACAACCAGACGCCCTGCGGTCACGCGCACCACGATGTGGTCCTCACGCTGCACCCGTCCGACGTGTCGACGCAGCGGGGAAAGCCCGGCGGACGGACCAACACGTTCGCGATCGACCTGCGGGACCTGAACACGCCGGTGCCGTACTCCGCGTATCTGGGGCAGCCGAGCTGTCTGCACACGACGAATTGCCCGACGATCGGGATGGACGACTATCATCCGCAGATGGCGAAGCCGACGCAGTTGACGGGCGTGGATCCGGATTTTGAGAAGTGTCAGCCGAGGAGTGAGAGGTTGGGTGCGACGTTGGTGCCGTTGGGAATGGCGACGCCAGCGGTGGCAGAGGCGAGGGAGACGGGGTTTGTGAGGGTGGTGAAGAGGGCTGGGGATTGATTCTTGAGGGAAAAAGAGGATGTGGTCTTGGATGGAGGGGGAGGGGAACACAGCTGCCGGGGAAGGCGAAGGTATCTAATGTAATGACTCGTTGGCTAACAGCAATTCTGCACATAGTTACAGGCCACTAGATGGAAATCCAGCTGGTTTTATATCTAATGAAGTACTCGTCACCTACATCTACGGTACTTACGAACTGCAAGAATGGTCTCAACCCTGAATGTCAAATGATTACCACTGCCACATTTCAATTACCTGCCGCGGAACCTCCTGGTGCCATTCCTTTCCAGCTCTAGATTACGTACCACGTTAATAGCTCTCCGATGATCCCATCCCAGCATCCATGTAGCCTCGTAGTGGCGAGGTCAACCAGGATCGTCCTCTTCATGGTCTTCTCGAATCATCTATAAAGTGCCCGACATGTCTCCCCTCTTTTGGCTAGCCTAATGTAGACCTCAGTGCCTAGAGAGGATCTTCGGATGTCATTAAACGAGCCTTGGAACTAAGATTATAATGCGGAGATATCAGGCAGGCTAATATAATAGGTTACTCGTTGCGTGGAGCACATGGAACCTCGCAATGATCTCGCTCTCGACTTGAGCGCCCAGACGGATTTCAATGCTTAACAAGACAGCAGTCACATCTTTTCCGAACTATTACCAGCGTTGTTTGGATCGAGTGAGGAAGTATTAATGCCTAAATTTCGGTTCCGTCACTACATTAGGAGCCATATCTTCAATGGTACTATGATCAGTCATTTGTGTCACTAAATCAAACTGACCAGTCCTATTTCTCCTAAAGATCTCGTCTGCCTAAAGAATATTCTACTCGCTGTATACGTTATTGTTCCATGACGTATTCTTATCCCTTTCACGTCGGCTTCTAAAGCGTAATATAACTCGGGACCAGTCAGATAGGGCATACCCTCACCAAGCCTCGCCTCGCAACCTCCAAGCCCAATTAAGCTCCAACGATTTAATTTACAATGCTTAACTTTTCTTATTCTCCGATTTCCGTACTATCCGGAATTTCGGATCCTGTCGCTCCATTTCAATGTGCCGTCCTCCTTCAGCACTGATTGGCCGGACGCCATGCTATATGACAAGCATATTAATTAACCATAAACAACTCCCCGCAAATAGATGTCGAGTAGGGACGAAACAACAAAAGCAATCTGTGGAGAGGTAATATCGACGAAATGAACTGGTTAATCTATGGCTAAGAAATGCGTGGTCACGCTTATCACCGACAAGACTCGCGTTCGTATCTGTGCAGATTGTCTTGGGATGCTTAGCATTGCTTGGTTGCGTTCCCAAGGTGTTTCGTCTCTATACGCACGGACGCAGCGCCGATCTAACATGCTTTCCATGTGCTGAGTGCCGAATGATTAACTTGTAGTTAGGAACAAGGGGTGAGTGCGAGGTAAAGGGAGGAGATAGGATGGCCCCCTTCGCTAAATGGAGTGGCAGATGATCGAATAAATAAGTAGGCTCATATAAGTCGAGGGTGGGGATGAGGGATCTAATGTAACCTATCTACTCTCCGCCGAGTATCTTCTATTCGTAAGGAGGTCAGCGGATATATATCTGCTTCATACCACCCTCTCTTGCATCCCCTTCTTTCTCCTTCTCTTCTCCAACGCAGTTTATCGTTCATCCCACACCTGATTGTTATCCGTCACTCTTTTCATCCTTCATCATGCGTTCCTTCTCTCTCCTTCTCACCACCACCCGGCTGGTCGCCGCAGCGCCCCAACTTTTTGGTGGCAGCGGTCTTTCTGGCGGTCTTAGTAGCCTTTTCGGTGGTCTGGGTGGCTCGAGCGGCGGCCTCGGTAGCCTAGGCGGCTCGAGCGGTGGACTCGGGGGTCTCGGCGGCTCGAGCAGCAGCAGCAGCGGCGGCGGCGGCGGCGGCGATGATATGGCTGGCATGGACATGGGCTCCTCCGGCTCCTCCGGCGGGATGGATGGCATGGACATGGGCGGCTCCGGCTCCTCCGGCGCGGCCCCCACCACCGACGGACCGTTGCCTGAAGGCGCGTTCATCGAGAAGTCGCTAGAGACGACCAAGGTCCCCGGCACGCAGATCGTGGAGATGAAGTACGGGCCGTACTCGATCGGGCCGATGGGGATGTTGGAGAATCGGATCGATGCGAACGTGAAGGTGCCGTGCACGAACTGCTTCATCACGGGGATCCAGGCGGATTTGTACGATGATTCGGGAAAGAGCGTGAATATCGATCAGGGGGCGTGGTTGCATCATATGGTGCTGAGTTTGATGGGGCTAGGGAATAAGGATTTGGTGTGTCCGGTTATGATCGGGACACAGAGGATCTTCGCTAGTGGGAATGAGAGGACGCCGGTTAGGATCAATGGTGAGTGGGAGTGTGGTCGGAATGAGTGTGCAAAGAAGCTGACTTGGGAATAGGCAAGTACAAGTATGGTATCAAGGTCGGTGCTGGCGATAGTATGATGCTGCTGTACGATCTTGTCAACGACTTGGACAAGAAACGGAACTACTATATCGTCATGGTACGTACCTAGAGACTTCATTCTTCCTCGACCCTCGAACGCTAACCGTTGGGATAGAAATACGAAACCACCACCGACCGTGAATATAAGGCGGTCTCGATGGCATGGCTCGACGTCACGGGCAATTGCGGCACCTCCTCCGTAAAGCCCCGCAATGGCCAGTACGACCTCCAGAACTCCGGATGGACATCCAGCGTCAGCGGTCGCCTTCTCAGCGCCACTGGCCACGTCCACGACGGAGGCAAGGTGGTGAAGCTGTATAAGAACGGCGAGGTCATTTGTACCAGCGATCAGATCTACGGCCGGAGGGTTGGGTACACTGAGGGACAAGGTATGTTCCCTCAAGCCTTACATGCGATTTCCGGCAGCCTTCGGCAACAGTACAACTGACTGACTTTGATAAAGATGCCATGAACCCAGGACTCACGCATATCAGCGACACTACCTCGTGTATCGATTTTGGCGATGTTAGATCGGGAGACAAATTGAAGATCGTGGCGACGTATGACACCGAAGCGCATGCGTTGAACAAGATGATGGATGGCGAGGAGCAGGAGATCATGGGTATTTCTCAGGTGTATATTGGTTCCTAGATTAGTGACGCTGGGGAAGGAATGCAGATTTTAGAAATTGGTGTAGATCATGAGCCCATGCATATATTAATCCGTTGTGACTAAGACGAGAGGTACTGGAGCTGTGATATACCGCAAGTGAACAAAGCACCAATTCGCCAACTATGCGTCGCGATAAAATGAGCCTATTTACGACTCTGACTTTAATGTGAACAGATACCGGTACGGGTCCAAAAGAAAAGTCTAACGGAACAGAGCTCTGGAGACGAGCCAAATGGAACCAGAAATCAGATATCGTCAGGGGTTTATCTCATCGACCGCAGGGGAACCCCGAAATCTGATCGATCATGATGCTTAGACTTGCGAAGCCAGTCAGCATCCCAAGCCTAGATCTTGACTTCGCGAGCTGATAAAATCAAGGCTCGATGGATAAATTCCTAGGTAGACTGGGCACCCGAGTTCCCATAGAGTAATTAGTGACATCCTAAATACCAAAAAATGAAGAATTGGAACTTGGTAGACGATAACAATATTCGCATTCCATCGGAGGTGGCCGACTTTCCACCTTTAAGGCTGGAGATACCTGGCAATGACTGGTAAGCATATCCGCTCGGTCCCTGAAAAATGTGAAAATTTGCGATGGATCCCAGTTAGAACCACCATTTACAGATTGGCTCCATGGAAACGCTTTGTTGATGTTCGAAATTTTTCTAGCGCTGAAGATGAGCATCGAGAATGATCTTAGCACTTAGCAGCAGTCAAATTGGCGCGATGGATCAAAGGTGCCGGCATGGTGGATCCAATGTTCCAATTGCTCCATCACCAATACACTGTCAGCTTCAAAGCAACCGTTGAAGTTGCATTTGAAAGCAATGATTTTACGACGGGTGGTCTGGGAGCCGCATCATCCTGTAGGTTGTACCGGAGAAACCACATCCAGACGCCGAGCCGAGCCCTTCGCCTGTTGAGGCAGCATTACCTAATAGCAAGGAATGCGACTGGATGCGTTGAGGGGTTTCTTCGTCTATCAGATGCACCTCAGCCATTTTCGCCCTGTTGAACTGCCTGCTTCACCAGTGGCAGGCAATGGACCCGAGCATCTACAACATATTTTCGGGGCATGGGCGGCAAGGCGGCATCGGGGATGGAAAAGTGATTCATCACAATGGGAATTTCAATAACAATACCATTCAGACCCTGGGTGACGGAGGGGTGGCCGCGGAGAAGATAGACAAGGTCGTTTCAATGGGGTAATGATGTACCACACCGGACAGGTAGAGTTTTATTTGACGTAGCGAGCGAGAGCCAGCCGCCAGGGCTATAGGAGAGGAGGTGACGAACAGTCAACAAGGCACACCGAATTCAACAGTCCAAGAATATTAATAAGAAACAAGCCACTTGGTGACCCTGCCTGTGGCATTTATTTTGGCAAAGATCAAGTAGAGTCTCCAGGAGACCCAGAACGCCAGAGCACCTTTCAAGAATAATCCCGCTAAGTGCCCGTAGCCAAGGCTAGCAAGGGCGCTTGGGAAAATCTGGGGATCGTGAGATGGCTGGGCTCTTGTGTCTTGACTCCTTGACATTGCATGATCGCGCCATGAAATTTTGCAAATTCCAACCCTTGCCGATGCTCGAGACCGCTCTCTCTGATGGCCTGATGCCCGTGATGGGAAGGTTGGAATTGCATGCAGTGGTGGTATCGGGTAACACGGCGGCTCCCAAGGATCAGTCGCTGGCTCAGCTGTGACTCAAACGGCTCTCCATCAGTCTTGGGGTCTGTTGGTGCCTGGTGGTGAAGGACCGTAGCAAGGAAAGGAATTGCTGGCATTTAATATTCATGAAATTGCGACATTCATCGCGTGAAATTGTCAAATGCAAAAACAGAAATGCCGCACAAGGCGAAATGGGTGGAGGATCGGCCAGGTGATGACGAAGTAGACGGCACATTTGCTGATGGAGCAAGGAGGTTCAGCCATTAAGGCTAGGATTGTCGCACGATATAAATTAAGTCGGTAACTTGTAACATTCCCTGCGGTTTAACTGGTTCAATCTCCGTATTCACAGTGCACTAACATCCATCGGGATATAAATTTCCCGGCTAACAAAAGCTCAGTAATGACCAAGCGGGGCTAGAGGGCCCATGACCATAAAGAACTTCTCCCTGGATCCAGTCCGCGTTCCATTCACCAACTCCACATCCTTCGTCGTACGTAAACCATGATCCAAAGATGCCCTGAGGGACCGAAAATGTGAACGACCAACAACTCAATCACGTCCGGATCGCCTCGTGGCTCCCTGAAGACCAAATGAGCAGGTGAGGCTAGTTCCCGTTGGTCTTCCCGGGTCGACTCTGGACTCATCCGCAATTCCGTTTAAATGTGAGGGGTGCCCGTTCTTTTTGTATACACATCCTCAAGTACCTCGATCTTAGTGAGTCGCATCTCCGCCGTTTGTACACCATCGCGCCTCTCTCAATTTTACATTGCCATTGCGATAGTCGCGTATCCCTACCTGTCGCCACTTTCTCTTCTTTAATACAGACCGACTCGGGGCTGGAAAGTTCAGTCACGCTTTTCTCAAGTCAATTTATTTATTATTGGCACCATCACTCCACCACCCTTCTTGAGTGTGAACAAGCACGTCATCAGCGCGGCGCATTCGCATCTCATTTTCAACTCATATAACCCTTTCGAGCACTCGATTACTCTTCCATATTGAATATATACGGGTCATATCCAAATCATCACCAAGATGCCGGGGCGGTTGTTGTCGTTCGTGGGTAGACGGCTAAGCAGTTCATCTGCTCCCAGATACTCGGTGGACCCCTTCAAACGATCAACCACATCCCTCTCCTCAACCGATTCCGATACGGCGGGCGGCATGGACGTGGTCAAGAAAACCGGGTTGAGCCTCGCCCGAAAGGCCAAACATCATCACCAACACCCGCATCAACAGGAAGACCCCAAGCACTCATCGCTAGCATTAAAGCTCTTCGTCGAATCACCGCCGTTGGTGTCGTATGGCGCACCTGAGCAATCAACCGGTGCACTTTTCAGCGGCCAAATTGAATTGACCGTCTACGATGAGCTGGTGGAGATTGAGAGCTTCGACGTGACAGTCGAAAGTGTCACAGAGTTCAAAAAACCAGTCTCGTCACACTGCAAAGAATGTGCGACCAAAGTGGAGGAACTCACTAAGTTCAGTCTAATACCGGAGGGTCATTCAAGCCTCAAGCTTGCCAGAGGGAAACACTCTTTCCCCGCTTCCTACCTCTTCGCCGGCTACCTCCCGACCACCTGTCGAACATCTCTCTGCAGTATTATCTATCGCCTCACCGCCATCGCCGTTCCAAAACCCTCCCTCGTCCCCCCTCCATCCAAAGCCCGCTCTCCAACCAGCTCACCCACCCTTCAGCCATCCCTCCGACCCGTCCCAGCAACGCTCAGCCACGAACTTCACCTCTCCCGCGCCATCCTCCCCACCGCCACGAACTCCCACCTCTCCGTCCGCGTCTTCCCCCCCACCGCCCTCACCGCCCGCATCACCCACCCCACCATCATCTACCCGATCGGCTCTATCCCCATCTCCCTCACCCTCACGAAGATCAGCACTCTCACCAACCCCCTCCGCGCCCCCGCCTCATCCCTCGTCCCCACCGTCCCCATCCACCTCCGCTGGCGCCTCCGCAAATTCTTCTGGCGCCTCGAGCAAACCGTCCGTAGCACCTCCCCCCCCTGCCCCAAGCCCGAGCACCTCGCCAAAGTCGGGGGCCCTGCCAACGGCCTTCAACACGACACCGTCACCATCCTCAGCAAAGGTGAGGTCTCCACCGGCTGGAAGTCCGACTTTACCCCGGACACCGGCACCATCGACTGGGAAGGCGAGTTCCCTCTCTCCCCCGCCCACCTCCCGCGTGACCCCCACCCCCACAAAGACACCATAACCTGCACCAACGCCAGCCCCGCCGGCCTGCAGATCACCCACCGCCTCATCCTCGAGATGATCGTCGCCGAGGAATGGGCGACGGCCAAACGCCCCAACCACCCGACGCCCACCGGCGCGGCGCGTATCCTGCGCACGAGCGTCGACGTCAAGGTGACGGAGCGCGCGGGGCTGGGCGTCTCGTGGGACGAGGAGGCGCCGCCGATCTATCAGGACGTGCCGGCGTCGCCGCCGGGGTACGAGGCATGCGAGGAGGTGGATGTGGAGGGGTTGCGGCGGTATGGGGTGGGGGTGGATGGGACGGATGAGAGGAGGGGGAGTAATGAGAGTTTGGTGGGGTGGCGGTTGAGTGGGGAGGTGGAGCGGCGGGGGAGTGGAGGGGCGGTGGCGGAGAGTAGTGCGAGTGGGGCGGTGAGGGAGAGGAGGCGGGGAGTGGTGGAGGTGGTGAGGATGTTGGAGGAGGTGGATGGGGAGGTGTGGGGGAGGAGGGAGGAGGTGGAAGCAGAGGAGTCGCAGGAGGTGAGCGCGGGTGAAGTTCATTAGGATTTGATCGGATTTCGGTCTGGGAAGAGGAGGATTTGGCTTTTTCGGCATTCAAGCGATGGAATTCTGTCATGCATGATGCATAATCGACCACGATTTTCTGTTATTACCTGCGCGGCGTCCTGGGATGAGCGATGTCGTCCCAAATTTAGGTGCACTTTCGGATGGGAAAAAGTGCTGGGGTTTCATTCACGGGGATTTACTAGGATTCCGCACGGAATGCAAAGGAGTTCATATCATTTGGGTTGGTCCCGGATCATGTAATACATAGGCCCGCCATGTGGCAGGGCACGAGTGAGCATTCGAGACCCTCACTCCTCCAATATATTCAACTTATTACTATATCTATCCTCTATCTGCCGTCTGTACAGTGACGTGAATCGCGCTTCGGTAGCCTCGAGGACTGCATCGTACTGTACCAATGCCGTGAATGCTTTTCTAACCCGGCTGGTGCCATGTTCCCAAGTCATCCAAGGGTTCATTGGTTGCAGTCGCAAATCGACCTATATTGCCTCTCTAAATCAGTCTTCAACCACACCCAAGATCACATCTCTGGCACCACCAAGCCCACCAGAACCGTCATATTTTGGGCCTCTGGTCTCCTTCCTTCAAATCTTCTGCTTCCCCCTCGCCGCCTTTCGCCTCTGCTTCATCATGTGCGTATACATGACATAGCTCCCGGGCACATAGATCGCCAGAATTGCATACAGCGCCGCGGGGAGGGCCGGATGCAGGTTCCCCGCATCGGCGATGGCGGAGTAGATGCACGCGCACTCGGAGACGATGCCGAGCGGGTAGAGGATGAAGAACGTGTTGTACCTACAGAGTAAAGTCGTCGTGAGTTCACGTTCGAATTCTATATGGAAAAACTCCGATCCCATCCATTTCCTCATGCAGGATTTTGGAAGGGATAGGAAAGATGAAGCTGGGTAAGACGCACCGTAACCCTTGGATAAACCCAGGCACACCCCGCCCGGAGAGCTGGAACACGAAGTACGCGTACCGCACCACTTCGGTGATGCTCCACGCGAGCAGCATGGTCACATAGAAGGGGTTCGTGGAGGTCGCGCTGGGGATCCAATAGGCGATCGGCCAGACGAGGAGGATGCGGGAACCGATTTGTATCAGCGTGGTGAGGAGGGCGGAGCGGACGAAGCCTGGGGTTGGTTAGCTGCGGTAAGGTTGCTATAGAGGAAAAATTGTAGTCGATATAGCTCGGCGTTATATACACATTAAGTGACTTGTAGGGCATGGGGGATTGAAGTGCAATAATACAGAGGTTATGGCGCGTTGTTGCCAATGAGGAAAGAACCAAAAATAAAAATTGACTGTACAAGGAAATTTCTCTTGGAAGCATCGACTCGAGACTTGATTTTGACATATTCCTTAGGACCAATTCAAACATTGCCGAAGTAGAAATAAAATCCCAATTCCAATACATACCGAATAGCACGTGTCCAATCTCCAACATCATCGCGCTCTGCGTCCACCGCACAAACTCCTCATTCACCTCGTACACATGCCGCCAACCTGCGACCTGCGTAATCAGCACCACGCGCACCAGCACGGCGAACCATGCGAGCAGGGAGAGGAAGTTGTAGAGCTGGAGATACGCGGTTTTGTAGGTGGTCGCCATGGTGGGTGAGGGTGGAAGGGTCCCCGGTAGTCGAAGGGGGAAGGGAAGGGAGGTTTATTAGTGGAATTGGTTGGATGGAATGATGGTCCGTTTGGGCATGGCACACGGAGGAATTATCTTTTATGTGGTGGGCAATTGAACAAATGCAGACGATTGGAAAGTTGGCGTCGTGAAGAGCTTGTTTGGGAGACAGGGATTCCGGTTTAGGACGATCGACAAGAAGTTCATCGGACGGGGTTGGGCTGAAAGGGAGCGTCTTGGCGATATGGTAGACGTCAATCATTATTTCTTAATCCATTCAATAATGTCTCAACTTATTATCTATTTATCTCAACCTATTATTTTAATCTCGTTCTTTGCAGACATTTAGTGAGTATAATGACTGAACACTTCTATCTCGATATCTCGCAGGTCATGGATTCTCCACAACTAGTACCATACACAATCAGAGTACAAATCTTTGAAATGCCACGCTAGAGAGGCCTGCCTACAAAATTGGCTGATGTACACCCAGCCGTGGTTACTACCACACATAGAGTCAACAGTTAATGCTGTAAGCGCCCTTTCACTCTTCATTACATCCATGTACTCAGCTCCTCCAAGCCTTGAAGCAAAATCATACCACCAATTATCCGTCGGACAGAATCTCATCGCCGTTGTAAACTCCCAATACGTAGGATACCAGCCGGCGGACTCCCAGTCGATGAACCCCGAAACATGGTCTTTGTAGACCATTATATTGGGCTACTTTAGATAACCATGCGTGAAGACGATGTCGTGGTGCTTGGACTCCATCTTTTTCGCAATAGCAAGGCTCTCGTCCTTCAATTCTCGATTCGGGAATCCATGAAATCCAGGACCAGTCGAGGGCTTGAGGAGGCAGTTGTTGAATTCGGATTCATCTTCGCATGGCCCGATCAAATGACTGGGAGCACGCACACTTCTGATGGGTCCCCAAACAATAGAGCAGATGCGTTCATCCTTCCAAGGACTGGGCCAATCCCGCATAACATGTAGCATGGTCTGCAGCTCTGTGAATATGCTTTCTCGCTCTTCATCACTGAGGTCCTTGTAAGCCTCTCCAAACTCCTTTCCCGGTAAACGAGTCATGAGAATAGATACCGGTGCGAGTGGACAGTCGGGATGACCTCCGTAGGAAATAACCTTTGGCATTGGAAAGCTAGCGGAACGAGCAACTCTCATCGCCGTAACCTCCTCAAGTCGAGTGCTATCGAACCATTTGAGTACCAACCTGAATGGGAGCCGGACAATTTGATTATCGAATTTGATCCCAGTCTAAGGGCAATAATAACGATAGGAGAAGGGAACAAGGTAAGAATGGACAATACCCAAGAGTCGGCAGACAATTCAATGAGCAAGCCGTCCTGGCTGCGGACAACTCGAACTCAGCAGGACCGCTCCGAGAAGGTGATGAGATCCAGTGAAGTTTGGGAGGAATATCCTTGGGATTAGGTAGTGTAGCCACCCCACATGGGATACAACAGGAATTCAAACATCGCTCGAGGAACAGTAGGCCAAAAATCGGTAACGACGAGAGATGAAAGATTGCAACAAGATAGGAGCGGTAAAACGCCGAATATAAAACATATTCGTGAGTCGTAAATCGAGACACCTCGGAAGTTTCGAGGATTAACTACTGGTAGCCTTATTTTTGAAAGGGTTCATTTTCTAAAATATGTCTGCCTATGATAGGGATCTGGCGCACGCTGGGAGTGCTTCGAGCAGAAAGTTCGATCATGAGTTGGGGATCACTGCATTGTGGCTCAATTGTACTGAGAAGTGGGTGGCTATTGTCCGCGGCGCAATTGCTGCGTGGTTAGACAGAATGGCAATATTTAAACGTATGTTGTGTCCTACCTTTAGGGTATAGTAGAGTAATTTCATGTTATATGGTAGTTTATTTGTACAATGCTCAGTTAACTCGAGACATTGAGCTTGGTCCCCTGATAAATCGGCCATTCCTATGCTCAAGTTCCATGAATATCTTAGAAATACACTGCGCAGAAGACACCGAGCAATGAACCTCTCTCATGTATTGGGGATCGGCAATATCACCCGAGATCGAACAAGCGAGTCAAGTCTCATCGTCTATGCTCATGGCCGCAGTCGTGTCCCGCAGCTGGGGGACCAGCTCCTGGGCGACCACTTGGAGAACCACTTGGAGAACCGCCAGGGGAGCCACTTGCGGAGCCACCTTCTGTGCCTGGGAGACCACTTGGTGAGCCACTCGGGACGGCTCCTGGGACGCCAGGGGGGAAAACCCCTGGGACTCCGGTTGGAACGCCACCTGGGAAACCACCTGGGAAACCACCAGTTGGGAAACCACCCGGGAAACCGCCTGGGAAACCACCAGTTGGGAAACCCCCTGGGAAGCCACCGGGGGGACCTCCTAGGCCTCCTGGGAAACCGGCATTTTCGTTCAGCTTGCATCCGTCATCTCCACACTCTGCCGCGGCCATCACGTTTTCCCTGGAGTAGGTAGTATCAACGCCCACGGTAATCCACGAGAAGATACCATCAGCCGCGGTATCTCCGAGGTACACGTACTCCATGACTGGGTCATGTTGCCCGCTGGCAGTCTGCGCCATGATTCCATCTTGTTCATTTGTGGTGAGGCGCGCAGTGTTGGTGTTGTACGGCGCATTGGCCTCGACCTCGCCGATGAGGGACTGGTCGAAGAAGAGCTGGCCGACGTGGGAGACGTTGCCTTGGGTGATGCGGTTGTTGGCGAGCTTCTCGTAGTTGAGGTGGGTCATCACTTTCGGTCAGTTAGTATTTTCGCCTCTGCGGGAAGAAAGGAGGGAGAAAAACTAACCGTGGATATGGACGGCGCGGCCCGTGTAGTGGCCTGGGAACTTCGACTCGAACGTGACAACACCGTCGTCGCTTGTGATTTGGATTCCACGCAAGGCAGTCTTGTTGATGAGGGTCGTGTCAGCCTCGTCGCCATTCCCCATGAACCCGCCGGCTGCGACGCCGCCGTACACTCCTGTGGCGTTACAGTGCCAGAAGTCAATGGCGGCGTCGGGAATGGGTTCACAGGTATTGATATCAATGAACTGAATGTCGGTAATGAGGTCGACACCCTCTTCCTGTTCGACCAGGTTAGACCGGATAACCTCACCCGAGACGTCTGTTGGTTGTCAGTGTCTGATTCTGAGCCGAAGTGTCTATTAAACTTACAGTATGGACCTTCTGTCGTCTCAGGTGCCAGCACCGTCTCATTGTTGCTGCCGAAGATCGCCTCCACAGACGCTTCCGGCGTGATATTAGTGCCGTTGTAGCGATGGTTGGTGGACAGCACTTGGCTAAGGTCGCGGGCATGGAGCATGTCCCCTATTTTCCGCGTCAGTCATTTTCGTCCATGCTTTTGCCAACAACCTGCACCGCTCACTCCTTGAAAGGCGACGCTTCAGGCGGTGTTCATTAATGAGGGCATTTCTCCTCGCCGCCAATTTCCCACTAACTCCCCGCGCCTTGAGCTGCTCGGAACAGGCGTCGACCGCTCGCGGTCCGATTGACGCCATGAACTCATTGCGCACGCGCAGCTCTTTGGCGACATCGCCATGAGCGTGAGCTGCCTCGAACAAGATGGCTGCTTGCAGCACAGCTGCAAGCGGCAGGAACTTGACCATATCGTCTAAATTCTCGTGGTGAAGGATTGGTAGGGAGTCCCTAAAAAACGAGCCAATAAGTTGACGAAGAGAATCGAATGCGACAAGTCTCTTGATGACTTCACATTTCAATCATCCATACACGGAGGGTAGTGTCATTAAAATACCCAAGCATATATTAGAGTCTGAACGACCCCATCGGCCCATCCTAGGATGAGGCATGCAAAGAGTTGGGTATCACCCCATCACCGACAAGGTCGATCAGATTAGCAGCCAATACAGTGGCAGCTTGCGTAATCTGGAGCCATGGACGGAGCCATTTCCCCTGATGAGGAGGAAGATCGTGATGTTCGCATCAGGATCTACGTTTCGACCCCTTGGCTGCTAACGAATCAACGACCGACAGACGTTTGGATCTTGGGACTAGCCGTTGCGCAAGAGTGCTCGCAATTTAGGGAATCAAAACGCGTCAGCCCTCTTGATGACAAGAACGGCGTGGCCGGCGAAACAATATCGACTGGGTGCGGCAGAGATATGACGGCAATCTATGTCAAGCTGGTCTGGCGTTTCATGATATCAGAATCGGCCCGGAACCAGTGTGCAATTGTAGGGATTTAACTTAATATCAATGGGTTAGCGGACAGCGGCTCTAAAGTCAATAAGCTTCTCTCGGCATTTATACTTTATATTGACCTTTCAACGAACACGTGAAGCCTCTCTCGACTGAAAGTGATCGTCATGTTTCAAGTTCGAAGTTTCAACGGCCTCCCAATCTCGCACAATAGGAACAGCTGCGGGGTTAGAGATCTTCGCAAAGCTGAAAAGTATTTAACACCTGATACATTCTAGAAAGAAGCTAGGTTCGATGACTTCGATTTTCCTATCTGCGGCTAACCAAAGCTAACGAAGAGGAGAAAACAAGGGAGAATTATTACAGACCTCAGATGCTGTTGGCGATGCCAATCGCTGATAATTACTGCAGCAGCGGCCAATCACGATCAATCAATTTGATCATACTTTAAGGTCCCTCCGGGGGAGACGAAATTGAGTTACGTTTCTTGGCATTCCCCTATGCACAGTTCCCACGATCTTAACCAGAACGCGGCGGAGAATTCACCAAAACAGACCTCTAGTAGTTGCTTAGTTAGGAAAAGAGTATACTTTTTGGTATTATGCTGTTTTTGAGCGAATTGGGCCTGCCTGTGATGGTGGTGATGGTTGGGGGAATGCCAAGAGACGTAACTCAATTTCGCCCCCCCCCGGAGGGTCAAGTGCCTGAGGCCAATATACTATGGATATGGGTGCCTTACCTCACCACCTGCACTTGACTCAGACTTGCTCGCTCACTCACTGAGGATACGACAGATACCACCATCAATCAGATATGCGTATCAGGGTGTGCAGTTATGCCTAACGTCTTAGAGTCGAACCGCTTACGAAGTTAAATCAAATAATAAATTCATAACACAAAGCCAAGCGCCCAGCGATGACTATGCGATGGGAAGTACCAAGGCACCAGCCCCAGGTGGCTACTCCCTGGTTCATCGATATCACATTCATTTGTTCCCATATCCGGGGTCGAGAGGTACGGAGTGAGCACTCCGTCGTTAAACATTCAATATAAATTGCTGGAAATAGTAGACCTCATTGGCATGGCTATAGCCCGGAAATGATGCGTCGTCTACCTAGGTAGCCTAGGAGACTTAAAAAGTGTGTCTATTAGACGCCTAGTCCCGCAAGTATGGATTGTCTTGGAGTAGGTCTAATCTCTTCTCCGTGGCCAAGGAGACAAGTCATTCATTATGATCCTTACTACTGTACTCGCTTGTCTCTTGACATTGAGTCCTGGCCTGGCTGCTCCTTTGGCTGATCCGCAGACTCACGACGACGGTGAAGGAGGTCACCCACCAGATGGCGTTCACCCACCGGAACCCAAAAAATGTACCGATATAGAGAAAAGAATACCATGGTAAATTTCTCGTAAGATTTAACATGATGGTCTCGACACAGCCTGACAACATCACAGGCAAGCGTTGTCCAAGGAAGAGAAGAAGGCGTATATCAATGCAGAGCTCTGCCTGATGGGCAAACCCTCCCAACTCGATCTCCCGGGAGCCGTGACCCGGTTCGACGACCTGGTCAAGCCGCATCAGATTCTCGCCGCCACGATGCACGGCACCGGGTACTTCTTGCCTTTCCATCGCATGCTCATGCACACCCACGAGCACTTGCTGCGGACCGAGTGCGGTTACGAGGGTTATCAGCCGTACTGGGCGGAGGAATTGGACATCGGCAAGATCCAAGACTCGGACGTGTTTGATCCCGAAACGGGCTTCGGGGGTGGCGTTGTGGATCAGTTGGTCTGCGTCCCGGATGGTCCGTTCCAGAACTACACATTGCACACCGGTCCGGGCTTTCAGAACACAGAGTACTGCATCCAGCGCCGTTTCTCCAATGGTGCAACCCTGGGGGCTCGCCAGGAGTACATTGACCACTGCTACCAATGGGACAAGTTTGAACAGGCATGGCAGTGCATAGAAGATGGCGGTCCACATAACGGCTTCCATGGCGGGGTGGGTGGCGTTATGCTTGTATGTGTTATGTCCTAACCCATCGGTCGAGACTGATACTAAGACTGAATTCTCTACAGAACCCCATTTCATCTCCCGGAGGTATGGCGTACGCACCGTCCATTTTACCGCGCTGACACTCCATAAGATCCGGTTTTCTATCTGCACCACACCTGGCTAGATAAGGTTTGGTGGGATTGGTTCGTGCATCCCGATCACTCATTCACATATATCGCTAAGCTATGTTCAGGCAGAAACAAAAGCCAGAGCGCTTGTCCGACATTTCGGGCCGTAAAACCTCTAGAAACCCCCTTTTCGGCGCGGGAAGCAATGGAACTGCGCCGCCATTTCCAGGTACGCCCGGATTTCTTTGCCATCCGGACGGCTACTCTAGTAGGAGAAGGAAAACTGCTAACAGCTGCTCATCTCATAGGATTCCCCGGTGGACTCCCTGATAGATTTCCTAGCTTTCCAGGCAACTTCAGCTTTCCGGGCAACTTCACCTTCCCGGGGGGGTTCCCGGGAGGACCTGGAGGCAACCTCAGTGGTCCACCTACATGGAAGCCAACTGATGAGGTGGTAACTGATCCTGTCAAGCTTGGTGACATATTAACCGTGTTCGACCTTATCCCCAATACCACTATATCCAACTTGATGGATATCCAGGGCGGGTAAGTTCAGCATGTTGTGTTGGTTTCGTGGCCTGGGCTGACACCGTTAGATACTTTTGTTATGAGTACATTGACTATGCGGATGCTGTCAAGCGTTAAGCACTGGTCGTGGTTCGGTAAATCGTTCTACGGTCACTGGTTTGACACTTGCTTGTGGGAAAATGGCTGCCAAAATCATAGTGTAGATCTTGATATTGAATGGAGGATGTGGGGGTTTATAGCTGAATTGATCTATCATATGCTGTTTAAAAAATTGAAATGGCTGCTTTCCAGACCCAAACGTTGCTAAGACATTGCAAAACAGGGACATCAGTCGGGCCAGTGACACCTGTCCGGTAGTTTGCTAGCGAGAGTATCTCCAACCATATTCATAACGCTCAAATACCCGTATATACCGAAATTAGAGAGGTTCCCTTCAAGTACGAAAAGTCATCGATACTCGTGATTTTGATCCTCATGTCATGTAACATCATCATCAAGCTGATCGAAAACCCTTCGAGGTGTCTGATAACACCTCAAGCCCGGTCGCTGGCGCACTCATTGAAAGGAAAATTCCACCTGGCCGGGAAAGTCCTCCCAGAACATCAGCGTGGCATCCGTCGCCACCGTGTCAAAGTCAACCATTTCAAGATCGTAATTCGAGAAATCGAACAAATTCACATCTCCCGGCCACGTTTCCGCGATCGGTGCGGAGGGGCCTACCTGATATGCGTCCGGTGGAACGGTGGGAATGATGTCTGGTGGCTGCAGCATTTGCTGTGCAGGAGGCTGTAGAATTGGCATTGCGGGCACAGTAGACCCATGCCGTATTACGGAGTCGAGGGCGAGCGGTTGGGTTGGTGGAGAAACGGAGCGTTTGGCAATAGCGGGTGAAGAGGTGCTTTGCGGTTGTGGAGGGGAGACTTGGTATCCAGTTGGTGATGGCATCTGGCATATGTGAGCACGGTCATTCGGACAAGAAAGGGACACGGAACAACGAGAGAAATAGTGGACGGTACTTACAGCGCTGGCTTGAATTTCGGATAATGGAGATGGTTCGTCTGCACTACTACTCGCCTGCGGACTGAGGGCTTGTTGAACGGCACCGTAATCCACGAGCGCTTCGCCAAGGGCGGACCGCTCGTCGGGAGAGACTCCCTCTTTTGGGTTCTGAACCTTGTGATAGAACGCTTGCATGCGCCTGATGGTCTCGAATTGCGCATCGGCCATCGGCCAATGGCCTTTCATCTCTCTCAGAAATGAACATCCTCGGTTGACGCGCTCCTTCGCCCGGATGGTGACCGCCGGGTCGTCTTCTGAATCAGAGAAGTTGAGCTGATAGAGCATGACGCCGATGGCCGTATAGATCGTGAAACCCGTCCAAGGGACCAAGCCACGGAGGAAGAATAGCCCAAAGCTTCGGATCTCCTCCATCATGTCGCAGACCGTAACCGCCGTGTGGTATAACTGCCGTTTCGAGTACCGCTGCCACTCGATCCAGCTCGGATCGTCTTTGCCGGCCAAATAGTTCGGGAAGAGCTTCTGTTCGGACTGCGGGCCGAGAACCGGAACGTATTGTCGTTGCAGGAACATGACGCTCATAAAGTATATCGAATGCATATAGACGTATGCCTGCCCCTGGTCCAGCGCACTGTGTCCATGAAGCCCCGATTTACGATACTGCAATCGATGCGGGAGTGACGAGCGCCACTTTTCCAGCTGTTGTGTCAGGATCTGATACTTCGAATCCGGATCCCAGGGTAATTGATCTTCTGCATCTCTAGAACAAGCCCATCGCGCAACGTCACCCCATATGTCAGCGACGCGCATGCTGTAGGCAATGAGGCCCAGTTCTCCGGTCGGAAATCCTAACGAGAGTCCGGAGTTATAACATCCAGGGCTCAATGACTCCGTTCGTACGGCCTCGCCAAAGACAAAGCTGTCTCTTTCGCAGGGCAATTGCACCTGCATTTCGTCCGCCGACAAGCCTCTCCTCCTCCCCTTCCCACCGCTGAGCAAGCTGTCCATTAAGAAACAGGTCCAGGCTGTTCGCCGCCTTTCTTCGCTTTCGATAAACTCTTCTTCGGTTAGGGTTTCCATGTCTTTGTATTCACCCTCCTCACAGAGCCGTAGCACCTGAACCATTCGGACGGCGAGCCCGAGGTACATCCAGGCTTTCTGGCCGTCTCCGGAGCCCCAACTGTGTCCGGTGATCATGAGAAGGGTTTGGATGGTGGTAAGGTCCGGTACCTCGAGGGAGAGTTGGAGAAGGTTGCGGGCATGAGCGGCGAAGGTGTTGCTGGCTTCGATGGGGGTAGAGAATGGTTCGGGGGCTCTTGTGGAAAATCTGAATCGCACTCAGCTTCTTTCCTCGTCTTGAATTGCAGCAGGTTATACACGAACCTTATCGCCAGGGCCAGTATCGCCCATATCACGGCTGGCTCCACCTCTTCCTTTCGGACCTTCTTCAACAAGGTCGGCGTATGCAAGAAACTCCACTTGTAGCTACATCTCAAATAACTGTTCTTCACCTCGTCCGTAAAATATCTATACGGATTCACGTCCGTCAAATCCACATCCGTCCGCTTCGCCGGTATCCATCCGCCAACCACCTTTCCCTGGTGTTTCGGGTCGATGATGCTCGGCTTCCCACCATCCTCCCCATCCTGTTGTGGTCCCGGGGACGGTGGGTAATATGCCAATCGCCGGCCGCTGATCTCCCCACCGTCTCGCCCCGATTCTCGCTGTCGTCTTGCGCTTTTCGTCAGCCGGTGGTGCATGGAGGTGCCCGGCGGAGGAAAATAGCAGGTGTCGCCCCGTCCGAGCGCTCGGCAGCGGTCGCAGGGAGGGCGGGCGTCATGGTGGATGCATTGCCGCTTTGCGGTGCGGCATGGTGCGCAGGCGATAGGATTTCGCATTATTATGGCGAGCGGCTACGGATGAGTGGTGTCACAATGCCGCACTTCGCGGCAGCGTTAGGATCGCCGTCCTGATTGTGGAGGTGAGGCTCGTCTTTTCTCTAATCAAGGTCCTCAGCGCTTGGCCGAGGTTCGGTGGGGCTTCACTGGGGCTCCAACCAGGGTTCAGGTTGGCTACGATGGTACTGTATAGAAACAGAGAATCATGCCGATATACTGGTATTACTGCAGATTCCTCTGGATAGAGGACAAAGTTGAGGATTTATATTTGAGCCGACGACCGGAACCACTGAGCGGGACGGGGACGCCCATCGCTTGATGAAGCTGGGCTTGCATAGAGGCGTAAGGCGAGGGGGAGAGTGGGGTTGCAGGCTTGAAATCGGCCTTTTTGGGGGATGACGTTTGGCGATCGATCTACTGGCTACATAAGGGACTGACTATTAAAGTATGTAGTTCTGTGCACTTCATGTCGACAACAAAATGCCCCGATCGACCATTTTCTGAACACATTCTCATCTGGGGTGCTGCTGAGGAACCAGAATGACGCTCTCCGTCAGACTGACGAACAACCGAACAGTCGCAGCCAAGCGCCATGTCTAATTTGCGACAGGGGAGTTGATGGTGGGAGAGTCGATCATCACCACTTTGGACAAAAGCTTTGGGAACCTCCTCGGGCTCCTGGCTGGTGATCCCATTTGCCAACGATTCCATAGGATATCACTTCGATCCAAGCCACAACGACCGTGGGTGGACCAAACACTGGATCTTTTCCGATTGATGATAGGGGAGACAGAGGCTGCAACGGATCCAGTGCAATGGCACTATGTCAATTGTGTAACATTGCCAACACCGAAAGCTAGGCGCTGCAACAGGTATTAAAGCCAATTCTCGGATCTCCATATATAAGCTGATAGTCACAGTTATTGACACGATAAATTGTGTATGCAATGGTATGGCACTCCCGAGATGTACTAAATCGATCGATCTGCACGATGGCACTTTGCAAAGCTGAGCCAGCCAGATATATCGAAGAGATAAAAGATTTCAACCAAGGATTGGGAGCACTTGATAATGCAGTTTGGCCTATCGCGATATCGGGACCTCGCCTATGGAGCTACCCGTGGCATGCAGCTAGACCTCGAGATTTTTCCAAGGAACCGCAGCAGAGTCTTCAAGCGAATGTGCCATCTTCATGCGAGTTTCGATGCGAAAATATGATATTAGCGGCCACCCGATGCCTGATGGAATCGATACCTAGAGTGACTGCAAGAGTGGCGGTTCTAAAGAGCACCGGACGTTTATCTGGGTCTGTGATGCAGTACAGCTATCCGAGGACATCGAAGCCATGACCCGCCATTCCTGGTCTAGGCACAAGAATGGCCACACCATATCAGAACGCATCATGAGTTCCGATAATGGAGCAACCGAACCTAACAAACGCTGCGGGTAAACGGAGAAGGTAACATTGGCTGTGAGTCTCACCGATCCTTGAACCGATAGCGTGGATCGACATCTTTCATTCTTCGTATCCAAAGGTCTGTGTATCCCAATTAGCCAACCACCTTCCAGGACGTGTATGGCTCCGGCCAGACAACACCCGACAGTGAGGCAAACGAACAAAACCGGTTTTGGCGAAATGACAACGAGAAAAGTGGCAGAAACATCCGAATCAGGCGGAGCAAAACTTGAGGATATCGCCGGTCGCTGGCACAGCCGACGCCGCCTCGACTGAAGGTTGTAAATATAGCGAATCGAGAGATTTCAATATTCAAAATAGCTCAGTGCAACTCAGGAGCGACAGCAGCCAAGAAGAAATGCGACCCAATCGCACGCGCAGACAACTGAAAATTCAGGCATGAAATTGCTTTTGCTTTTTACTGGACTGTTATATCGCTAGGTTGTATCGGTATCTGAAGAAAGGATCTAATTAGGGTGAGCGAAGGAAGGACATTGTTACGGTCGCTGGAACGGACACTCTTCTGCCCCTTTTTATTAATTGTTGAAGAGAAACTCTAGAAAGCTGCTGGGAAAGGTAATGGCTGTGATGATCATGTCTTGGTCCTCAGCATAGAAGAAATCCCTCTGGGCTGTTGTCAATTACTTGAAGCTAGTTGAAGGGATACTGCAACGGTCCTCTTTGCTGTTAAGGAGCGGCCATTCGGGAGACTGAAATATTGACCCCTTGGGCTAACAAAGTCGTTGATACCGTACAATACCCCGATGTTCATAAAGGCGGGCTAAGGGGATGTACTTATGTTGACGTACAGACTCGTGTCACGATCAATCACGATCTGATGGACGTGGAGAGGTTGCCTAAGGCACTCGACACGATATCACCAGGCATCAAGCCTAGTCCACTACAAACCTTAACATCAATCCAACCCACCTTCATAATTACAGGAAATCATCTCCACATGAGTTGAGATTGATGACGCATGGTGGCGCCTCGCTAAAATTTTATCAATACGGATCTCCGTAGGGCTCCATCCAAGACCATCCTGATGGTGATGAAGTGATGGCCAGACCAGAAAGCCTCACTTCATACCTACCTTACCTAATTAGCGCGATTTCACGTACCTCGAAGACTACTAAGTATGGTTCCAAACAATTCCTCTTAGGACCGACGGATCCTTGTTTTGCAAAACCCCCCAGTGATGAACACTTAGCGTCTAATTCCACTTGGATTCTTCCTTGCTGTCACAACTGCTGTTGAAGTACCGGTTAAACACCCGTTAGACGGGAAAATCTATTCCTGTGCGGAGCAGCCCGCCAAAGAACTACTGTGTTATGAAGGGGATTAGCACGTCACTCTATTTAAATCCGCTAACTTCTATCAACTGCGATCGATCGAGCCCTCGAGCTAAACGTCTCCTATGTTCCGAAAATATTCGATATTGAACAAACAGTCAATAGGAAATGGCGTTGTCCCTTCTCTGAGGGTTGGATGGATTAGCGAGGTGAACGCTTCCAAAGACTCTTAAATCGATCTCGTCTGCACAAACCTGTTCAGGTGCTGATCGAGGCCAGACAATATGCGATGGGAAAACTGAATAATACTTCGATTATCAGACCAATAGTAGGGACGTGGCGGTGCCTCATTTATGATTATGATTATTTATGAAGGATGAACGATGAACGAACATCAGGTCCCGATATGGTGAAGTGTTCCGCCGCCTCCGTGGTCCCCCACAGGCCACAAGGGTGGCTGGGCGGGCGGTGACTCCCGTGAGGAAACCTTGAGCATCCTGTCAGGATCAAGCGAGAAGGAGGCTACACTAAGCTCAAAAAGGCTGCTCACGGGGTTTAAATCTCTTCCCCAGTCCCTGTGTCAGTCTTACGGTTGTCATCACCACCAGGCCAGGCCCAGGGGCAGGACGAACCAGCAATCACGCTTCGTCACGATTCACGCCTCCTTATGCCACAGCCGCGAAGAGTTTTTTCTCTCTTCGGGGGTTGGGATATTCAATGCATATGCGACGATGATGGGGCATTAATTCCCGCATTTCCAGGGATATCGGATACGTGCTGATGAGCATGGAGTCCAAAAAGAAAAAGCTGCTGGATGGGAATTTCCGATTCTCCAACCTTTACGGTCGAGGCCGATGGGGACGCAAGACAAGGTTCTCCGCGCTTTCCACCATGTCGGAATCCCTGGATCACCCGCCGCACTGCATCACTGCATGAGCATGCTCTCCTCCCCCTCTCTCCATCCCTTTCGCAAGTTTTCACATCCTCTGTACCATTCAATTGCCTAACATCAATTGAACTACTGGATTACACTCAGAGAGAGAGGCTGAAAAGACGCCCAGAATCCGACATATCACAAATTCGACCCCAATATCCCCGTATTCTAGCTCGACAGTAGGGTGTTCACGGCTAGCCCTATACTGTCGCCTGACATCTTCCCATTAACCCTCTTGGGACCCTCCCTCTTCTCTCGTACTTCCATCCCTTCCTCGATCTTGCACTTGTCTTTCTTTTCACTCACCACTCTATCGGTTTTGATTACATTTCGAAAACGCTCCCATCGGAGGATGTACTGACATTTCCCCTTCCCGCTATCCTTGCCTTGACGTTTCATCTCCACCCGAAACAGCACACGATCAGTTTCTTTTCTTGCATCAACCCTCAACCACCCTCTACCTATTATATCATACACACGACGGCTAGACCTGCTTGTATCGTTGACTGGCCTGCGTCTGCTGTCGTATTCTCGTTCACATCAATGGGTGGCTGACCTCGATGGGCGTTTTGCCATGCCGTTGATATCTTGTCTTCTTTTCTGTTATATAAGATGAACTAAATCGAGCCCTCTGGTGTGAAAAGTACCCAATCCGCTGTAATACGGACGTTGCGCCTTGCAGGCTGCGAGGAGATTCGATCAATCAATCATATTTCCGCTCTGCCAGATTGGAGCGGTCTGGTGCCTGCAATTCATTTATTCAAATACCCATCGACGTCCTAGCTTGTCGACGCAGCAGACACTCTTCCTACCCCTCACCATATTTCGCTCTACATCGCATCTTTTCATATTCAGACTGAGGATTTTGATACTATTATTCTACCAATTCTGCGAGTTGGGTCTTCTAAATCTCTCGGTTGAGTGAGCATCACGGACTACTAGGAGACTTCCAAGCTCGGTTGGTCCTAGTATCGCGACGAGCATTTCATACACGATCCGGTTCTTGATTTAGCTGCTTATAGAGCGAGCCGACCTCGCTACCACCGTACCTCAACTATCCATCCAAACGACTTCGAATAAACTCCACGACCATGTGAGCCCCGCCGCATTGCGCAGGGACGGAATGAACTGGAAACTCGAAATATGGGAACAACCGCGAACGCAGCCGATCGCCCTGCTACCACACCACTCCACCTGACATTTAGTGGGATCCTGCCCACCAACACTGCCTTCACCTTCTCCGCCCCGACCTTAGGGGGGCCTCTTTCCTTCTCCGCCGCTTCTCCACCGACCTGGGCATTTCGCCCTACCCCCAAGCGTCGACGCATATCGTCCGATCCATATCCTAGAAAGAAGCGGCGCTTGAGACTGAGACTGTGCACATCACGACTTTCCCTACCGTTCTCGTCTCCCCCAACCTATTTAGTCGATCGAGGCAGTTGCCGGGTTGCCGTCCTCGCGAAAATGGCCGCCGCCGCAGCGGAGAAAGAGTGGGAAGCGCAGAGGAACTGGGCGGCGACAGGGAAGGGCGCGGGGATATGGGCGGCCGGAAAGGGAAACGCAGGAGGAATTGGATCTATCCCCGCGACATGCCGTCTTGGAGTGGGCGCGGTTGCGAAGCGGCATCGACAAGGAGGGCTCGGACGGTTTGCGTGCCTGAACCGGCGGCGACAGAAGCGGTGCGGGGAATTGAGTTCGTTGGCGACGCATCCGGGTCTGCTCTTGGAGTGCCGCGACGTGATGGACTTGAGTTCCGCCCATGAGGACGAGCACGTCGCGAGCCCGAACTTCACGGCCGATTCATCCACCATTTCTGACATCAGCGATTCCGCCACCACGGCCACCACACTCACGAGAATATCTCTGAGTGCGTCTGAAGGTTACCCCTTCTCCACCGTCTCTCGTACTCTCAACCCTGACCCCACCGTCTCTCCAAACCTCGCCTTCTCCACCTCCACCCTCTCACCCTCCCCCACTTACCCCAACTTCCTCCCCCCAAACCCCCTCTCTACCGCCTCCCCCCTCGGCCTCTCCAACTACGACGCCTTCGACCTCGACGACGACCTCGACACCCCCTTCCTCCCTGATCCCGACACCAACATGTCCGGCACCGACCTCTGGCCCGCCCGTCGCACCCGCCCCTCCTCCAACCTCTCCTCTCCGGACCTCGCAGCCATGTCGCCGCGCTCCGCCTCCGCCTTGGCGGCCAGTAGCCCGGACATCGTGGGCCAACGACCGCGTCCTGGATCCCCCGAGCGCGGCGTCCCGCTCTCGCAAACGCAGCCGCTGTCGCTCGGAGACGCGGGGTTGGCTACCACCCCGCCATCCAGCCCGTTCAAATCCACGTCCCCGCAGCTTCCAGCAGTCGCGCTGGCTGGGGCTCCATGTCCGGGACCCCCCAACCCCAACCTCTCCAGCGCGCCGACACCGCGTTCTTCAGGAGTCGGCGTGAATCCGAACCTTCGTTTCCTAGCGGAGTTAGGGTTGTTGGATGGGTGGGAAGAGTTGGAGATGGGGGCGGGGATGGATCCGGATCGGGGGGAGGGGGAGGTGATGCGGATGGGGTGGGGTGGGGTGGTGTGAAGGGAGGGATATATGAAGGTTCGAGGAAAGGGAGGGATAAACAAAAAGGGAGGCGATTTGGATTTTGAATTTGTTTTTTAAAGGTTTAGCGAAGGTGTTTGGGAGCTCTGGATTAAAATAGTATGTGTTCTGTCTGATGGATGGGCTCTGGGACCATGAATGAATGAATGAATCGGTTAATGTACCTTCCACACCTTATCCAATCATCGGTCCATGGACATGGTCGTCTTACATTGACATGCGAACCGCAACCTCCATCCCCGAGCATTTCACAGCGCCCCCTATCATCACCTACCCCTTCCCCGCCTCCCTACCAACCCCCAACACCCCCACTCTCGCCTCCGCAATTCGACACACCGCCCCAACCGCCTTCCTCCGCTCCTCCGCCGCCGCCCCCGCCTCCCCCGCCTTTGCAATCGCCCCTCGTATCTCCTCCATTATCACCCCCCGCGGCCGCCCCGCCACGAACGTCACGAACCGCAGTCCCGGATACGCGGCCTCGTACGCGGTGTTCAGGTGTGCGAGCTGCGCGGTTTCGGAATCGGCGGAGGGCGCGGGGGTTGGGGTGGTCGTTGTGGGTGTTGGCGTTGACGTGGAGGTCGAGGCGGAGTTCATCGCTTTCTGCTCCGCGGCGGACAGTGCTGACAACGCGGACGGATCGGAGCCGGATTTGACCTCCACTGGCTTCGGGGTGCCCAGGCGCGGATGGCTGTTCATCACCTCATCGACGATGGTTTGTACCATGCGGCCGTCCGCGACCCACTTCCCGTCGGTCGACGCATACGATCCGGCCGCCTTGACAGGATCGGCCTCGATTTGGTCGACGATGGCGCAGAGGTGGAGGAGCTCGCGCTCGAGGGATGCGATGAGGGCGGGGTAGGTGGGGGGTAGGGGGTGGAGGAGGTGGAGGAAGAGGGAGTGGAGGGAGGGGGTGGGTTCGAGGAGGACGTCGAGGATTTGGGTGACGGTAGAGGGGGGGAGGGAGGGGAGGGTGAGCGGGGAGGGAAGGGACATTGTGAGGGGTATAGAGGGGCGAACGGAGGTTGGGATGTGGTCGTGCGGGTAGGGCTGGCGGGCTGGCGGGTTGGTGGGACGAGGATGGAGGATGTAGGATAGTGAAGTAGTACGAGCGCTGCAAGAAACCGGGAAGATGCAGTGATCCGATGTGGGGAACGCCAAAGGGATAGTGGGGTCAAGACTAAATGGGACGGTTGAATTGAATGGGCAATGTCAAGATAGAAGGTAAGTCAGGTGTGTCGTTATGTCAGTAGCTAAACAGTGTGCGTATCATCACCATAGCTCATCATCTCTGCGACACTCAGCATTATCAGAAATGACTTTGAAGTTTGAACGGATCCATCATTGCCCATTGGTGGTTCACTTGCGGGAGCCGCCGAGCAGCATCGGCGTGGGACAAGCGCCCATTGGGAGTCCCGGATGGAAGACCCTGACTAGTGATTACCAGAGATCTTGGGGGGGATCCGATAGGAAACCATGGGATCTGGATGGCCGGAATAGTGATGAGGGGAGAACACTCTGAATATCAGAAGAGTTATACTGTCTGTTGGTCTTGAAGCGAGGTTGAGACAACAGAAAGACGAGACGAGACGAAATGAAACCAAACAGATTACATAACCTCATAACCTGACGGTCCTGACGCCTTGACGCCTCGTGGCCTGATTAGTCGCTCCACGTGCTCCAGGTCCAGCCAGCTCTTACCTCAGCAAGCTCAGGCCATTGTGGTCGTGCCTGAGGCAACAAACCACACTATACCTAATCGGTAAATGCAGTTCTCGAACAAATAGCCTGAGGATTCTGTCAATGACGCTCACTGATAGATCGATAATTTTCATGTGTTTTTCACGATTTTGGAAACCTCACTTTTGCATATTCTTCAATAACAACGCGGGGACTTATTATAATTGCCCTTAAATTCACTGGGCTGTGCAGCAAGGTATACTCTATCTAGAATTTGAATTTTTTCCACTCCCGATGCTTGTGTCTTGCAAAAAACTCTGATATGTAAGCAACCAGACTGCGTCAGAATCGTCAACCAACCACCGCAGATCGAGTACCAGTTCGTAGCTATTCTCTGCTCTCTAGAGACGTTGGGTTCAGTTGTACGCTGCGCCGAGAGGAGATTCGATCTGACATCGTCCAAATTTCACTGGGTTATCAAGAAACGATAGAGGATTCGATTGAACGTGTCAATTTTACTGTATGATAGCTCGTTGTGGAGGAAAACGAGGTTGAAGTGATTAAATTGCTCTCATACAAACGATCTCGATTCAGGCCAAAAATCAATGACAGAATCCTCAGGCTATTTGGTCGAGGACCATACCAATTAGGTATAGCGCGGTTCGTTGCCTCAGGCATGACCATAATGGCCTGAGCTTGCTGAGGTAACTCAGGCTATTTGGTAGAGGACCATACCAATTAGGTATAGCGCGGTTCGTTGCCTCAGGCATGACCATAATGGCCTGAGCTTGCTGAGGTAAGCCAGCTCTGGCTAGTGCTAGCAACTAATTAGCATTCCTCTAAGAAATTCCATTGAAGGATTCGAAGCCTCCGATCCCAATATGGTGACCTCTCCCCTTTAGCTTAAGCCTTTTCCTCCCTCTTCCCTTACGATATCAATCTTATCTCCACATTCGTTACTCTTTTTGTGTCTCTTGCTTCTAGAACAACGTGCCCGGTGCACCCTTTATTGAATTCTTCCATATGCGCCAGAGATCTGATACTCTCTCGCCTCCAGTCTCCAACATATGTCGAAGCATACTGCCCCTGAAACCCTGAGGGAAACCCTGGCTCGGCCCTCCGTCCTGATTCAGCCAACCACCTCCCTCCGCATTCTCTGCGTAACCTACGGATCCCCCCAGCGGCACCGAAATTGAGTCCTGGAATAATTGACAGGAGAGGAGGGGTCGCCGTTGTGACTTGGAGTCTTGGACCGTTCTGCGACACCGGCCTGCACGCGCCCGCTGTAATTATCCGTTGGTCCCCCAGGAATCCAGATCCCTCCCATCCGGATCGTCGAAGTCTGCGACCTGCAGGAACGTCTGCAGGTAGACGATCTATAGATCCGTCGAAAACGCTCTCGACATGTCGCTCAATGGTCTTGGTATTCCCGCGATCGCGGAAGCGCACCAGGCGGCGCTGGCGGAGGCGGGTGGATGGTGAGTTCCTGATGGCTGGCGAGCTTTGGCGACGTCGCAACTGATGGTGGTCCCATTTAGGTTCCTGCTGAAGTACACGTCACGCGACTCAGTCGATATCCTCACGAGAGGCAATGGCGGCGCGGTGGAAGCGAAGAGCGCGATCGCGAGTTACACGGAGGTATCGCCGCTGTTTGGATTTCTTTTGTATAGACGGCGGAAAGTGCTTATAAAGTACATTCCTGAAGGCACGAGTCGGCTAATGCAAGGTACGCGAAGGATTCCTGTGACGCGGATGGATTCCAATGAGCTATCAAAATGGAATACTAATGTTTGCTATTCTCAGCTCGAGTCGCTGTCCACTTCAACGAGTTCTCAGACAAGTTCTCCCCGCATGACACCACGATATCGATCACGACCGCGAACGGCCTAAGCGAATCGGGCCTCGCGTCTGCATGCTCGCTACATACAGCGACCGCCTCCAACACGTCCAGCAGCGGCAGTTTGCAGCGGAAGAGGTTGGACGAGATCACCGAAGATGCTGAGGAGAGCGGCGAGTTGAAAGTCATCGGCCCGCAAATCTTCATCACGGAACATTCGCCAACACGGGATGGGAATGAGCAACGGGCACATACCCCGTCTAGCAGGCCTTGGACCCCGCGATCTTCATCGTTGGCCAGAGTAGATGTAGCCAGTTTGGATGCTTCGGGTGACTCGCCAACTGAAACCAAGGAAAGCAACGACCCGGGTACATCTGTTCCTGACAAGAAACAAGACGAAGATCCAAAAGCTGAGGAGACTCCCAAAGCATGGAAGATGGACTCCTCCGAAGTTCCTCCAGCACTAGTCCAAGTGCCCCCCCTAAGTTCTGAGGAAGCTCAACCAGCAGAACCCAGCGAGTCCGCTAGACCTCAAACCGGCAAATCCGACCACGCTCCGTCCTTCATGTCCGCCCACACCCAATCTTCATTTGCACCCACGCTCTCTATGCGGAACGAAGGCGACGTGCGCACGTCGACCTCAACAGCCCGACCCTCGCTATCCGACATCTCGTTTGCCTCACTTTACAACATGGCCAAACCCAAAGTCAAGCTGGGTCCTCGCCCTACCACGGACCGCGGCCGCGCTCCCAATTCCGAAGGGAAACGCGTCGCGAACCTCCCAGCAGGCCTCCGCGCTGCGACCCGACGCGCCGTCCCGCACCACGACTCCGACGAGACGTACTCCCGCCCATACAGCCGCGGCCAAGAATCCGTCTACTCCACCAAATCCGCAAAGTCCTCCCGCTTCGCACTTCAGCGCGACAATGAACCCGAACTACCACCGCTCCCTTCATCCCCGGGAATCAACCGCTCCTTCAAAGCGTCCAACCGCACCTCCACGTCTACTATCCGTCCCGAAACCCAGCAATCAAGCCATGCGCCGTCGACACGCGCGTATTACCACTTCCCCCACGCACCCCCGCCGATCCCCGATATCCCGCCTCGCAGCCCCGCCCGACCGACCAGCGCGACCAGCGCCAAGAGCATGCCGATCAGCCTCGGGACCGGCAACCGGATGACGCCGGAGAAGCAGCGATTGATGCGCGCGGTGGAGTTGAGGAAACGGCAACAGGAGCAGCGGAAGGCGAGGCAGGAGAGAGAGGAGGAGGAGAAACAAGTGGTGGAGAGGGAAGTGGAGGAACCGCCGGAAACGAAAGTAGAGGGTACTTCGGCTAAGGACAAAGCACCGCAAATAGAACTGGACGTATCAGCGGGCGCGATCGACGGAGACGAGGATGAAGAGGATGAAGACGGGACGCCGAAAGCAAGTAGTCCGCAAGTGGAGAACGGACAGCTGCAGGTGAAAGTGATATCAGAAGGGTCGAAGTCGGATTCGGGCGTCGGTGTGGAGGTCCCCGTGAATCCTGGATGTTTGGATCAAGCCGCGCCAGAGACGGTCGCACCGCCCGAGGAACTAGCAATCACGGAAGAAAGTGCCGAGCCAGCAACCAGCGAAGAAAATGCCCAACCAGCGATTGAAAGCTCCAGTCCGACCTCTGTGCAAGAAAGCAAGAGTAGCGATCAGGGTGAGGTCGAGAGCACGCGGCCTAGTTCTGTCGAGGACGCTAGCCAAATCTTTGGAGAGCAGACGAGCAAGGAGCCGAGTATAGAGACCGTGGTGGAAGTGAAGGTGAACGACGCTGTGTCCGAAGAACCGTCTACTCCTGAAGATATCGGTGTCGAGGTCAGTCCTCCCAGGAACAGCACGCTAGACACGAGGGATCCTGAAGCGGATGAGCCGGCCGACGACAACGCAAATTCGACCACCCAAATTCAGCCCACAGAGCCCGAGGAGCACAACCCAACCGTCCAGCGCAACACTAGCATGCGCGACCGAAGAAAAGGAGGCGTACACGAACCTCTCCGTGTTGATGTCGTCGCCGCGACCACCGATCATTCCGACGTGGACGCGGCAGAAACCGATGCGGATGGTGACTACCTCTCGGACGATGACTCGTTTATGGAGGAGTTGCAAACTGCACAGGTCCAAGAAGCCAAGCCGATGTCTATGTCGGTTTCGAAGTCGCCTATCACTCCATTCTTCACCCGACGGCCCAGCAACGGGAGCCTCCTGAGCGTAGTGACTGCAGCTGCTCGACAGGATGGATCGGGCTCAGCCACGCCGACTCTCAAAGGGTGGACCACGCCGGTGCGCAGCTACGAGCGAAAAGCATCGTTGACGACCCCGGACGTGACTCATGCTGTCCAACAGCGCGATCGAGCGGATTCGAGTCCACGACCCGCTAGCTCCATCATGTCGGTGAAAAAGGTCCACGTCAGCTCCGGCATCAGCCAGCGCATCAAAGCCCTGACCGAAAAGTCGAATCGTGACAGCGTCGCCACCATCACTCCCGAGAAGAGCCCCCCCGAGGATCGTATGTCCCGGTCCAGCTTCGCCACGCGGAAATCCAGTATCCGTTCCCTCGGATGGGGCAATCGCGAGAAAGACAAAGACCAAAAAGAGTCCAACCACAAGCAACGGCCGTCCCGCACCATCCAAATGGCCTTCGGCGACGCCCCCGACGCCTCTCGGCACAGCACCCACAGCAAGCGCCTCTCCCGAGCCTCTCTCTCCTCCATGGCCCCTTCCGAGCCCCCCTACCCCTACAACCCCTCCAACACCATCCTCTCGCCCACCATCACCTCCACCCGCGACAGCACCACCCCCCACCCCCAAGCCGTCTACTCTATCTCCCACCCCGCCCCGCACAACCCCCCAAAACGCCCCCGCGATTCCGTCTCCGTCACCGCCCGCATCATCCGCCCCGCCCCCGACGGCGCCTGGGGGCCCGATCTCGCCGTTCCCGGCCCTGGTGACGCGAAGCCCCTCTTGCAGCAAAGCCCCCTCATCATCGAACACCATCGCACCGAGCCGCCCAACGGCCGCGTCTCCGAATCGTACAGTAACCGTACCAGCCTCGTCTACGGGTCCGTCGCCGCCGCCGCCGCCAACGGGGTCGCCTCCCCGGGCAATCTCCCCTCCGGCCCGTACCGCGACAACAGCACCAACCAGAGCGGCCACAGCCATCACGCGTCGGCCGCAATGTCGCGCAGCAGCATGGACAGTGGCGCAGGCGCACCCTCCGCTAAAGAAAGCACCTGGAACCTCCGCGCGAAGATGTCCCGGCGGATGAGCGAAGCGCGCAGCGGGCCGACGAGCCCCGTAGTCCCGGTGGCATCGTCGAGCGCGTCAGTGCGGCACCGCAGCATGAGCAGCGTGAGCGTGGATTCGCTAGCGCTAGCGGCGGGGCCGGCGACGGACGACGACGGGATGTCGATGACGGGGAGCGTTGGGGGGAAGGAGGGGAAGCGGGGGGGAGGTCGGACGAGTCGGTTGTTTAAGCGGATGAGTAGTGGGATTAGTGCGGGGGCGAGAAAGATGAGCGTGATGAGTCCGACGACGGTGAGGGAGGAGGGGGAGGAGGTGGCGGAGGTGGTGGTGGAGAGGCGGAGACCGGAGGGGTGTGAGGTGGGGGATCTGAATGTGCAGTTCCCCGACACTTTGGTAAGTGCTTCCTAACCCAATAACCCTCCCATTCCCCCTGTCATCCCACCCCATACCAATCAATCCCTACAACCACTAACCGCCCCACAGCTCTGGAAACGCCGCTACCTCCACATCTCCCCCTCCGGCGACCTCGTCATCAAGCTCGCCAAAGCCGACCCCCCCTCCACCGCCGCCGCCGCCAAGCCCCACCACGCCGCCACCAAGCGCTTCCACCTCACCGAGTTCCGTCCCCCCTACGTCCCCGACCAGGACGCCCAGGAGCTGCCCAACAGCGTCGTGCTCGACTTCGTCGACGGCCGCACGCTGCAGGTCGCGTGTCAGGATGCGGCAGGGCAGAGAAGGGTGTTGGGGTTGTTGAAGGGGAGGAGGGAGGAGTGGGTGGGGTTTGGGAGGGGGTGAGAGCGGAGTGCGCTCGCTGCTAGGTCGTTCAGGCTGGAATTGCCGCCTGACTCATTTTGGTTGTTATTTTGAGCCATCCGTAAGGTATGGTTGCATAAAAGATCCGTCCGATTTTCTTGGATTCTCTGTCGATACCACATTTTTTCTCTTCCGGACTGGCCTACTCGATTTTCGTCTTTTCGATACCCCGTTCTGGCATTGCTTGCTTGCGTGCTCGGTCGCTCGGCATGGCGCCGGGATGGATGCATCTATGGATTTGGTTTGGGGAACTTTTTGGATGGCCGTCCGCGGCGGTTTCTTGTGCGAGTCGTATCGTATGGCTAGCAAGATGGATTCTGGGTGGTTGGTTACCTACCTATTGTTTTATTCTAATGGCTGCATGTATTGGTAATAGACAATACTCTCTGTTTTCACGACGGATTAAAGAGGAATTGATCCATTGCATGAGACATAAGGCCATGCGCTCTTCCCGCAAGCTATACCTAATCTATTGTGCGTAACAAACGTATACCTCACTACTCGTATTGTTTTATCCTTGTCCTTGCGCTCTACAGTAAAGTGACCTCCGGAATTGCAATTGCAAGAACTGTTCCGCTTCATACTGCTTCTTAAACAACTTAGGGGACAATTTCTTACATAATGACGGTTATGTATTGATGGTTTACAATATCTAATGCAGTAATGAATTATCTAGCGATCTCGTGTTTGAACTCATGGTTATCCGTCCAGTTTTGTTCTCGTCCCATCATCCAAACATGACCTTATGCCCTTCCCAGCCCATCCCAAGACTCCAACCCAACCATTCCCATCCCACCCCCTACCGTATCCCATTCGCCTTTTGAAACCGCCTCAATGGCGCACTATCCTTCGTCGCGATAAAATAATCCCCATTCGCATTCGTCCAACTCACGCAGTCCGAAAAATACTCCCGCCGCACCACGCTCAGCATGTTCCGCGGATCCTCCACATTCCGCGGCTTGATCTGCCACCCCTTCGGCACGAAGCTCTTCAGGCTCACGATCCGCGCCCCCTCCTTCACGTCCAGGAACTTCATCACCAGCTTGTCGTTCAGCTCCGGGTTGAACGCCTGGTTGTTGACGAGGATGACGTCCGCGCGCCGGATCGCCGCGTCGATCGTCGGGGAGGAGAGGAAGTCGCCTTGGATCAGGGTGGCGGGCCCCGGGGCGAGGCCCCAGAGGCGGCAGCGCGTGCGGAACTCGGCGAGCTGCTTGTCGGCGAGGGCGCACGGGTTGTCGTTCTTCTCGATACCCCAGCTCTCGCAGCCGACTTGGAGGGCGGCTTGGAGGACAACGTTGCCGACGCCGGAGCCGAGGTCGACGAAGACTTGGTCGCGTTTGAGGTGGGTTTCGCGGAACAGGCGCTCGGTGAAGCGGGGAAGGAGCTCGCCGTAGACGTCGTTGGTGCCGTTTTCGTACTTGCGGAGGAGCTCGACGGCGGGGGAGACGGTGCGGGAGTAGACTTGGGCGAGGATGCGCTCGATGAGGGGGAAGGGAAGGGTGTGGGTGATTTTGAGGACGGAGGCGACGGTACCGTCGACGAGGGCGGTGGTCAGGGCGGTGTTGAATTCGTCGACGGTGGAGGTAAACTCCTCGGCGCAATTGCGGTTTAGTGCGCGCTTGAAGCGGCGCGAAAAAACGGTGACGTCGTCGGTAAGGGGGTCGCGGATGGAGGGGGGGAGGTAGTGTTGGGCGATTTGGTCGATGGTGTGGACTATGTCGTCAATCGGGCGGTACCCCTCGTCTTCCTGGGGAACCAGGAGGTCGAAGCTGGTAGTGATGTTAGTCTGGCGATCGAAGCAAATGCGATTGAGATGCTCCCAAACTTACCGTTCTCGTGGAAGTTTGCTTGGGTATTGCAGCTCAACCTTGACAACATCCGCCCCCTCCTTGACAAACGCCGGTTTGTACTTCGGTGACCCGTTCAGTGCCGTCAGGTCCGCGCCATGTAGTAGTTGGAATTTATTCACGTCGTCCTCCATCCATTCCGCGGTATCTCTGACATCGCGATCATTGTCCGGTTCCAGCGACCGGACAGGCTCTGTTTTCCGCCGTTTGCCTATCCCGTTCGCCTCATCCGCGCTTGACTCGTCGCTCGAGCTGGAGAAATGGACGGATGGAGATGCGGACTTGCGCTTTAACCGCGTAAAGCTGGGTTGAGGTGACAGGAACCGGTCCCGCGACTCTTTTAACAGGTGCTGAGGTCTCTGAACGGGTCGTGGAGTCGAGACAGTGCGCGTGGCAGCAGAGGAGCGTCGCGGATCGCCATTGCGCGGCTTTTGCGGCGTCTTCTCCTCTTTGATCGGGACGGTGACTTTATGGACCTTGACTGGTTTTTTGTTCAGGAACATGCTGGTAATTAGGAGATAAATATGGGATAGTTGTAGACATAAGGAGGGAAATATGATCGCGGTATATGAGGGGAAGTATTTGGACAAGGCGGCGAGATGTCGCAAACAAAAGGGAGGGGATGAAGTTGTGAGAGGCGGAACAGGGGGTCGAGGTGGCGGATTGTGGCGCTATTGTGGCGCTATTTCGAGTTTATATGTGGCTGGTGTTTCTTTGTTGCGGATCAGGTGATTCCGGCGCAGGAACGAAATGCTTCCATTCCAACTCCATCCATCATCCCTCAATTCCAGATTCCAGTTCCGATCCCTTCGAAAAAGCTACGACAATTTTGCGACAAATTGCGACAATCCGTCCATCCAACAACAAGGTTTCCCCTCCCTTGCTGACCCGTCTGTACAGGTTGTTACGTACAAGCGTCCATCGACGTCGCGTCCCTGTCCAGGAGAGGAATCGAGCTACACATAGAAACTCACTTTTTGCAACACTTCCGCGGACTTGTAATATTTTCCGCAATTCGAGGAAGAAAGTGGTCGATGCGAACGTACTTATGCTCGTCGGCTTCACGAAAATTCCCTCTGGAAAATAATTCTCCTCAGCAGTGATGGATCGGATCATATGAGAGACACGCTGCTGACTGGGATGGGACGGAACGGCTCCACACTTTCGCCCAGAGCCTGGAATACTTCTGCTATTCCCGCCTGGCCATCGCATCACTCGGGACCGAACCCCATCAATAAACGATAAAATCATGAAGCATCTGTCCATGACCGTGAATCATCGTAATAGAATGTGGGTCAAGCCGGTTCCTGGCGGTGGAATGCCGTGCAACCTCGCTGTCGAGTTCGCGATGCCTAAGTCCTCTTGCGTGCTAACCACCTCTTAAGCCTTATACTGATGCATACGTCGCTCCGATCTGCATATTCTCGCTTTTCGTGTTCAATACACTCTGATTTATAGCGTGGATGGTCGTTGGTTATGTACTCACCACGACCTGGCCGTTTTCATCATCGTCCGTCGTTTCAAAATTCAATCGCTTTCTAAAAATGTCTCCGTCACGGTACCTGCGGTATTGCCATCCCTTCGCGCTCTCCGACAACCCGCTCCAGTCCCCTCACCCTCTTCATGTCGCGCATCATCGAACGGCCCCAGGTATTGACATGGGCGGCTGCCAAGAAGCCGCCCGTCGACCTTCTCCTTCCCCGGAAATATCACAACCAGACCACCCCCTCCACCTCCAAGACCCCGAGTACCTCCGCGACCTCCCCATCCCCCCATGGATCAACCGCCCGCAACCCACCTGGCGCCGCTACATCCAGAATATCACCCCGTCCTGGTTCGCCATCAACATGGGCACCGGCGTCGTCTCCATCCTCCTGTACAATCAGCCCTACCAGGCCCGGTGGCTGCACATCCTCGCCTACATCGTGTTCGTCTTGAACATCGTGTTGTTCGTCGGCATCTTCGTCGCCTCGATTCTTCGGTATATCTTATATCCGGAGCTCTGGCGCGTCATGTTGCGACATCCCGTGCAGAGTATGTACATTGGGACGCTGCCGATGGGGTTCGCGACGATTATCAATATGATAGTGTTCGCGTGTGTACCGCACTGGGGCGACTGGGCGCGGACGTTGGCAGTTAGCCTATGGATCGTGGATGCGGCAGTATCAATATGTTGCTGCTTGCTCCTGCCGTTCATCATGTACGCCTCTCTTCCCCGCGAGCAACACCCATCAACATCGCGCGCGGCCCACTGATCTCCCTCCAGGATGTTCAAACACCCCCGCTCCAAACCCACCGACATGACCGCCGTCTGGCTCTTCCCCGTCCTCCCCAACATCGTCGCCTCCGCCACCGGCGCCATCGTCGCCGATGCCCTCCCCAACCCCCAACACGCCTTCTGGACCATGATCACCTGCTATGTCCTCTGGGGCATGGCCGTCCCCATGGCCCTCGCCATCATCGCCATCTACTTCAACCGCCTCATCACCTACAAGCTGCCGCCCCGCGACGTCATCGTCTCCGTCTTCCTGCCCTGCGGGCCCACCGGCCAAGGCGCCTTCGCGTAAGCCCCTCCCCCATCCGCCTCTTCAATCCACTCACCTCCTCCTGCTAGTATCATGAAACTCGGCCAAGTTGCCCACAAAGTCTTCCCCCGCACCCACGCGCTCCCCGCCGTCGCCGCCGCCGGCGACATCCTATATGTCTTTGGCTTCCTGGCCGGGCTCGTCCTGTGGGCTTTCGGGCTAGTGTGGCTGTTCTTCGCGTTCGCGTCGGTGTCGCGCAGCCGCTTCCCGTTCAACATGGGGAGCTGGTCGTGCACGTTCCCCATCGGCGTGTGGGTGACGGCAACGATCACGATCGGGAAGGAGCTGCCGTCGACGTTTTTTAATGTCGTGGGAATCGTGAGTGCGGATTCATTGGGATTCGGTCCTTCCTGTTCGAGGGGGATCATGACGCTGACTGGTTTTCAGATCTTCTCTATCTGCGTCATCATTTTCTGGCTGGCGGTGTCCATCCTATCGATTCAAAAAGCGTTCACGGGCGATCTGTTCTACGCGCCCTGTGTTGCAGCGTTAGAATGCCGCGCTACTATCCTAGAAAAATCGGAGGAGTCCAGTGCCTAAACTCCACTAAAAATCCAATGCACGAATAAAGCGGTATATAAATAAAAGTGACGAAGCCATGTCCCTGAGGAACATATGATTATGAGCATAGCAATAAGGACGTTATTTATTCAATGAAGCAGAGCGCGAAATCCTCTTTACCCCTAATCTTCCGCCGTCTCCTGGACACCATCTGGACACTTATCTTACAATCAATCCCTATCCAACCTCCAGCCGGTCTCCAACAAGGCCTTGGTATAGGTCTCAATAGATTCATCCATGTCAAACTCCTTGTCCCTGGATCGAATTGCGTACGAGGAACTTGCAAACGGGTAGACGTTCGTGAGCTGAAGGGTACAGCGCCTGAGGATAACCATCTCTCATAAGCCGGTCCTTGAATCTTTCGAATGCTCTCGCCAAGTCATCGTCAGCGTGGCCGGATGGCGGCGCCGCGAGTCGGATGTCAAAGCTCCGAACCCCTTTACACGCGAAGATGGTGTGGACCAGACTGAAGAGGTCGGATATAGGCGGATAGAGGCCGGCATAGTGCACAGGTCGCACAGGTCGGAGTGGACTGTGTGGAGCAGATTCAGGTGCATCGGATTTTCCACCTCCCATCGATTCAAGGAGGTCCTTGAAAGCTGATGGGATCGGCATGGCTAGGACATCTTCGACTGAGGGAAACCAGATGCCCGGGTTCATCCAGCCATCGTTGTACGTCATATGCATCCACGGTCGAATCTCGCACACTGCAATCGAGGCGCTCGATTCGTCGTCCCGCGCTTCCCCCTCGGCTTCAGCAACCCAGGCATTTGACACCAGCGACGCGTCTGCCGAAAATGCCGCCTTATTCATCCGCAATTCCAGCAACTTCCCCCGATGTTTCGGATCTGGAAGATCCTCCTCGCCGTGCTTGCTCATGGTAGTGTGCGTGAGAAATGCAAGGGTCAAAGGGGCCGCCGAGACCATCACGTAGTTCGGGCACCCCGTACGAAAGAGCTGGTCCCATAACCGGGAACACTCCCGCAAGTCGCGCCCTTCCTAATGCATAACTGAAGGGCCAGGGACGGTTACCCGGGGGTAGACGAGGACGGACTCTACCGCCGGCTTCAGGTTATTCAACCGGATGAACTTGAAAAATGCCTCGAAATTCCGCCATGCGGTTGAGAAGAACTTTGGAAACTCGAACGGTTGATCTTCCTCTAGTTCGTCGATCTGGATAAAGCAGTGCTTGAACAGTGTGGGAAAGAGGATCGAGCGCCATTTCTGACAGACCCTGGAGAGAATTTTCACGGGATAACGATGAGGGTCAGGAATCAACCCATAGTGCGGATTCTCTTCGAAATCGGTGGCGGAACGCGGTCTGGCGAGGAGGTGGCTGAAGATTTGAAGTATATAATAGCTCGTCGGGGAGTTGCATGAGGTAAGGCCGAAGAGGGGTGTTGGAACTAATGGGTGTCAGGTCTGGAATCACGGAAGGGGACGCGTGGTATTCCATTTTGACTTAGGAGTAAATAGAGAAATAAAGTTAATATGTGAAGGAATTCGAAAATGGACAATGGTTGCTTTGGAGGCGGAAAGGCGCTGCTGGCTGGGAAACACTGCAGCGGGTCTCGCGCACCAGGACGCCTCCCACGCGTAAAGCATATGAAATTTACTTGAAGAATCGAGGAAACCCTAGACGAGAAGTAGTAAATCAGAAAGATTTTTCGGTAGCTAATATTACGGAGTGGTTTAGGGAACGCAAAACCAAAGAAGCAGGAATTCGAAGCGAAAGGGAGCGTTGGTGGTTGATGTAAATAGCTAGGATATTGACAGGCACTCACGAGCAATCATAGATATAAGAAGGGGAATGGAACCAGTCATCGCCGTTGCGATTCATTCTCTGGGTTGATGGGAAAGAATGCAATCGAAAAGGCCATATTTCGTACAAGGACTTCCAAATGAACTGTATCTATACCTACTGGTACTGTTCAAATGGATCAAATGAAATGATCGATCCATTGTTAGAGAAAGGAATTTATGTTCACAAGTGGGCGGACAGAGGGCGGATAGAGGTCACAGACCACGACTGTGAGAGTACAAGGTGGCCCGATAGATTGCCGCTATTTGTTGTGCCGTGCTGTACCGGTGCTTCAGCTATTCCCGGTGCCAGACTACCAGTAGGTTGTCTCATAGCTGAACGAGGATTCCTATCACGGAATCTAAGAGAAATATGATATCAAACTAGGTGGACTAAACAACGCTATTGTCTAACCCGCTACATGAATTCCAACCCATCAAAGGTCATCCATATCCCAACCCCTAGCTCCTTAACAACCTCTCCACCCCCTTCACCAACCCATCCTCCGCCCCCAACAACCCCCGCTTCTCCCCCACCACCTCCCCCGCCTCCAACACCTTCACCAAATCCACCACCTCCCCCTCCACATCCGCACAATACACCCATAGCCCCAACGCCATAATCAGCCCCTTCGCCGCCTCCTGGCTCTCCGTCTCCCGCCGCACCGCCTCCACGATCCCCGCCACCATCTCCGTCTGCGTCCCGTCGTCGAAGAGCTCCGCACCATCGATTCGCGCGCGCACGTTCGAGGCCGCGAGGTTGAAGGCGAGGCTGGCGGCGGCGATGCGCGTGGTAGTGTGGGAAAGGTCGAGGAGGGAGGTAGTGAGGAGGGTGGAGAGGAGGGTGGTGAAGCGGGGGTTGGAGAGTGCGTGGGTGCGGAGCGCATGGTGCGGGAAGAGGTTGCAGGAGAGATGGAGGGTGATAAGACGAAGGTTGTAGGGGATGGCGGTCGCGCCGGATGTGACGTGGGAGATTAGGGCAGTGATCGTTTCGAAGTTCTGGGGGGCGGCGTAGGCGGCTGCGATTCGTGGGTCGTTGAGGGCGAGGCGGAGGAGGTCGTAGACTGCGAAGAGGGAGGTGGGGTCGGGGTTTCGGAGACTGTGGGCAAGGAAGATGTTGAAGGCATGGATGTCCGGCATCGGATTGTTCTGAGGGGTGGAAGTGTTGAGATTGGTTAGGAATGTCTTCATCCGGAGGACCGCTGGATCGGTACTTGAATCGCCCAGCTTCTGTATCAGCTTATCCAGCGGTGGAACTTTCGAGAAGCTAATCAGCGTCGTACTCGACTGAATCAACTGGCCGAGATCTAAGTTTTGATGCGGATGGAAAGTCGCCCGTTGCAGCAATAGTCGTACTTTTCCTCGCAGGTCCGTCTCGTTGGCTCCGGTCCATTCCTCATCCTTCTGCCCTTTAAGGAACGTGATAAACGTCGGCGTTGCACGAACTCCATACCTGGCGGCCACCTGGTACGCACGGTTCAGATCGATCTTGATGAACACACCCCATTTCCCGGCCTCTTCGGCGAGCTCGTCGAACGCAGGATAGACCAGCTTGCAGGGGGCGCAGGTGGAGCTGGTGAAGAAGATTACGGCGCAGGTCTTGGAAGCGGAGGATAAAAGCTCTTCTAGTTCGAAGTTCGAGTCGATCTCATGAACGGATTTGGATGGCTGGGTGGCCGGTTCGATTATAGCCGGGGCGCTGGGTGATGCTCCTGTTGGTACTGTGGGTGCTTGGGTGATGCCTTGCATTGCTAGGTCCAGTTGAGGTCGTAGGAGGTAGCCGAATGGCGAGTTCATGAATGTCTCGGGTAGACCAGTTATATGGTCCGGTATCCCTTTGCCAACGAGGAACGTGGAGAGGTCATGGGTACTATCAGGAGTTCAGCATGGTAGATATAGTTCGCGACGGTATACACTTACAAGTTGTTGCAGTTGTTCAATAATAGATCGTAGGACTGCAGTCAGTTAGTCTCCATCAACCACTCAGGAACCGCCCATGCCGACCTCCGGTGTGTAGACCTGCTTCAACGACTGCAGATAGTCCAATATCACGTCCATAGGGATTTCCGTCTTGCCTAAATGGAGCACCTCCATCGGCTCCCCATGATGAGTTGTACCTGGGTAGGACTGCTGGACTCCCTGACCAAAGTAGTACTCGACATTGTTGAGAACGATGGACGTATGGTAAACAGCATCGATTTGAGTTCCAAGAAACTGCTGCGAGACCTAAAAAGCATTAAAACATGCTGACCAGACTGAACTTGAATATGCGGTACTTGACGGGCGATCCCCTGCGAAACCGTGTAAGCTAGAGAGACTTATAATGGACAGACTATCAAATTGTACCCTTGAGATGTCATATACGTAAAGTTGGACGTCCATGGTGACAGTGATCCTGTTGTTGATCTTACGGAGAAACGGCTCTTCGGGTTATTGATGTTTCATCATGAGACTCTTGTTACGATCTATAAATCTTAATATTCGAAGATTGACAGCGTGACGGTGCAGAATCCGGGCATCTTGCTCTATTTGAATGAAACAGCATTGCGGCAGATGCTGCATTGATGTCGTCAACACGTGAGAGAGGAGATTACGCAGATCGATCTGCCTGCCTGGGACCTCGCTGTGGCGCAGGCGATATCTCGTTGGCGCCATACTAATATCGAGATCGCGGGCAGCTAACAGGAACGGGGGACTGGATCAACCTCCAGTCGTCTCCACTGACATCAACGATACGGAATAGTGTCATACAGGTAAGAAAGCCACATGCGGTATAGAAATTTCCCTCCAACACGAGATATCTTCGACACCTTGCCCAAACCCGCCCAATCAGCAGAAGGAATCGCAGCCTACCCATCAACTAATATCCATCCCACCAACTAGGAGATCCAAGATACCTACACTTGAAAATGGCTTCCCGGAAATCCATCCTCATCATCAACCCCAACAGCACCCAATCCATGACCGACGGCCTCAAACCCCTCGTCGACTCCCTCCATTTCCACAATGTCCACCCCCCTCTCCCCCCTAAACCAACCCACTAACCTTCCCCATAGACCACCTACACCTATTTCACCGCCCCCAGCGGCCCTCCCTCTATCAACTCCGCCACCGACACCACCGCCTCCGCCCAGCACTGCCTCCCCTCCCTCCTCCACCTCCTCCCCCACCATGACGGCTTCCTCATCGCCTGCTACTCCGCGCACCCTCTCGTCGCCCTCCTCCAGGCGCACGAGACGGTGCGCGCCGGGAAGAAAATGGTCACCGGGATCTTCGAAGCGAGCGTCGCCACGAGCCTACAGTGCCTGGCGCCAGGCGAGCGGTTCGGGATCGTGAGCACGGGGCAGGCGTGGGAGGCGATGTTGAGCGAGGCGGTGCGGGATTTCTTGGGGGCGGAGACGAGCGCGCGGTTCGCCGGGGTGGAGACGACGGGGTTGACGGCGGTGGAGCTGCATGATGTGGGGGCGGAGGTGGTGGGGGAGAGGATGCGGGAGGCGGTGGGGCGGTTGGTGCGGAGAGGGGAGATCGGGGCGGTGTGTTTGGGGTGTGCAGGGATGGCGGGAATGAATGAGATGGTGAGGGGGGCGTTGGTGGGGGAATTGGGGGGGGAGAAGGGGGGGAGGGTGAAGATTGTGGATGGGGTGCAGGCGGGGGTGGCGTGGTTGGAGGGGGCCATTCGGATGGAGTTCTGATGGGTTCGAGAATATTGTAGTATAGGTCTGCTTGGGTGAAGTCGTAAATATGAATCGATTCCCGTCCTCTACTCGGCTGTGGATGCGCCATCCACTATCATGAGGCTATCAGAACTCCCCGTTCGCTATGGAAAGCCAGAAATGCTGGTATTTGACCCTTTCCTCTGGCAAGGTCAACGTCGCCCGCCTCATCACCTCGGTTTATCCCAGCTCTACATATATCCCTCGTGATGGACAATATGCTAATTCGCTCTCCCTCAAATCAAGGGGTATCCTCTTTGCTCCCAGCCTACATCTCCATCTCATCGGGATCCTTCTGCATCACCCCCCTTTTCTCATTCGACCAGACCACAAACTCATCAATCACCCCCGGCCACGCAGCATCCTCACTCCAAAACCCCAACCTTTCATCTTCCATGGTCTTCAGCGCGAACTGGTACGTCTGATCCCACATGTCGCGGTTCACACCCTTCTTCCAGTTGCTGAGCAGGTATTCTTGCCACAGCGCGAGCCAGTCGGTCGTCTTGCTCGCCCACCGCCAGCCTTGGGAGGAGAACAGCACTTTCCAGAACTCGATCGCCATTTCCAGGTCGATGGTGCGGGCGCGCTCGGAGTTGATGCCCAGGGAAAACGTGTGGCGGTAGACTCGCTTGAAGACAGCCGGATCTTTAGGAAGTTGGGACTGGATGCTTTTCGCGAGGGACTGTTGCTTGCTGATAGTGTCGGCCCTGGAGATATGGATATTAGCGCTTGGCGGATGGGGAAGGGTAGCTTCGGTGTATGTACCCTAACTCTTGCCAGCCCTCGATGAACTTCTCCCGCTTCATCTCCCCCATCGAAGGGCTCTTGACGATCTCAGAGACGACGAATAGCCCGATCGATTCTACCGACACTTTCAGGTCCCCGAGATATCGCATCATACCGTCCATCCCGATCGTATCAGGCGAGGAGGGGTCGTCTATATACGGATTAGAGGGGCGTCGTTCAAGCTGAGGATCGAGATCCTAACCGCAGTATTGGTCGAACAGCTTCGATAGCGTCGTCTTCTGCGGGCTGTTGCCATAATACCTATGCCACCGTCAGCAGGCCACCCTCCGAAGTCGAGCGAGCGAGACTAACGCGTTGATCGTTTGCTGGACATTCCAGGCATTTCCTCGGAGTAACTGGAGGCTCACTCGAAGTCAGTACACCTATGTATACCACGACCCATGTTGCTCCTATCCAACCCCATGTTCGACAGAAAGAAGTGCACTTGCCCTGGCTGCGGTGGTCCTGTCTATCCCAGCAACTTTCACAAAATCCGACACAGCAGCTTTCTGCTGCGCGGTCATCGGCGCCGGCATGATGGGGTATATAGAAGTGGCAGAACTTTCAGTTTCAGGATCGCCGTCTTCGCTGCTCCGAAAGTACCAGGGTAAGGAACCCCCTCTGGCTTCTCCAGTGCTGTGGTGTTTTTGTATATCGGATGTGATGGGTCAGCGGGGAGGCCAGGTCCGATGCTGAGCGGCAAACGAGCGGTGGGGGTTCCAGATGGGGATTCAAAACAGTCAACAATCTTGCTCGAGGCTCAGGGAAATAAATGAAGCATATAATAGGGTATCGTTACATGTGCAAAGTCATGATACTAGGCACATGAGGTAATTGACCATCATATGGTTGCGGTGGGAGGTGAAGCCAGGCGTGAGTTCACTGACTAAGAACGAAGCTGCCAAAAAACGCACTATCGTTATAAAACTTCTTAAATGGGGAAATAGCATTTCACTAAGCTTCTTACTAAGTCATATCACCGCTCTCACGGAAAAATCATCAGCTGAAGATTAACCGTCTGCCTCCGGGCAGCCATGTGAATTTAGATTACACTCCCCATGCTGTACCATTTTCCTCGAATTTCCCAAATAGGGAGATCAAATTTCACTAAGCTTCTTACTAAGACATACCTCCACCCTCTCGCAATTATCGAAGTGTAAAAGATTAGGCGCCAGTCCACTCAGTGACGCATATGCTGCGCTGGCTACTAGCAAATTTGTCTCCCACCGGCTTTACTGCCTGCATCCTCCATCCTCCTGTTAAGAGCCAATTAATCCAGTGAATTTAAATTACACCATCAAACTGTATTGTCGTCATTAAATGGCCCAAATAGGAAAATATAATTCCACTAAGTGTCTTACTAAGATATACACCCACCCTTTGGAATTTCCAGGGTCCCGAAGATTAGGCGCCAGCCCCCCCGGGTGGCGCAGGTACAGACCTGATTGTGGCAGCATCCATACACCCCTCCTCCCTGCCCTTGGTAGGCACCACCCTCCCCCACAGTCCACACTTCAATGTCCACAGGCACCCGTTGGTACCCTTTTGGTGGTGTCCAAGGAGAGTTGCACCCACCCCCATCCCCCCAGACACCCACCGGAAGACCCAAAGAGATCTCCATTAAGCATCAAATCCACCTCTACCCACCGCAAGATCCTCAAGGCTTACTTACCTACAATAACTAACCCATAAGCACTCATTCATCTACAGCACCTCATTCACGTCACCAGCAACCTATCACAGCAAATCATCTCAAAGCCAGCACATTACTGAATCAATTGCATTACTACCGATACAAGTGGCCCTCCCTCTGCAGTCTCCAGTCTCCAGTCTCCACGAATAAAGAGATATACCAGCCAGCCTGGTGTTGCATTTTGTTGCCATTGCCATGGCCAGCGCCCTCCGATCACGCATACCGGTATGTGGTCCCAATCCCCACCAAACCTGCACCCAGCACTTGTGAATTATGGGTTCGTGTGTCTGCCTGTGTGCGGGTGCGCTAGTTTGCATCACAAACCGAATCCGCAAATCTAGAACAGAAGCAAACAAAGTGTGAAAGTCGAGTCGGGTCGAGTCGAGTCGAGGACAAGCGAGTTGGGTGGGTCAAACTAGGGAAAGAGACAGAAAGAGTGTAGGAAACAAAGGAATATGAAAACCCGAAGCCCCGAAAGGTGAAAACCAGCCAGCCAGCCAGCCAGCCGACGTCCAGGTAGTAGCCCGTCCAGTCCAGTCCAGTCTATTCAGTCGGACGTTCCCACCACCCTGCCGAACCGAACCGAACCCAGCCCCGTCATCCCAAGCCAGCCAGCAAACTCGCAAACCCCCGAAAAAGAGACAAATCAAAATCAAACGATCAATCAAACCCCGGAAACTGAACCGAACGGGATTGTGCGCGACCCCGCGGGTACGATATGATACCCTCCGACCCCGCAAAATGCGGTAATGGAAAAAACAGGAGATAAGGAAGGGACGAATTACAAAGTGGGTAAGGTGTAGATAACACAAGTCTCGCGCACCCCGAAGGCGGGGCACTTCGAGAAGGGAACGTATCGTATCAGAGGAGAAGGCAGGCCGTATGCTGGATGTGAGGGAAGGTGATGAAACAAGTGAGAGAGTGTGTGCGATGAACCGGTATGCGCAGCGCGTCCCGTGCCTCAAACGGGAGACACGGCACTGAAGATCGAACCATGGAAGCAGTAAGAGAAATTCGGAAAGCAGGGAGGAATCAATCTAGCAACTCCGCGCCATGCTCCGAAAACAGAATCCGAACCGATGATTTTGGTGAGGGGAGAACCGAGCGGTGGACCCAGATCGGGCCGTCGTGGCGTTCGATCCGAGATGACAAATGAAAAAGGAATCGTGGTCGTGGTATGGATGGGTGGGCGGTGAGGAGTGGTTAAGGAGCGGACGATTAGTATGCCGTCTGCATTTCCAGGGCGCGCACGTTGGGCGGCGCGATGGCGGGGGTAGGGGTGGTGTGATGGTGGGAGACGGCGTCTTCGTAGCCGACGAGCGCCTGTGCGTGAAGCTTGAACGCTTCACCCATGAGTTTCGTGATACTGTGGCAATGCATGTCAGCGTAATTCCCAATGGACGTGCGGAACAGAAAGAGAGTCATGGGAAAATGGAAAAATGGAAAAATGGAAAAATGGAAAACATACCCCCACACCACCACCTCATCGATCATGCCCCCCCAAATCCTCGCCACGGTGCTACTCAGCTTCGTCTCCCCTCCCTCCGCCTCCTCATCCAGCAGCGTCCGCAGCTTGTTATACATCCCCACCTCCTCTTCCGTCGCCGGCTCCTCGTCGTGCTCCAGCCGATACAGCCACAGCGTCAGGATCACCATCAGATCCATCCCGCACAGCGGATGCTCGATGCTCCAGTTCGTCGCGCTCGTCCGCGCCACCCAGCGGATCCCCTGCAGCGCTGCCACCTCGATGCACTCGTAGCATTCCTGGATCACCTTGATCATCTCCTCCGAGCGGGAGACGCGGTCGCGCGCCTGGGTCATCGCGCTGGCGACTTCGTAAGGGTCGTGGTAGCGGAGGACTTCCTGGATGGATTTGAGGTCGACAGCGAGGCGCGCGCGGGTGTTGCGGTAGAGCGCCATGGCGTTGAAGATGAGGGGGTGGCCTTTATGCGGGGCGGACAGCCGCACGACGACGGTCTCCGACTCGCACAGATCCAGGGACTTCTCCCAGGTCTCGAGGGCGAGCCGTAGCTTGTACTCGGTGACGACGTCCTGCAGGGCCTCCGGGCTGCGCTTGTGGTACCAGACTTCGAGGAACAAGGCGTTGATCATGACGCGGGTCGCGAAGGCGGAGTAGCGGATCGGCGAGTCGGAGAAGAGGTGGTCGTGCGCGGTTTTGAAGGTGAGGATGGCGGAGGAGGCGAGGGCGTCACGCCAGGCGGCGGCGGAGGACGGGTCGAGGGTCCAGAGGGATTCAGAGGAGGGGAGTTCGAGGGTGTCGAATTCGTTGAAGGCGATCGCCGGTGTGTGGTTGTAGGTGAGGGTGAGAAGGCCGAAGAAGATGTAGACGGCGTAGTAGGTGCGGCGGCATCCTTCGTCGAGGATCCAGTCGGCGTGGCTGGGTTGCGTGCCTTTGCGGGCTTCGGTGCGGAGTTGGAGTTCGAACCGGTTTCCGGCCACCATCTGTTATCGTTAGTGAAGACCTTTCAATAGGGGATGACTACGAACATTGGCAAGAAGACCCTTAATGGAACATGCCCATTCCAGGCCTTTGGGATCCCCGCTCCAGCTAGCGAAGGTCATATTTAACAATGTACTCTGCATCGTCCACAACGGACATCTCCTCGAGCTGAAGTTTTCCTTGTTTTGCAAGAACTGTTGGACCAGCACCTTCGAGCCAATGTGAAGCATGTACGCCTGATCTTGTTCGAAAGTGTAGAGAGCCCCGATGGAGAGGACCGCCAACAGCAACGGTGCTGCCGTCTCCGCCGGATCGAACGACGCAGGATGCAGGAAGGGCAGGTGATGATGGAACAGGTTGAAGTACGTCGACAGATACCGGTTGAGGACCGGCATCGTCGGTAACTGGAAGGTGTCCAGCAGCGCCACTTCACTGTCGTGTCGCTTGATGTTCTCGAGGATTCGCGCGCATTGCTCTTCGTTCTGCACCTGCGGCGCCTTGGCGACGATCAATACCTGTCCTGGGCCCGGAGATCTTCGGTAGTCCACCGGAGACACGGGTCCCATCATGGATGGGAGGGGTGATAGCGCACCGGGAGTTCCCATGCAGGACATGTGGATGGACTCGTTCAGCGATTGCGCCATGTGTGCGGACGGCTCGGTATTCGACATGGTGCGTTCCATGATGGGTGGAAGCTGTGAAGCCATCGCCTGCACGGTCGAGGAGCTGTTGAATGTGAGATGTGATTCCTGCGAGCCGGAAATGCTGGACGAGATGGAGTGCGCTTTCGGTTCGCGGACGGTCTGCGGGAGGAACGAATCCCACGGCATCTGCGGAAGTGAAACCGATCCATTCGTCGTCGTGTACGGTCCAGTGGGCTCGAGGAGCGTGGGGCCGTTCGCCGAGATGACCGCGTCGGGCATGGCACCCACATGCATTCCCATGCTGTCAACGAACGCTTCGGGTTCTTGGCTCGCCATTGCTTTGTGATGAAAGTCAGTCATCAGCATTGCTGCGGTTTCGAGGTCTACCATGCCATCACTGCTGGCTTCAATCTGCTCTAACGTCGCCGAATCCAGGCCTAGTGCTGCGGCCGGCGGCTTCGCTGCCGGTGGTGCGTTGGCCGCGGCCGCATTCGTCTTCTGGTTATTTCGACGCTTATGTTCGCTGGTGAGGGGAATCCCTCCATCTTTCGCATGGACGGTACGGTCATGTCTTAAGAGCAGATCGCGACGGACGAACGTGCTGCGACATTTAAGGCATTTGAAAGGTCGTTCTTTTGTATCTAGATCGAGGCGAACACGTTAGCAGACGACCACCACGTATTCCTCGATTTGAGCGATAATTCTCCCGACACGGTTCGACCCCACGACGATCGTCATCGATCGAGTTTCACGTCCCATGTCCAACGTCGACCAAACCGCTCAGTTCGCGTTGTCCATGAGCTTCCCCGCTTTCGCGACCCTCCATGCACGCGACTCGTCCACGTCCCCGCGTCCCATCGAACCGTGTCCTTTCACATGTAATGGACGAGAGCGGAAAAAAATGGTACTTACGCGACCGTTCATGACGACTTCGATGCTCGCTCCGGCTGAATGCCCGATTGCAGAACTGACACTTGTATTTCTTCTCGGGAGCGCCGGGTTGCTTGCGACCGCCGGGGGTCGCGCTCGCGGTGGAGGGAGCGGCGGGTGCAACGGCCATGGTTGCAGTTGCGGCGGGCATTTAGAACGATGGGCGAACACGCCGGGGGGGATGGATATCTGAGGATGGTCGTTTGGTCGTGGTGATAGGCGAATTTGATGATCTTCGGCAGGCGGATGGAGATGGGGTGGTCCGGATGGTGGAGGAGCAGCAACTCGGGTTGCGCGAGGAGTTCAATTTGAAGGCGGGCAGGACGACAGTTGGTGTTTGACCGGGTGCATGCCGACGCATTTACTGGAAAGGGTATGGATGATATGTCGGGTCTGAGTTGGGTGAGGGAGTCGGGTTCGATGCGTTTGCGAGGAGCCGTGGGTGACGATGATGATCGGAAGGGAAAGGGAAGGAGACAGCGTGGGCTTTTTCCGTGTTACGGGAAGATAGCGGCGGTGAATGGAGGAAACTAAGCGTCGCCGACGACAAAGTATATGGATTCGGGATGTGCAGGAACAGTGAACAATCGTTGCCAGATGCAATTCAGTTGCGTGTACAATGAATGGGACAATAGGTGGTGGAGGTGGAGGTGGCAGTTCGAAGAATTTGAGGGTATGGAGGGGAAGAGGGACTTTCTCAGCCAGGAAATGTGAGGGAGGGAGGGGAACTTTCATCCAGCTAAAGTTCAGGGTGAAAAGGTGGGCGGGACTGGAGGGGCCTTCGGTCTTCACGTTAGTGGGAGAAGGGAGAGGGAGACAGAGGGGGAAGACGCCAACAGAGTGTCGTGGTCATCCCATCGCCGTGCGTCCCTCCGTCTCCCTCTCGCTCCCAGCACTGACTCTGGTTGTGGCCTGTGTCAGGCTGTGGCTCTCGGCGACTCGGACTGGTGAGTGTCTGTGCTGAATCGCTGACTGCTGCAGTGCTGCTTTGCTTCTGCTTTCCCGCTTCGTACAAGTAAAAGGGGGATTTGCAACCCCCCCCTAAATCACAGCGGTTGAAACGTGAAACTTACACGGGACGGTTTGTCCGGGGCAAATCCCTCAATTTCCGTCTGGTTCGATGCCCCACAGACGGGCGCTATGCCTGTTTTGATGATAATGTAATCAATAGGCGGGTGTTAAAGTTGTAACAATACGAAGGTCGACTACGGCATCCCGGGCGCATCTCATCATCTCATTTCGTTCATTTCCTCCCTCCCAAGGAAAAGTAACGTTGGTCCATCAGCGCTTCACGTTACATATCTTTGTCATTGTTTTGGATCATGGATGTGATGTGATGAGATCCAGATAGGATGCCCATTCTTCCCCAAGATCGCTATTGATATCTCCTATTGTTATCCCCGGCCTTCCTCCGTCCTGCATCATCCCTTCTTCACCCCAACCAACCCACTGTACCCCCCGCCGTGCCACCACCAATTCCACCCCCTCAGCTCGCCAGCCATGCCCCCGCGCACAACATGGCACAGGACACTCCATCTCCCCCCAAACCTGCAATCTCTCTCATTTCCGCATCATGGCCGTCTGCTTCATCAGTAGTGTTTCTGCCGGTCGACGATCCGGGCAACAACCGCCATGCGGCACCCAGCATCCTAGTTTTCTGCTCGTCAAAAGTGCCGCTCAAATTGCCCCTCCTTACATGTATCGTAGTGGAAGCGCGCGGGGCGGTTGCGGATACTTTTTTTGCGGTCCAGGGGTTGCTGTGAGGGCCGGAGATGCGCTGGCATATTGACGTCTCTTATAACGGACAGACGATCACTCATCACCCCAAGGAATCCTTCACCACGCTGGCATCGTGAACTGGGTGCGTCCGATCAATAAAAATAACTCCATCCTTCCATGCGTGTCCTCGTCCGCTCGTTCGGATACGCCTTGATACCGCAGCCCTCCTCAACCCCCCCCGACCATCTTCAGAGCTCTCCCCATGAATCGTCAACGCTGCGATCGCCCAGCAAGGAAATGCTAATTTAGCTGCTGGCCATCATGCGTTGCGCCGTCCAGGATCCAATCGATCTGTCCCAACTCCCTCGTTTTCCCACCGCCGTCCCACATCGTGTCCTGTACTCCTGCGACTGGTATCGGTGGCGGTGACAGACCGACAGGTCAATCCGAGCCAGATCGAACAGGTCTGCGTTGGGGTGAGCGTTCCGATAGGTCGCGGTCGGATGGACTGCTATGCGCGATTGCTATTGTGGGAGGGTTCAGCCACAGGATGGAAGTCATAGATAATCGATGCGAGGTGGATGTACACCGAATTTGTTGAGTGAGCCACTTGTTGTACATACTAACTACTACGCAAGGGTTGGAGAGGTCTTGGTGATTGTTCTTTGATCTTCACGTCAACTCGATACATCGAGGATGAGATCCGTGGAAAACCAATCTCCAGGACGCCCACCAAATTGACCTATGTATATCCATTATCACAGAGCCACCCATGCCTCCGTAGCACATCCCTCTCATCAGGATCCATCCCTCTCATCACGGCCTATGACCTCGCCGCAACGACCACTCATCTCCCCCTCCCATCTCGGCCCGCCCGCTCATCTCTCATTGTCCCAACCCCTCCATTTTCCCGATGCCCCAACCCACCAGTCCCCGCGCGCCCCTCCGTTCTCGACCCTCCATTCGCCAAGGGGTACGGGCCCGTCACCGAACGACTTCACGAATGACTTGAGACTTCCGCTCGATCCCGTCCTACATTGGTTTAATCATCAGGAGCAGCGGGGAGCGGAATTGCAGAATGACATAATACTAGGTATTCAAAGGCCCAAACCACGCCGCTCTTTTCTCACATCCCAAAAACCTCAATTCCCCTGACCATCGCCGCGATCATCGTAGCTTGGTGAGTCTAGCTCAGCCAGGCTTACTAGCACAATATTGTTCGGGACGGTGTCGTCACGTTAGCGGGGCTTTAAGGGGGAATCGCTGCTAGCGAGATGGTGATGATGTCTGATGATAATGCTCCGTAAAATATTGGATTTCTGCTTAGCACCGTACAACTCCAGCACACCGTACGAGCGTATCCGCCTTCCCCGGACCAACCGGGATGCACCACGGACTGGAGTCTGGAGTACCGGACTCATATGCTGGCTTCATGATAGCTTGTTTTCGACGCCAGGATGTAGGCTCTCATCCGCAAGGAAGATTTCTTCGTCGATACTCCAGACGTGCTAACGATATTGGCCGTCCGCTTCGAAATCAATTATATATAGTCATCTACATCGTCACTATTACTAAAAGCGAAAGTTCAATCCTCCATCGCGTTTAGATGGCCCGTCACACCGACGATAGGACAGCCGATACCGAGCGGCCGAGGGACCGTGGAAATCCCCACAACGTCCAGAATTCAGTTGCTAGACCACTGATGACTGACCAGATACAGAGATCCACTGAATTCCAAAATGCTGGGCAAGGAACCCATGCCAGTCGATCAATTAGGTACGAAGAGTTCGCAGTTCGCAGTTCGCGCCTTTGACCTCGCCCATTCCCCCTTACGGCGCAGTTGCGGCGATTTCGTCTCATCGGCTTCATCTTTCCTCCAATCTTGAATTCGCGGTCCATTCGCCGCACTATGCGACCCGGCCGAATGGGCACCATTTCCGCAACGACATACTTATACAGGAATACTGTGTCCTTAAATCCTGATGTGTGCATCATCAATACGAAATCTCAAGCCCTGTGCAAATTAAACAAATCGCCATGTGCTCAGCCAATTTCCGAGGCGCGGGCCTGAATGCGCTGGGTGTGGTGGCCAGTGTGCAGTGCCCGCCTTCAGCCTTGGCTACCAAACGTTCCGAGTCCCAGTCCCTCGGTCCGGTGGAAGGTTTCTAGAAGACGGAGGTTTGGGGAGTTAGGACTTAGGAGTTAGGGGCGGGATGGCGGGGCACACTACAACACGTGTGGAGGGGGAAACGTCAATAAATTTTGAGGGGACACTGCGCCTAGGTAAGTGTAAACCGCATGGTTTGTCCGTGGATAGATAGAAGTATATTTGGTCCAAGTAAACAAGTGCCGCGGGTTCGCGGAATCGGAGTTTCGAGGATGGAAAAATTGCTGAGTTTAACTTGAAGCGGCAGGTAGAGTTTCTGTTCGTACTACTGCATCTCCGACATTAATGATAGATGGAATTGTTAATAACAGGAGCTGGTTCACTGTGACGGTCGACGGCCAGCTGCAGACATTCGTTATGAGGAGTCCAATCCAATATGCTAGTCAAAACGCCGGACGCAATAGAAGAGGGTTGTCCCTCATACAAAATCTCTTCTCCCGCAATAGCAGGTTGGAAAAACTGCTAAGACAGCAGAGAAACCCAACGCCTGATCCGTACGGTAATTATGCAAGGCACAACCAGAAAACACGCTTCCATGCATGGTATGACAGGATCCGTACACTGCGGTCTGTACAGAGTAATGGCACTGCAATCAAGCGTCCGTACAACGTGCGGAAATTTGGCGGGCAAATCGCCCCGCTGGACTCATCACTATTCGACCGGTAGAAGCGAAATATGTGTGATTGGAGATGGTCGCAAGTGACACGACGTGGACGGAAATAGTTCGTAACACATAAGATGCAGGACATCGGGATGCAAGGAAATGCATCTGGATAGAAGGATACTAATAATAATAGGACCGGGTTGGTAGCTATGGCGTCCGTAATGAAAACAATAGGGATGCGAAAGCTAGTAAAGTAAGGGTTCAGTCAGAATTCTTGACTGAGCAAGACGTGAGCAAGGCATTATTGTTGGTATAGAAATGCAACTCTGAAATCTAAATCCGGAAACTGTACGGAGTAGAACCATGTTAAGATTTGGGAGGAGCTCCAGAGCTCCAGTCCCCAACCGCGGCTCCTTTTCGGCAAATTCCACATAACATTATGTACCAAATTCCCCATTTCTTTCCATAAATGCTGGCAAGGTGGCCGAGTGGTTAAGGCGTTCGACTCAAGAAATGTTTTCTTACCTGTCCTTGGCAGGTCGCATTCGAATATGGAAACATGCAAGGGTTCGAATCCCTTCCTTGCCATTTATTTTTGATTTTTTTGGAACTCTATTGTTCTCTTGATTGAGAATTCAATGTTTTGCAGGTTGAGATGGTGTTGTGTACAATATCAAACCATCGCCCCAGCTTCTCAACTTTTCATTGGTAACACACTTTGTGATCATATTGAAAGGCTCTCCCCCTCATTTCCTCTATCAGAATTAAGGGTGTCCCTGGTGGCTGTATTTTCCTGGCCATATGATAATATGAGATATCCAATATCTGCATGTTATCCGTTCTCCTGGAAGCGGCTGTCCCTCAAAATGATCTAGTCACAAAAGCAATAACCTGTTACCTATTCCAACGCAATTACACGGACTTACTCCCATAGTAGTGGTGATTGCATAATACTCAGCTGAATACAGAACCGGACCTCTCCCCCGCTCATCCTCCTATTCAGCTATTCTTCTTTCCATCCCACCTGTCGTAAACTCATGATTCATGAAACGCTCATCGATCCCAACCCTCTCACCAACCCACCACGCTGGACCCAACGCAGCCACCAACTCCCTCGCCCCGCCTGCCGGCCTCCGCGCCCTCGCGGGCTCCCCTCCGCGACCCATCAGCCCCCCTCACCCCCGCTGGTGGCCTCTCAACAACCCACTGTAATCGCATGACCGGCCACAAACACTCATTTCATTTGCCCGCCATCCCGCCCATGATTCGTGGAGCGACATTACCGTTTCCCAACCGCGTGGAACGGGCGGGGACATGAGTCGTAATAATGGGTCCCAGATAGACTTTCCCTTCTGTATCCGGAGAATAGCGGAGGATTAGGGGTGCGGATTCTGCGAAATGATGGGATGGTGGGGTGTACAGCTGGGTTCATCGGTTGAGATTTCGGAAACGTTGGAGGGGAAATGAAAGATGATGGAAAGGGGGTGGGATGAAAGTGGAGGAGGGCCCGGGATCAGCGTCCCAGAGCCGTGGAAAGGGGCGGCGAAGGCTGAGAGACGAGATGGTCGGTTGGCGAGTCATGCGGTCTGTATCCAACTTCAACTTCACACTTGAGATCATCGATAGACGACATCATTTCCCAACACGATGGCAGGGCAGTTCTTCAGCTTTACATTGAATGTTAGGAGATATGCTTGATTGTCTGTTCTGTCTATCTGCATATCTGACTTTAGAGTGATAAATAAGACAACTCTATTGATTGCCTGGTCAAGGGCTTCCCGCAAACAATCCGAACCGTCATAGAAGTGCTCTCATTCATGTTCTTACATTCTCAAACGACCTTTCTAGAACCAGTTCCACTTGATGGAGTTCAATAACTCGAGCCGTATTAAATCAGCCTGTCCTCCAAAAGCAGCCAGTCGCTTCGTTCCTTGGGGGGGAGGACCGAACAATACTGTCTGGAGCTACACATGCTGGAGATTGAAACTAGTTTGATAAACCAAGTAGGTAACTACGAATTAACAAGTACATGCAACCCGTTTGTACAGCTTTGGGATATCGACCATCGTTTCTTTTGTATCTTGTCTCCTTGTCACCTCCCGATTCTTGTCCTTCGCCCTCACTGTCGTTGTTCTCGCTATCTCCCTCTTCGTCCATGGTCGGCTCGTCGAGCGGGTCGTCCGCGAAGTCTGTCGTGTAAAGACCGGAGACCGACTAACACGCCATCGCACAATGGCCAGGAATTCACTCTTCCGATCAACTAACATCGACGTTGCGGCACACCTCCTACAGTTTCTTTCTATAAAGTCTCTATCTTTAAGTCCAGCTCCAGTGTCCCTTTGAGAAAAAACAATACGCCGACGATAATACCAGCGATAGTCATATCACCGGCCACACCACCTACCGCGATTCTAGCCTTGGAAGGAGAGGTACCCCTTTTGGTGAATCGTTACCCGCTAGGGCCATTTCAGTAACGACGACGGTGGAACCACCCACGGTTACGTCGGAGGCTGTAGTGATTTCGGATGTTAGAAAGTCAAGTAGAATATTTCTGCTTCCTAAATTCTGAGTGACCGTCTTTGCGAAGAATATCCCGACAAACGTCCGGCCGCCTCCGTGTCCTGGATTTCCCGACGTTGGATAATGCCGTGAATACGCTCATCGTCCCGGAGTCGGTACTCTGAGTCCATTGCGGGCAGGTACACGTCACACGGATGATTCGGCCCCGACCAGGGTCCAATTGACGGCTCTCGAGTGCCTACACTTGCGGAAATATCGGTGCCTCCTTCGAGTACAAAGCGTTCGCGAATCGGTTTGTGAACGGTTATGCAGCGTCTCCGAACGCTACGGTGCCGAATATGGCCCAGCGGTAAAATATCAGCGCAGGCACCTTCCAGTTTCCTCCGTTGAGTACCCCAGAGTACGCGGCAGCCACCGCTGCGAGATTTCCACCTCCGACGGCACAGTTCTCGTATGGAATATGGCCGCTTGCCATGTACGCACGTGCTCCCCAGACCAAAACAGACGTAAGTAGTCCCAGAAGGATGACCTCAGTCCTTCAATAGGGTCACCCTCACATCGCATAGAAAACGGATAGATGTGTGCCACCTCGATTGGCTCGCCTGCCTTCGTAAGTACACAGTTCCTTTGGTCTCGCTCACGGCACTGACTATTATTAGCAAGAACTTAAATAGCCAATCAAGACAGACTAACCAGATCTCGCTGAGTTTTAGAGTGAGAAGGGCCCAACTGAGTATCACTAACCCCATTCCTATCGTTTCGAACCTTCCGGCCATCATCTTTGAAGAGTTTGGATCCATTTCCTCAACTCCTTTTGATCTTGCCTTTCTTCTGAGGTATGAGAAGTACCCAGCTCCTGGGTCGATTATTGAATAATGTATGCCATCCTTAATTCCCCCAAAATTCAAATCAATTCAGCTATTCTATCTGCGGCACAGCCGTCGTATTCAATGCTGTGCTCATCTCTTTCCCCGAACCAGTGATATGTTCTGCGATTTGGTCGTTGCTGAATCAGGGGAGTCGGACTCTGGCCACCCTGGCCACTGATTGGAGACGGATGACGCTATGTTCCCCGGCTTTGTCTTTCCACTCCTTCAAATGGAGAGGCATTACTGGCTTCATAGGCCGATTTCTAGCTTCTCGTTTTTGGCACTCACCCTGGCCTCTACAAGGTCTTGCATCTGTGGGTAGACCGGTGTTTCTCCACTGCTAGAGCCAATGGGTCTCGAATCCCAAATATCTATTGTCGGTGTAGAAAACTGAGGAGAACGAAGAAGCACTGGCAGTTGAGATGCAGAAATTAACTATGTAGGAGAATTATGAATGCTAGATGAAGGTGGACTGACGCGCCGTTGAACAGAATGTTCAAAACGAAATTGTCAAAGTGCAAAGCGATGGTTCTGGCCTCGTTCATGAGACACCCCCTCGTCCCGCATCAGCGCATTTCGAAGATGAGGCCATACTGATAGTATGGCAGAGTGTCTGTAAGGAGACAAAGAACCTCAATCTTGATCAGTTGAGCGCAGACGTACGTATTTCCGTAAAGAGGTAAGAGGAGGATGTCATTCATGTGTACCTAAACAGTGCTTACTCTCCCGTTCTTCCCCCTTCGGACCATCTAAGATCATACTTTTGTAAATACTACCAAGATTAGGATAGAATCGTTTCGCGGCATAAAGGATCCGAAAATTCCGCCTTCATTGCGCAATATAATGAATGGGGGATGTCGTTAGCGCTGATGGTACATCCAGTGGAAATCTTGCCTGGACGACTATCGCTATTATTATTCCTCCTATTCATCTTATCCCTCTTATTAGGGATAGATGCTTACTACCCTGTGGTACAAGATCATGTATATCTAGGTATTGCTGTGCCCCAAGAAGAAAGTCGTCGATTGAGCTTAAGAGCTCGTAGGCCCTAGGGGCTTCCCGTAACGGTGTTCGAGACCTGCTTGCTTCAGTGGCCGGTGATATAAGATTTGACGACGGTAGAATCGGAATCGGAATCGGATTTGGACTCGGCTGTGATCAATCAATCTTTCAATTGCAGTCGTGGGCTTTGCAGTACTCCGTTCTCAAGTCTTTGAGCATCCTCTCTTGCCCATCATCGATCCTAAATGTAAACTATGGCGGGTATCTCAAAAGCCAATTTAATCTGGCATGAGCGTTCAGGCTAAGTTGAGGGCCGAACAGGTGGAGTGTCAGCAAACTGAGAAGTACAAGCCTGCCTACATCCATGGCCAGATCTATTGATGCTACTCTGTCGTCCACTATTCTCTTTCTCGTCCGAGTATCGTTAGACGTTGACTGGTGGCACTGTCAGCAAAACCTAACCCTTAGCTTACGAACAGTCGACGAGTTTGTCCGCCGGTAACGTTTCTGCCCATTCCAGTTTATACACAAACATTAATACTTTCTCCTGGAGCTGTTTGGGTACGTGATGGCTTGGGCGTCTATTTCCACGCAAATGGATTGACTTGAGCTTGCTGATCTGACCAGCAGAGTCACAAAGGACTTATAGAGCTGTGAGATCCTGTAGATTCGCTAGTAGGCTTGGAGTTCGAAGGCCAAGTTCACCTGCGGTTCCAGTAGCGTGGAAGAAAGAGAAAAAGAACGAAAGGAAGTGGGATTGAGATCCTTGAATAGACGTCTAAGATTCGCGATTCGCAGCTCCATCACCTCTACATTCTCGCTAGGTTGTGGTATGGTTTCTTCCTCTGGTATGTCTGCTCCTGGAAGTAGTACGATGTCGGTGAGCAGGATGAACCGAGACTTCGCAAATCGCACAACAAGACAATCGTGAGCACTGACGAGTTCGCCCTCCACAACCTGGAGGACATCATCTCGTTAGTAGGTGCTGGGTGGTCCCGTCAAGCGTTCAGGGCAAAAATATACAAGTGGAAGCTGGAGCTCCTAAAACTTGGGCATCGAAAATATCGATATAGTGAAGGATATCAGAAAGAGTACTGAAGGCCGGATTTACGTCAATGTCATCTTCAATAGCACTTCCAACGAACAGAACGCATGAGGGTTTGGTGGACCCTGGACCCATAATGGTTGGGCCGAATGGTACTGAGGTGACTCTGAGACGCAGTTCATAATTCAAGTATACTGGAATAAACTCAGAAGGTATCTTATATGAAAACGGAAATCAAAGATGGCAGTGGATTCCATAAGTGCTATTCAGATGATCGAAGGACGTAAAATACAAGCTTTTGACTGAAGCAACAGAGTTCGGATTGAGATTGATCCCTTGAGAAGGGAAAAGTGGAAGGAAAGGAAGAACGAAAATTCTGAAAGAACATTTAAGTTCACATCGACTTAGCCATCCTCATCACGACTCGCAATTCACTAAAGTCATATGGTTACGGTGTACGTTCATCCGTTTGCTCAATGTGCCAGTCATTTTGGTCCGCATCAGGGGTCGTATTGTCCGTTTGTCAATCGGAGCTTACACAGAGCGTTGACCTGGGTTGACTTGTGGCCAAAGGACTGGAAATGGAAGAAAGACGAATATAACTAGACGGAAATGAAGGGCTCGAATTGATTGAAGTGAGAGGCCAATGGATAATGGAGACTGATGGATAGAAAGGCGGTGTCACGATGTATCATGTGAAACTGATATCTGCGTACACCTTCCAGCTTGTGACAAAGTTGACTGGGAGACTGAGAACGTGGGCAACGCAACTCAAAGAAGCGAGAATGCGAGGCGCTGAGAGAGTGTGAGAGAGGGCAGGATCTGACTGAGTGTGTAGGATAAGTAAACGACCAGTGAGAATGCCTGAGCTGTATCCACCCTCATTCTTATTCCAATCAAATCAGTGTGGTAATGACTGCAAAACAGTCGAGAGAGGAGCAGCCAACCAACAATTTGATCGTTAGGGCGTTGTCGAATGATGAGTGTATCTGAAGCGATGGACACTGAGAAAAGAACGGCTTAAGGTAGGTATGAGTGTGAAGGTAAAGGCGGTAAAGGTGATGAAGGTAAGGAAGGTAAAGAAGGAATGCTAAGGTTAGTTAAACTGAAGGTATATATCAAGTGCGAGTAGGATCGATTAAAGAACAATTCATTTGGCGTAGCAAGGTCCCTCCCTCTCTGCTGAAAAACTAATATGCGCAGGTTAGAAGGGATCCCGTAACATAGAGATTGTAATTATATGCGGACAGGATCGAGTCGATTCCGCAAGATATCCATCATGAATCTCATAGGAAAGCATAAACCTTGTCCGAACCAGTCGCAGAGCAGCGCACGCCTTTGAAAATGCCGTCAAATGAAGCATCGAATCATCCAGTAGTCATAACGGTCGTCCCCCCTCACTTCCTTCTCTTCATTTCTTCAAATAGTCCGACAAACTCCTGCTCCTCCGCCCCTTACTCCGACTCCGACTCCGATCCCTCCCCCTCTCATCATCTC